AACAAAAACCCTTCTTTGCACGGAACCTTTGACGATTTTTTCTGCAGACCGAACGCAGGGCCTCTTGCACAGGATCTTGCTGCCGCACACACCACGCGCGGGAAAAATGCACATTTCTCCCGCAACTGTTACAACACTGCCGCATTGCGAGAAAGGATACCTAGCTGCGTACGTCTGTGGAAACGCACAGATGAGCTTTCACAAAGGAAAACAAAAAGCCTACTTCTTTACACACCACACGCGGAAAAAAACTTTTCCCGCAACTGTTACAACACCTGAAGCCTGATTGAAGCTCTTTGGCTTCGCGCTTGGCCTGAAGCCTGAAGGCTGATTTTCTGTTATCTTCGCGCTTTGCTTAGAGCCTGAAGGGGTTAGTCCAGTTCTGCTGGCTTCAAAGCTCTCAAAGCTCTTGGGTACAAAAACACAAAGTTTTGGCACACTATCTACCTTCAGTTGCAGGATTGTCAGGATTGTTGCCACACTGCTGCACTGCAGCAATATGAGTTTTTTCTGAGTAAACAATCCAGAATTGTTTGCAGGTATAACTTACACGACGTACGAAGAGATGCTTCACATACACAGGCAAGGATCCTGCCAGTGCCGCAAGGTTCTTCTGTTGAAAAGGCGGGAGAGTTGCCCGATTTTTTTTGACTGACCATTGACTTGCTTGCAGGAACCTCTGGGCACCAGGTCTGATAGGCCTGGTCTGTGAAATCCACAAGCGGAAAGCGCCCGTTGCCGCGGCCCACCCATCCGACCCTGGAGCCCAGAAAGGAAACATGAAGGGAGCCCAATGGGAGCCCAGCCCCGTATCTTTCCTTTCTGGGCTGGAGCCAGCCCCGTTGCCGCGGCCCACCCATCCAAAGCACAAAGGGAGCCCAACGCGAGCCCAGCCCTGTTGCCGCCACCCACCCATCCGACCCAGGAGCCCAGAAAGGAAACATGAAGGGAGCCCAATGGGAGCCCAGCAGCCCGGCGCCGCGGCCCACCCATCCGACCCAGCCCACCCATCCGACCCAGAAGCAAAAATGTGAAGGGAATCCAATAAGAAACCCAGCCGTGTTGCCGCGGCCCACCCATCCGACTCTGCGGCCCAGGAGCCCAGAAAGGAAACATGAAGGGAGCCCAATAAAAGCCCAGCCCCGTTGCGGCCAAACCATCCGACCCAGGAGCCCAGAAAGGAAACATGAAGGGGACCAATGCGAGCCCAGCCCCGTTGCCGCGGCCCACCCATCCCACCCAGAAGGAAACGTGAAGGGAGCCGACCCAGGAGGCCAGAAAGAAAACATGAAGGGAGCCCAATGGGAGCCCAGCCCCGTTGCCGCGGCCCACGCATCCGACCCCGAAGCCCAGAAAGGAAACATGAAGGGAGCCCAATGGGCGCCCAGCCCCGTTGCCGTGGCCCACCCATCCGAAAGGAAACATGAAGGGAGCCCAATGGGAGTCCAGCCCCGTTGACGCGGCCCACCCATCCGACCCAGGAGCCTAGAAAGGAAACATGAAGGGAGCCCAATGGGAGCCGTCACCCATCCGACCAAGGAGCCCAGAAAGGAAACATGAAGGGAGCCCAATGGAACCCCGGCCCGTTGCCGCGGCCCACCCATCCGAAAGGAAACATGAAGGGAGCCCAATGGGAGCCCAGCCCCGTTGCCGCGGCCCACCCATCCGACCCAGGAGCCGAGAAAGGAAACATGAAGGGAGCCCAATGGGAGCCCAGCCCCGTCACCCATCCGACCAAGGAGCCCAGAAAGGAAACATGAAGGGAGCTCAATGGAAGCCCAGCCCCGTTGCCGCGGCCCACCCATCCGACCCGCCCACAAAGTAAACATGAAGGGAGCCCAATGGGAGCCCAGCCCCGTTGCCGCGGCCCACCCATCCGACCCAGGAGCCCAGAAAGGAAACATGAAGGGAGCCCAATGGGAGCCCACCCATCCGAATGAAGGGAGCTCAATGGAAGCCCAGCCCCGTTGCCGCGGCCCACCCATCCGACCCGCCCAGAAAGGAAACATGAAGGGAGCCCAATGGGAGCCCAGCCCCGTTGCCGCGGCCCACCCATCCGACCCAGGAGCCCAGAAAGGAAACATGAAGGGAGCCCAATGGGAGCCTAGCCCCGTTGCCGCGGCCCACCCATCCGACCCAGGAGCACAGAAAGGAAACATGAACAATGGGGGCGGCCCACCCATCCGACCCAGGAGCCCAGAAAGGAGACATGAAGGGAGCCCAATGGGAGCCCAGCCCCGTTGCCGCGGCCCACCCATCCAGCCACTGCGGCCCACCTTTTTTCTGAGGAGAGAACCCCAAACGATTCTGTTTGGGGAAAAAAAACAAAAAACCTAAAAAAAATAGACCTCCGGATCGCCAGCATCGTGCAGCATCGCACAGCATCGCGCAACCACAGGCCGGAGTGCCGAATGTCGAAAGCTTTGCGATCTCAGAGGTACAGAAGAGGCTGACGTGCCCCGGGCTGTTTTTGCTGCCGCATGCAGCAAAGCGAAAGTCGAACGGGGAGTCTCCGGCTTTGAGATCGAGCGTGAGTACGAGCAGCTTGCGCAGGCCGAGGCAAGTCGCAAAGCATGTGCTGTGCGTGCGCCTGCGCGTGCTACGTGTGTGCTAGACTAGACTCTTGCCTAGACTCGCTCGGGGGCCTGTGAACTGGGCCTGTGAACTCAGCCAGTACCCCAAACATTGCATGGGCATTCCCGCGAGAAAATATCGGCAGCCAACGTGTGAGCTCACCAGCGACACTTTCAGAAAACAACATGCTTAGCCCAGCACGATGCCGTGTTTCGTCAGCAGCTAAATGCCAAACACGACTCTGCCTGATCACCACGTTGATCTGGCTAGCAGCCAGTCCTTCGAGCAATTCCACCACATCCAGATTGGCAAAGCCATGCAAATTATCGACGTGTGCAGAACTTCGCGGAATCTCTTCAACACAAGCAGAGAGCAGACAGGAAAGCCAGACTCAGCCAGCCCTTTGCTTTTCACTTTTTGATTGTTTATCTTTTCACTTGTTTTTAAAAATATCCTTTGAATACCCTTTGCTCTTTCAAAACAAAGCTTGTTATTTACAGGGAACGCTTTTCGGCATGTTCATCACATGTGCTCACCCGTATGCGCGCGCTGATGGATTCCAAGCATAACTCTACAAGCAGTGGGGTGCGTCGTGCAGTCCATACGCGTGCAAGCAGCAACTATGGATACCACGTGTTCCAAGCGTAACTCTGCAACACATAGGTTTGGGGGAGGAGAGAGGGACATGTGCATTCTATACACAAGCCCAGATGGGTGTCTACAGCATTGCCAGAATTTTCATCACGTGGGCAGCGCAGGATCTCAAAACAGGAAGACGCTTCCTGAAGCACTCGATGCATGTCATGAAAGAAAACCAGCTCTGAGACCAAAGAGGTTGTTTGAAATAATAACTTCGAGTGTTCAGCTTTTTTTTGCGAAGCAGAGCGACCACCACGGTAACACGCAACATGTTCAAGCAACAAGCCCTCGGAATAGCCCAGGGCGTTCTATGGGCCGTGGTCCAGGAAGTTTGGTGATCAAGCATTGGTGTCACTATATTGAGCGAGGGCTCGACGTGGTTAGAGCAAGACTATCCTGCACAACTTTCTGGGAAGGCCTTGGATTGATAACTCGTCTGCGACATGGGCTTGGCTTTACTTAGCAGGGTTTGGTGGGGGGTGGGGGTCATTACGGCGGGGAGAACCGGTCAACAGGTTTGTATTCATCGACAGGGCAGTGTGAATTGAAGGCACGCTGCAAAGAGGCAGTCATCATGCCGGGTTCTCAGCAGCGGTGCAGTGTGCTGCACATATCTTCCCGTGTCCTCCTGTGCACTGAGTGTTTGAACGTCATCTTCGGCCCTGCCTGGTAGGTGTACTGGCCTCGCTGAGCCAGCCTTTTCGGAGGAGCGACGGCGAGATGGGCGAAGCAAGGAAAAGCGGAGAAAAACCCTGAAAAGACATCATCACAAGGACCTGGAGACTGCGCCGTCTCAGCATGCTATGGATACAGCGCGCGAGATGCTGAGGAGGCCTCCCTTTGCACACGTTACAGCAGACCCGCAAATGCTCCCCCCCCCCCCTTTGCTTCTTTGCGCACAGTCCGCACAGTCCAAGTAAGTCCAAGTCCTCTGCTTCAGATGTGAGGCGCAAGTTCCGGCACGGCCCATGCCTGGGCTTTGGGGTGCTCACGGTATCTCACGGTGCTCGGTGTCAGTACGGAAAGCTTCTAGTCATGCTTCCAAGGTCTCTGAGGTCTCCGAGCTCTTTGCAGGCCATCGCGCTTTTGTGGATTTACGATCACAAGTGGGCGGGCTGGCCGCTAGAGGCCGTCCAGTCGCACGAGCGTGCCTATACAGAGAGCATGCCACATGGTCAGGTTTCCAAATGCAGTTACAGGGTATCCCATAATTTAGGACCAGAATTTGAGACGCACCATTCGTTCGAGACGAAACTGAGAGCGACAGTATTGTTAATGATTTGCAATAGAAAGCGCAGCCGTGGCAACAAAAGCTTAACAAGTACTACTCGCAATGCTAGAACGGCTAGCTCTTTGGAGTTTTGCTGTGGCTGTGGTGTACCTTTATGTACCTTTCAAATGCAAGCATCCCTTCTCCCTCAGCCCTCCCCCCCTCCCCGTCCCATGGCCAAGTCGTCTGTTTGGTGGCCACGATCAAGCAATTGTTGCAAGGCATCGTTACAAAGCACATGAATCACGACGGCGCCGATATCTCGGGGTAATCAAGAGGTGTGTTGCCCCGTGCTCGTAGTCCCTTGTGCCACACCATTCCACGCCCAGGCCAAGCGTGTTCTCCACGATTCGAAGGCAGGGGATGCCTTCAGAGGTTAAGTACGACTGTGCATGCGTCGTACCGACACCACAGCACGCATTGTACAGTACGCATTGCTGTGCTGTAGTATTTTGGCTCCAAGACGCCTGCAAAGCGGGCTTCAGAAGACGAGCGCCCAGCCAGCCTTCCGGTAGCGATGGGTGCAGCCGTGTGCCGTGTTGTGGCCGCCATCGGCTGCGTTGTGGCCGTCGCTGCTGGCGTCGCGCTCACGGTGTGCACGGGCGGCCTCGGAGCAGGTATCGTTGCTGGCGCCCTCTTGGGCTTCGGCATGGCCGGATTCATGTACACAGTGAGGAACTGGGAGAACTTCAGCTTCAACGAATTCTTCAGGCAGGGAATTGTTGGGGCAATTGTTGGCGCAGTGGGAGGAGGTTTACTCCATGGCGTTTCTGGGGCCGCCGCTCACTTTGCCGGCAGCTTGGTCAAGCAAAGCATCGTGTACACGCTCGGAGGGGCCGCGACGGGTTTCATTTGCAATGTCGTCCAGAACGTGGCGACCGGCAAGCCGGTGTTCCAAAACTGGTGGCAGTCACTCGCAATTGGTGCGGTGGGTGGATTGTTGATGGGCCTAGCCGCTGGCTTGGCGGACAAGTTGACCAACGTGATGGTGAAGAGCCGTGAAGCCTTGAAACTGGCCGAGGCCAGCATCTTCAAGAGTATCCGACCCTACAAAGAGATCTTCCACTTCGTGGGCAACCTTGCCAGCTCTGCGCTTACCGATGTTGTGGCCCAGCTCATGCTGACTGGTAAGGTCGATGCAGGTGAGCTGCTGATGGCTTGTGGGGCCGCCGCCTTCATGGGACTGGCCGGTGCTGCGGCCAAGCGTCGTCAAAGCAGGAAGGACATGCAGTTGATCGAACAAGCAGAGCAGACCAGACAGGCGTACAAGAAGGTCACTGGCAAGCACCCCGAGATGACGTGCGCGATGAGGCAGCGTGGTAGCAAGTCCGTCTACACCGGCGTCAACTCCAAGACAAATTGGCGGGTGTACCAGAAGCATGGTGGGAGGCACCCTCGGCAATACCGTTCATTCCAAAAGCGACTCTTTGGGAGCAAGGCTCGGTTTCGAGGGCAGCAGCAGATGCCCTGCGCTGAAGGCCATGCTGCGACCGAAATGATGCGAGCCAACAATTTGCATCAAGGAAAGCCTGACACAAAGGCCTTGAGTGACATGCTCCGGAACTCCAAGGGCGTTACCATCAATGCCTACGGACAGTACAGGCCGCCTTGCCAGGAAGCGTGCCGGGGTCAATTCGATTGGAATGGCTATCAAGACCGTCGCTGGTTTTCTGGTCCCGACCCCAACTACTACCGAGTCGCCATGAGACCGCCGCCAGAGGTGCTCTCAAGACAGACTCCGCAGCTGCCCTCGCCCCCAACACGGCCACCGCCACTGTCATGCCCGCAGCCCGACGAGCCCGACGAGCCCGACGAGCCCGACTCTGGCGAAGATGATGATGATTATGATGTCTCTTCAACGAGCTCAAGTGAACATACCTCTGCTGAAGAGCTAGACCACACGTTGGGGTCTAGCTCAGGGCTTTCAGATGTTGCTGACTCCGAGAATGCTGACGCAGCCGAAGCGGATGTTTGTGACACGCTGCCCGGCAGCGATGTTGATGGCAACCTCTCCGTGAAGGATGAGGAGGCGACTGCGCCGCGTGCTGACTTGACGATGGCGGAGCCCAGTGTCGATGGTGTTTCCCCGAGTGCACAGGCGCCTGGGGGTTCAACAGCTTCTCCAAATGAAGTGCCACACTTCTCCGACGCCATGAGGGGGGAGACAGTCAACATGCTGGATGCCTCCAAGCAAGAAGGCACAGAAGGCACAGCAGTGGAGGTTTCAGGAAGTGGCTCAGGGCCTCAGCCGCCTCCGCCGCCTCCGCCGCCAGGTGGAGGCATCAACAGGTACGAATCGTTTGCGGCAGAGGACAGAGACCGGAAGGAGCTCCTCTTGCGGGGCATCGAGGCTTTGGAAGACGCAGGTTGTGAGCAGGTCGGGTATGTGCCCGTGCAAGTATCCGTGGCCGCGAAGCGATTGGGCCAGCGCAGCGGGGTTCCCGGCCATGGGAGGAGCCTGGGCTCCGGCAGCGCACGCTCACCACAGAAGCCCGCGCCGGATCAGCAGGATCCGCAAGAGCTTCGGTTCATGAAGCTTTTGCTTCAGTCCGAGTCCAACCTGATCTACTTGGGTCCCGACTCCCTGCCGCCGGCCGACACCTCTTCTGTGGACTTTCATGCACATCTTCGCCCGTGTTCTGTCCTGCAGAAGTTCCGTACACCTGGTGATGGCAACTGCTTTTTCCACGCGGAGGCAAGCGACAACGCCTTTGTGCATGAAGACCCCGTCGGCGTTCGCCATGAATTTACCCAGCACACCTGTCGCATTGTCAGCTCTGAGCATCGAGGCAAAGTGCACGACCTCTTCCTTGCAATGTCTGAGTTGTGGCAGGATGTCCAACGCGGAAACGCTGATGAAGCCAAAAAGACTCGGTTCTTTGTCAAGCTGTCGCGAAAGAAGGAGCAGCTTGAGCAAGACAGCAGCGTGGAGTCCGGCAAGACCTTGGCATCGCTACTTGAAACGGAGCTGGACAACGACCAGGCCGGCGCGCTGGAGGCGTGTGAGAGGTGGATAACTTCCGGCGCCTGGATGGGCCTCTGTGATGCAGAGCTCTACGCTGCCGTGATGAACAAGTATTTCGTCATTGTGGTGGACACCTTGATTGCCGGACAACCCTTGTGGGTGATGCACTACTTCCCTGGCAGTGCCCCAGCAGAGCTGCAGCCCAACTACATGTTTTACTGTGGCACAGAGAGGGGTCATTTCGAGGGACTGAAGATGAAGCAGCGTGGCCACGGTGCTCAGGCTGCCGAGCCTATGCTTTCAGTTGCAGATGAAGCAGCGGCTTCGCCCAGCGCAGGAGATGTTCGGAAGCCGCTTGCAGAATCCGTGCCGCTCATCGAGCCGTCTGCATCTCGCAACTTCAAGATGACTGCCAACCCAAATTTCTCCTTCGAGCCCGGCACCATCGGCACGGTGTGCTTCACCTCGATGACTCGCAACATGGGGATCACACGACTACAGCGGCAGCTGGTGTATGCCTTGGGGTATTCTACAAATGTGGATCAAGCGCTGTCGGCCTGGCAATGGCCGCCAGTATTATGCACGAAGCTCCCAAACATGTCGGCCAGGATCGCAGGGGCCTGTGACCACCTGGCTCTGTTCCTGGGTTGCGGCTTCAGTCTTTTGAGCACGTCACAAACATGCTTATCAATGGCCATCACTGTAACACTTCTGCTGGTGTATTAGTATTGCTTCTGTTGTTATTAACAGTGTTGTACTGTTACACATATTCTTTTTACCGTTGTTCTGATTGTTAGTATTGTGATGCTTGTTGTGATCGTTATCTATGTAAATATGGTATTTTTAGTATTTTTGTTATAATGGTTATGATAGTTGCTATTGTTATGATGAAATTTTTGCTATCGTTATAGTATTGCTAGTATTGTACTAGTGTTGTTAGTATTGTAGCTACTATGTATTTGCGTTATTCTTATTGCTATGCGTATTGCTATGATATTATTATTATTCTTATTCTTCTTATTATTATTATTATTATTATTGTTATTGTTATTATTATTATTATTCTTATTATTATTATTATTATGATTGTCAATATATAGATTTATACATAATATATATATATACATATTTGATGTATATTCTTGTTATTACTGTCACTATTCCGATTACAATTAAGAAGAAATAGTAGTTGTAGTAGTAGTAGTAGTAGTAGTAGTAGTAGTAGTAGTAGTAGTAGTAGTAGTAGTAGTCGTAGGAGGAGAGTGTAGGAGGGGAGTGGAGGAGGAGAGTGGGAGAGAGTAGGAGGAGAGTAGGAGGAGAGTTGGAGGAGAGTAGTAGGAGGAGAGTAGAGTTGGAGGAGAGTAGTGTAGGAGGAGACTAGAGTAGGAGGAGAGTAGAGGAGGAGGAGAGTAGGAGGCGAGAGGAGGAGAGGAGGAGTAGGAGGAGTAGGAAGAGTAGGAGGAGTGAGTAGGAGGAGTGGAGGAGTAGGGTAGGAGGGTGGAGGAGTAGGAGGAGTAGGAGGAGTAGGAGTAGGAGTAGCAGTAGCAGTAGAACAAGCGGTTGTTGTTGCTCCTCAATGTTGTAGTGTGTTATCCTATGAGTCGGTTTTCCGTAGGAGATAAGGTTCTTCCACATGACCGAGGATTGACGTCAATGGCCGACACTTGAAGCAGCAAACCCTCACTGTGGACATGGAGCCGGTGGACAAACAGATACTTAGCCGCAGCCCGTGCGTGGAGCGCTTTGGGATTCTGAGTTCTCAGATGATTCTTTCTCTGAACTGACAGGGGTCCCTGTCTCAGTGGATCTTTCCCGGTAGGACAGCTCTCAGGGACCAGCAAGTTTGCATGTTTGTTTTTCGGCTCTTGAAGAAAAGGATGGGGGAGCGCTACGATCTTCTTCAGAATGTACTGGCCAGCCACTGCGTGATTCCAATCCGCGCGGACAAGGCGCGCCCAGAAGTGAAGGAAGGAAGAGGGCGTAGGCCTACCGTGGTTGCTCCCACAATTCCAAATGTCCTTGAGTTATTTGCGTGAGAGAGCCAGATCCCAGAAACGAATGTCGCGAAACTGTCCTAGCTCATCTCGTTTCGGCCGATATCGTGAGGTGCATTGCCCCAGGTAGCCCGCCTGACATGCTTCATTGCGTACCGTTTTCAGACCGCTACAATCAGCAATTCAGTTTTGATGGGTGAATATGTGTAGGGTTATGGTTATAGCTACCACCTGTGGTTATGATGTAGTCTAGAAAAACCTAGCCACGCTGAATGGGTGGACGTAGGCGTGGACATAGGTTAGCGCATGTCCCAGCCGCCATTTTTTTCACCAACTCTCTGTTTGGACTTTGTTTGAGCGTTGTAGCGAACAGGGATCAACAGAAAGTCAAAACGGGGATCAACAGAAAATTCAACAGAGATCAAACAAATGCAAACCCTTCTGGGAGGAAGACAGGAAGGAAGGAAATCAGGAAAATGAAAAAGGACGCAAGGAGGGAAGGAGGCAAGGAGGCAAGAAGGGAGGGAAGGAGGGAACATCAGTCAAACAGAACATACGGACGGCGGGAATGAAGGAAAACGTGACGGAAGGAAGGAACGCTTCGAGCTAACGCAGCGCACAGGGAAATTACTTTCTTTGCTGGTGTGTGTGTGTGTGTGTGTGTGGGTGGGTGTGGGGGTGTGGGGGTGTGGGTGTGTGGGTGTGTGGGTGTGTGGGTGTGTGGGTGTGTGGGTGTGTGGGTGTGTGTGTGTGTGTGTGTGTGGGTGCGTGTGTGCGTGCGTGCGTGCGTGCGTGCGTGCGTGCGTGCGTGTGTGCGTGCGTGCGTGCGCGCGCACGCGCGTGCGCGCGTGCGCTCGTGCACGCGTGCGTGCGTGCGTTTTTGTTGTGTGATTTTGGGTCAGTTTTAGTAAGTTTTTAGCAATTTAGCCGGAAGGAAGGACGGAAGGAATTGGGGGAAGCAGGATGGAAGGAACGAAGAAGGAAAGAGTGGAAGGAAGGAGCGTCAGTAGGAAGGAGCATCATGTCGTCATGAGGAATTGCTTCGTAACCCTCAAATCTATTTTTGACTTTAAACGACCGGCCTGTTTAGTCATTTGAAATACTGTACAGCAATTGAATTGGCCCCCGTTCCATTGTTAAAAAACATGAATCTTAAAGCAGAAATTTAGTAGGAGTCAGGACAAGCTAAATGAACCCTGGAGGCTTCTTTCTTTTGTTTTTTTTCTCTCTCTCGCTCATACATATATACATATATATATATATATGTCTGTTCATATGTAAATTGAATGTTCTGCGTGTGTGCTATTGTATGTATTATCTGATGCATGTTTTGCTATATCTATTTTGCATGTTTGTTGATTACGCACCAGATATACAAAGGCAAACTCATACATATTAGGAGCCTGTGAATAGGCAGACATGCTGTTATTTGCCATGTTTGGGGCCTGCGACGAGGCAGACATGATGTAATTTATAGTATCTGGTGCCTTGCGAACCAAGGCCCTGCAAGGTTGTGATTTGTCGATCCCTATTTGATGTTTGTTGGGCTTCTGTGTTTTGATTTGTTTGATCCCTCTTTGTTTGTTTTGGGCCCTCGCCTTGTTTGGAGCTGACGCACCGAGCAGTGTTGTAAATCAGAATGAGCCGACGTGCCGGCTTTTCAGTTCGTCCGATCCCTGTCCAGTTCGCTTCATTGGCTTCCTCCAATTCGTTTACTTGCAATATCCATTAGAACTGACTGCGCTTTTGGTAATTGTTAGTTGAAATTTTGATGTTGCAGTGTCTGCTTGCCCCAGGACGTCGAGAAATGGTTGCCTTCTTACTTGGAGTCCACAGTCTTGCATTTGTGCACACAGCTGCAGTTGAAGCATCACCTCATTTCGCAGGGAGGTGTTTGCGCATTGCTTCCAGTGGCCCGGTCATTAACATTCGTCGTGGTGGAAGAGGAAGGTGGTGATGCCAGCAATGCCTTCACATATGCCAGGACAAAGACGGACGAGTTCGCCAGCAAAATTCAGGACGAGCAAGCTGGCACCTCTGAAATCCAGGAGTCCTGCAAGCAGTTGAAGGAGATTTTCAAAGATCGCATCCAGGTCTTTGGCGTGCACGCCGGTAGCCAAGAAGACCTGCTTGCCCTGGGTGAGCACCTTGCCAGCCAAAACTTCACGATCCCTCAGGCTGCCACGTTGCAGCGCGCAGAGAAGGATCCGCTGCCCGAAAAGCTTCGCGCGCGCTTGAAGAAGATCATCTATGACCTTCCACCGCAGCACCATGTTCCCACGGTGTTCCACGACTACGCGAAGTCAGTCCACGAGACCTTCAAGCGCATCCTTGCTAAGCAGCTCTCCACCAAGATCATGTCCCGTTTCAAGCGTTTCTTGAAAAAGTTGGAGTTGCTTGATTCCAGCGACCGTCTGGCCGACATGGAGGCTGTTAAGACATGCCTGCGATCAAAGGAAGGGTGGATGTACATCATGGAGGCCTCCGCGATGAAGTTTGGGCTCAACGACTTGTGGACCGCAGCGTGGGACCAGCTTTGTGCCGACAAGGAGGTGTCCAAGTCCACACGCATCGTCGTTGGAGAGGACTTGAAGCTGAATACGCCGATGCCCACGGAGGACGACCCCTTGAAGGGCCTTCAGGACATGATTGACGAGGCTGGCAAATACGTGTCTAGTTTGCCCGAAGACCACCCGGCACGTGTGCACTTTCAGCGCGTGTGTGATGGTGCCAAGAAGGCCGAGGAGGAGGCAGAAGCAAACAACAAGAAGGTCAGTGATTGCGACCCTGCATTTTCGTTGCGCTTGGTGTTGCAGCTGGGGGTGGCCATGTGGCGAGGAGGAGTGACGAGACAAGATTGGGATTCCCAAAAGCACGGGCTCGGCATCGTGACATATCCTTCGAAGTTGATTGGTGACAAAGAGTGGGTCGGCTTGCTCCAGAACTGGTGCTTCTTGGGTGCTAGTGCGGCGGGGTCTGAGGAGTACTACAACGTCATCGGGGCCTGCGAACATCACATGCTGACGTTCAAGGACTTCATGGATTGCCGCCTGTGGGACGTGTTTGCCATGATGGTTCGGGGTGGTTGCGGCATTGAGCTTCGTGACCTTGGTATTCTGAAGGAGGCGGAGCGCATTCTCCTTATGTCGCGGCACCAAGAGCCGACGCTTCTGGACGATGTGAAACATCACGTGATCCGATTCTTGAGCCATGCTTGTGTGTGCACGACGGAATCGCAATGCGCTGCGCTTGAGTCCGAGCAGATGGCCACGGATGCAGGTGTTTCCTCCTCCACAGTCGGGATCTTGAAAGAGCTCGGCAAGCGGGTGGCGAGGTTGCAGCACCGGGAGGGGGCGAGGTTGCAGCGCCGGGAGGGCGCGGTGGCAACGCATGCTGAGAGCTTCGTCTGCCGCTACAGGCAGCTCGAGGATGTGCAGCCAGCTCTCGATGAGGCTATCAACAGAGAGCTTGCAGTGCTCAGCCAGCGCGCTGCGGCAGTGATGGAAGAGGAGGAACGCCGTGGACTTCAGCAAGACATGAAGCGCGTGTTTGCCTCCGCGCGCGCGGAGGCAGATGCCATGCTTTCGAAAGAGGATATCATCGATGTTCTGTCCAAACCAGAAATTCTCAGCACCATCCCATCTCTGAGCGAGCGGAGCTCGGCTGCGGCATGGCGGCTCGTGCAGCACGCGGTGTCACCGCCCAAGGAAGTGCTCGTGAGCAGCTTGCTACAGATGGACGCGCAGAAGTTTGGCGGCAGTTGAGCATGCCATGGCTGCACACATGACATGTCGCGTTGAACCGTCGCGCTAAACCTTGATTTAACTCATTGAGCTGCTAGGAATTGGATCGCCAATGGCCTGGGCATCTCTGTCACCAAGCTTCCCAACAAACAGGCGATGGAGAGTGTTTGCAGCCTGGCGCTCGTGGCCATGCATCTCAAGGAGGCCGACAAGAAGCTTCAGAACAGCAGGCGCGTCCTGCACGCAATGTCCAACGTATACCCTCAGGTCTTGGACGCAGGGGTAAAGAGCTGGGATCAATTGGACCCAGAGACGCAGGACACGCTGTTGATGTTCTTCTACCTTCTAGCCGTGCGTCCGGGCAGAGACGGTGAGATTGATGAAGAGCGAGATACTCGTACATCCGGCGAGGAGGCTCAGCTCGCCCTCAAGACGGCCTTCAAGCTCCTAAAAAAGGAGGAGTGGGTACTGCGGCTCGTCCGCGGGCTGCTCTCGCGCACCGATGCACTCGCAGTGAAACAGTTGCACTGGTCTTTGGGCTTGTTGAACTTGCTCTTGCGCTGCCATGTGGGCCGGACGCGGAGTTTCGGCGGCCAAGCTCAGGGAGGCGTACGCATACCTGATACGGTGCTCCAGTTTGCAAAAGACCATGCCATCCGTGAGCAGCTGGAGGCCATACTAGTTCAAGCTGCTGAGCAAGAGGAGCTCAAGAATGTTGCCAAGGAGGCCTTATGCACCTGTGTGAACTTCTCACAGCTGTTCGCCGAGAACATCCGCTGGGTTGACGTCCGCAAAAAGCTTGTAGAGACAAGAACTCCCGTTGGCGTGGAATCCCTGCGCAAGTATCCGATTGACTGCTTCGGCAGCTCCGATGACCTCCGCATCCAGTTCCAGAAGATGGGGGACTTCAAGAATGGGAACAGCCTCTCTTTCCGGCTGCTGGCTATCTGCGCAGCTTGGCTCACCACTGGCGCGCCGGACCGCCTGAAGGATGCATTCAGAGAGCTACAGCGCCTTGCTGAGCGGCTGGCCTCCCAGAAGGACACTCCGACACTCGAGTTCAAGAGCGCTCGAGCGCCAGCAGCGCCAGCTGATGTGGAAGTCTGCGAAGGCGGCGGGCAGTGTGTGGCAGGTGCCAGCGTTGGGCCAAGCCCAGGCCCAGGCCCAGAGCGCCATGAGTCACGGCTGCTGAAGCCTCAGCCTCGCCCAGAGCCTCGACCGTCGCAGCCGGAGGCGTCGCAGCCGGTCCCCGAGCCGGTCCCCGAGCGGGTCCCCGTGGACAAGGCGGCGCGCATCGCCCGATGGCTGGCCAGCAACAAGTACGGTCGGTACGACGCCGCCGCTGGGGTAAGCTTGGAAATCTTTTGGGGCGTGCTGCAAGAATATCTGAGACTAGGAGCAGCATTTGTATTGGTGATAGTCATGGTATTGATAATATGAGAAAATTCTACCGGGGGTTCAAACGTAGCGAAGGCGGTTCGTCTGCTCGTCAAGATCCTGCAGGATGCCAGCAACGAACTTCGGTCGGGCCGCGAGCCCCGTCCTTTAAAGACGCAAAGCAATCGCTTCAAAGAGGCCATCATGAGCGACATGACCGTGAGCGAACAGGCAAGAGCACGGTTGATATGGTCAAAGACGTCTTAAGGATTTTTGGTGTCATTCTTTTGCCGAGCATCTGGTGTCTGGGCAGGTCTTGGAGTTTTTGAAAGAGCTCGGCTACGAGGAGCAGGGCGATCAGCTCAGTCTCGCATCCAGCGAGAAGGACAAGCTCTTGAAGAAGCTCGAGCATGCATTGGCAAGTCTCTCCACCTGTGGGAGCCGAGTGCCAAATTCTCAGTAGTTTCGATTGTTTGCTAGGCTGTTCATACAGTACATTTATTTACTTTTTGGGCTTCTGGCTTCCTGTTATAGTATTATTTGAGAATTCACCGAATGTATGCACTTTTCCCCCAGGGCGCACTGAACAGCCTAGTTTTTGGTGTCGCAACACTGCAGCCTTCTACTGGAGTGCTGTATTGGTTTGTTGCAACACAAGCACATCCTGTGTGCATACCTTGCCATGGCCCGGACATGTTGACCAGCCATGCACTGACAGAGCCAGCCTTTCACCGACAAGTAGTTTGTTTTAGCTCGCAAGTACAAAATGCCGGTGTTGTCATGCGCCTTCAGCCTAGGCCTGGCCGAAAAAGCCGTTAACAAAAAAAACATGTCAGACGCCCATACAAGCCTTTCAGGCTCGTCTTCGCAGCAGCCCACTTCGGCTGAGTTCCAGTGCCACGCGTTGCAAGGCCCCAGGGCTCAATACAGCCGCCCCTGCCTGAGCTTCTGTAACGAGGCAACCCAAACCGGGGGGGTGGGGGAGTGCCCCCTGGTCCTGATGCATCTTTTGCTGCTGGACACTTGTCGGCTGGGGGGTATAAAAGGGCGCAAACGCGTCCGTGGGCTGTGGGGAGGGGATTTGAGGTGGGGTGCTTGCTTTGAGCTACGGCCCGAGGCCTCAGCGGATTGCAGCCCAAACCCAGGCGTTGCGCGGCCTTACTGGGCGTCTTTGGCCGACTTGAGCCTCCATGATCCAAGGACTCTGCAGCTTCGGCCATAAGTCGCAACCTAGTGGGAAGGGCAAAGAGGGTTAAAAGAGTTCTTAAAATAACGTCTTTGTTAGGTCGCAAATAGTCGCAAATTAGAGGAAACATGTGCTGCATGTCAGGAGTTGCTGTCTGCACCAGACGGCTGAATGCTGACCAGGACCGACAATGTCAAGTCTTGGGGTGAGACCGAGCTCGGACTATATGTCTACTAGTATCTTCTTATATTGTTACGAGATCGCAGACTTCTTGACAAGGCTTGATTCCGATGGTTTTTGGCCACGACGCTGAAGCACTTGGGCTGTGAGCATCTTGGTGCAGAGAGTGCTTGGTTGAGCTCGGAGTGGCTGTTGAGCCTGGTCAAGGGAGATCAGTGTCTGCGGAGCCCTGTTGTATTCTGTTGCTTTCAGTTGTGGAAGGATCACTTGATCAAGTCCGTTTTGATGTGCTGCCTTGCAGTGGGCGTGGGTTTGGGCAATCAGCTCAGGGATCTACCGGCGGAGGTGCGCGATCAATCCAGCCTGGCGTGCGCCTCACGTGACAGCTGGGAGCATGCCGCTCTGAGATCGTTGTGCTGAGCAGGTCTACAACACGCGGACTGTATGGGGTAGCTTGGCTTTGTTAGCTACAAGGCTTGGAAGCGCGGCCCTCACTGCAATGGCAGGCTATTACAATAGCTTCTTGTCGGTTGCGACATGTTGCGACTGTCGCGACCCGCTTCAGGTCGGCGACTGCCATTTCGAATAGAGCAACGTGGCACCATTTGAGGCGTGGGGAGCCTGCAAGGTTCCCAAGCAAGGGAATAGCCAGAATGTTCCAGTTTGCCAATAAATTGGGAGCAGTGCGTTGGCAGTACAGCGTGGTCTTCCTCGCTCGTGTGCCTAGTGTTCAGGTACGGGCTGTGCACTCGCGAGCCTTGGCGCAGTTCCGGTGAACAGGCGGCCGCGCCACTTGGTCGAGTAGTAATCCTTTCCTTTGCGGCAGAAACTGCCTTCTGCAGCTCTTTGGTGGCTTGGCAGCTTGCAGTCACGAGACGGTCACGTGTCCCGAAAGCTTGAAAAGGCCAAAGGAGTGCCTCCAGACAGCCTCCAGTGTTACTTTTCGGGCCTGATTCGACGAATCAACGAATATCAGAGCAGACCTGCTTTTGTGTCGATGGAGCGTCGGGTTCCTGTGCAGCATTTGTTTGATGGATTCCGCACAAGTCATGAAGTGAAAGGAGTGAAACCGATCGACTGCAACTCAATGAAGTCCTTCATCGTCGGTTCCAATCTGGACCCAGCACGCAGCTTGAAGCACGAACACATTATTTTGATGTTTGGACCCTCGGCATCTCGCAAGGGCGCCCATGGAGGCAGGATCATAGGCCGGCGACATGCTCCGAGGAGCTGTAGAATTGGGTCTGGAGATCGGGAAGAAGGCGAAGTAAAGAAACTCGGCAGTTGCCTTCCTTTGCGTGGAAAGAGCTGGCGCGTTTGGATGATTTCCCTTGTGCTCATGTTTTGTTTCTCCAGGGTCCCTCTCAGCGTGGTAAGCCACAGATTTATGACCGGAGCCGTGCTGTTCAAGCTAGCAACGTTTAGTGTTTGCTGCAGTACCTCGGCGATCATGACAGGCACCGCGGATTGAAGTTGTTGCACGCGGATACGGATTCCTGTACGAGTGGTGCTTCGGGGAATTGAGGCTTCACTTTGGACGCCTTGATCTACGCTCTTCGCACGTTCAACGACAATTGGGAGCAGGACATCGCTGATTTCACAGTGACTTGCAGGTAGTGCTTTGCAGTGATTCCTTGCAGGCCCTTCAGAAGAAGGAAAAGCTTGTCAGTGAGATGTGGTCGAACATGTCAACCTGCTGCAGCTGCTGCTACTGTCCTGCCTGGGCCTTTGGGGGTCCTGTTGCCTTGAAGTTTGCCTGTCACAGATGCGCATCCCCGGATTAGGCCGAGGACTTTCAAGATGAGCACGAGGCACTGCGAAGTGTAAAGTCTTGTTGCAACGTTCGCTTGGCGTTTTTCGTTGTCAGATGGTGCTGTGAAGCCCGTGGACATTGAGCTACGCCTCTCGCCCTGAGAGGAGCACTTTGTCGCATCAGTGATACAGGGAGCGCAGCCCCAACTGATCTCGTCATATGACCTGCTCCTGTTATGAAGGCTCAGGGAGGCGACGCTGCACGAATAAGGAAAAGCGGGACTGATGATATTTGGTGAGGGAGGGATGCTGCAGAGGCTGACAGGCGCAAAAACAGTTCGCGCCAACCAGATCAAACGAAAACAGACGATTTTGTGACCTTTGCCTCTCATGCACAGCTGTAACAAAGCTTGCACGCACATCTCGGGATACGATGCATGAGCCAAGCTGGGACCGGTGACGGGTTGGGGCAAGAGATTTGCTTATAGATGATGTGCTCAAGCGCGAGTATGACGCGTTCTAGTAGACCAGAAGTGCACCTGATTCGCTCGGCGAGCCCAGAATTCTTCAGGACACTATGGGCTTCGGAAAACTTAGCTGGGCTTGGGCCGGCACATCATCAAGCGGAGACGTGGGAATCACATGGAATCACGTGCCTCCCAACATCTCCCAACCGTCCGAATTTTTTCACAACCAACGCAGTCTGTGTGATCGCCTTTTTCTTGCGCTCTCGTACGATTGATGGCAGTTTGCATTCCAGACGCGTGGGACATGTATGTGCAAGTGCAGCACAGGGTTACGAACGCATCCGTTTCTCCCACGTGGAAATTTAGGATGTTTTGTCAAATCTTTGATCTCCCCTTGTGCTTGGTCCGCCCAGCAGAATCATTGGCAGTGAGTTCCGAGCGACCTAGGTGTGAAGTCGCAGGTGCGACGATGCAAAGCAAGGTGAAGAGAAAGCGCTTTCTCACATCTTGTTCCACGAGTCCGAAAACTGCAAGGAAGAAGCAGAAAAGGGTCCAGGAGACGTCCCCGAAACCGCGGCTCAGCTGGCTTACGTGAGAGACAACCTTGGGGGCCGCGTGCTATGACATGGAAAGCTGGCCTCATTTAGCCACTTACCCGCTAGACGGAAGACTCTTGTCGTGGATCGCGGACCGAGGTGCATCGAGCCAGATGACCCCGCGCGCCGGACTTTGGACTTAGAGTTCTTCAATGTCGGTGATGAGGAGAACTTGGATGACCAGCAGGAGCTCGGGTGCGTAAAGTTCGCATGCTTATCACATAGGGGCATAGATGTAGTCACGCGTCTTGGGTTTTAACGTATTTTGCAGTCCGAGCCTTGTCAATCGACACAAATGTAGGACCCGTCTTGAGCGCTTGAAACATCTGAAACGTTTGAAACAGAAATGCAGGCCCGATTCGTGTTTCAAGTGCGAAATGCTCTAACGCAGAAATGCTCTAACACACTTGAAGCCAACATGCCCTGACACAGAAAAGTGGGACAAGCGTTTCAATTGTTTCAAATGACTCAAGTGGCTCACACCTCCGAAAAGTTTGGGTTTTTGCAAGTTCCTGGTTTTCGGGATTTGGTTTCGCGCCCAGCCACCACTCTGCACTACTCGTAGCGACTCCTTTTTCACACGCAACTCGCCCGTGCACGAAACAGAAGCGAGGTTCCCAGTAGAGCATGCCGCCAGGAAATCAAAGGACATGCTGGAGGCAGGGGCACGTTCTGGACGCCATGTATTTTGGTATCCCGGTCCTGGCTGCGAAGTCGGAGCTCTTGGAGGAGGTGGACGGCTACACCTACGATGCCTCAGAGCTGAGGACAGTCGGGGTGAGGATCAGATCCGATCGATGCTGGTGAAGATCCTGCAGTCTTCGCAGACCCAGCTGTCTATCGGCATGGCGGGCCTGCAGACGGCTCTGACGCGTTTCGCGGGCCGCGCGGCGGTGGTCCGGGTAAAACATCTCATCACCCTGTCCAGAGAGAGTCAGGCAGAGAGGGCGGGCCGGGCGGGGGCTTTCGGGTGGGTCCTTTCATCCAGCTGCACGACCCGTTGCAATGGCGCACCGTCCAGCAATGCGTGGCAAATGTGTTGAGTGCACAAGCAAAGCCGCGCACGGTGGACGTATTCCTCGCAACAACTCAGCCAGTCTCAACGCTGGACGCAGTGGTTGGTAATTTGACATCGCCAGTTTTGCAGCATGTCATCGCTGCACAAGTTGCGAACAAGGGGGCTGATATGGGTATTTTCATGCAGCAATTGCAACTGAATCGGGAGCTAGCGCTGGACTTTGACATCTCACTGAAGCTGCACTCCAAGAAAAGAGATGACTGGGACAGTGAGAGTGGTGAAACGTGCTCTGAAGGCCTTCCAGAAAGACCAGAACCTGGGCTTGCTGGGCCCCCACAACTTGACCTGGCAATACGGCCAGGCCAACCTGAAGGAGTTTGTGGCCTTTGAACTGGCGCCTTTTGGCTTTGACTCGGACGCGGAGCGGGAGATCGAGATCACTTGGAGCGTGCTGCAGTCTAAGCTGGGGCAGGAACGCCTGGAAAAGAAGTCCTGGCGCATTGTGGCTACTGGATGCGCAATGGACTCTCTGCTTGGGAGGACAAGATCTTGCCCATGGCGCCCAAACTTCTGAGCCTCATGGGCGAGTACTACAACGGGTGTCATGACCGGCTTAGGTTTCCATACTTTCGCAGATGTAGGAGAGCTTGCGGGAGGCCTGCGGCCCGTGTGTTGCTGCACTCTGCGCTGGGAGGGAATCTTCCGCATGGTGGACGCAGGCATGGATCCGCCTGGAGTCGCTGGAGAGGCGTCCCAAGCAGCACCCGCGAGCTCGACAGGTCCAGGAGCAGGCCCAAGCACTAAGGGACACCAAGGGTCTTGTCATTGTCTCGCCTGGGTTGCACGACAGGCGAGCCGGTATCTTCCGTGGGCCAGGTCCCCAGAGCGGGCATCCGGGCAAAGAAAGTGGAAAAGCTTCCCTAAAGCCTCAGGTGAGAGAGGCCGTCAAGTCCTTCACCAAGTCCTTCACCGATGAAGCGGATTCGTGGACTTGTGGTCTCTTCAGCTGCTGTTGCGACACCGTGCTGCCCTCACATTTTAAGAGTAGACACGCCCTTGCGTGCAACATCCCGTGAAACGAGAGGAGTAAGAAGGACAGTCCAGATCGTCAGCAGGATCCAACGTAGCTCCATGCCTCCATTCTGTTGCCTTCTATTGCGACTCTTCCTCCTCCAAGGCCAGTTATGTCAGCGCTGATGACATCAGAGTTGCTCAGCTCCATTTGTGAGCAAACACATGCTGTCGGGCGCTGCAGAATGGTCGTCATGCTGAAGCAAGGTGTGACGTGGCTGCGATGCAGGACTTGTCATGCAACCTGGCGTCAGCCAGAAATTCTGAGGCGGGAGTGCTGCAATTAAATTGACTTGAGTCCTTCCTGTGCGCTGGTGCATGCTGTGGTGTTAGACCATAAACTAAAACCCACAGGTTCGCGCTGAAGGCAGGCTACTACAGGAGGCTTGAACTAGGAGAAGAGTTGCTCGAGAGGTGCTGGAGGCTGAAAAAATCGGTTCGTGTGCCGCCCAAGACATGCGGGGTCTCCTCTCCACGGTTTCGGACATGGCCTATGGCCTTTCGCTTGTTGCAGTCGCTCCAGAATAAATGGCCTGATATCGGCTGATGCGATTGCTTTCGTTCATTTCATTTCAGATCGCGGCTCACTTCACTTGTAGGAGCCATGCGCTGCATGAAACAACACGCTGAATCCGTGACACATAATGCAACGCATCCCGGCTCGTGATAGCACTCAGTGCGCAGCAGAATCGGCCCGAAAGCCAGAGCGTGCGGCTGTTACGAACGAACAACCAAAAACACGCCAAGAGAAATGCAATCCGGCCCAGATGCACTCAGGAACGGGATCGTGGAATAGAAACATGCCATGGCCTGGCATATCACATCAGGAGCCCAAGTATGAAACGAGCTTCAACGAGCTTTGCGCATCCATAGCATATGACAAGTACGGTCAACTTTTTTGCGCGGCTCTGCAGTGACTGGAGAGGCAGGTCTGCCATCGTCCGTAATCCCGCTGCGCCATCCCCCTGCCACCGTGCAGTGCAGCAAGCAGTGTTAATCTCCACTCGAGGTTTTGATCCGGTAGGAAGTGACCGCATCAAAAACAGTGTAACCACACATCCACGCGATTTTTTTCTTTCCATGCATGATCTTCCAAGTGAGTCGCCTCATGCACTTCTGTTCCATCCTCAGTGTCCTCATCGTTTGTTAACTCTTACTGTTATTCTCACCATGAGTCTCATCACCACGTGTCAGGTATGCTTTTTCATGCCATTCGTCTTGTTTAACAACTCCTGGTTCATAAGTTCGAGCGCCGAGGTGATCGCTTCGGGAGCCAATCCGGCCCGCATGGAGGCTTTGGGATCAGCGGAGAGTGCGGACAGTGTGGCAGCGGTCCACACGCACCCAGGCCTGATCGGTTGTTGCCCGGTTGGGGGGCGGGGGTTGGCTTCAGGGCTTGTGGTGTGGCTAGGGGGGGAGGGTTCTTGGCCTGGCCTTTTCAGGGCTGAAGATTGAGGACTGGGTTGATAGGGTTCCAGATATAGGGATTTCTTTGGGGGACTTGAGGCTGCGAGGAACATGCCCCGCCCTTCCCCCATGTGGCACTTAAGGTACCCCTCCATCTCTCCGACTACGTGGCATTCTACGAGGCCTTCTGGAGCCAGCCGATCCCTTGAGCCGGTAAAGTCCTCTATTCTTTGGCCTTACCGTCCTCATCTCCCCCGCCCCCCCCAAACTCAGGCGCCTTCGCCCCTCAGCCCGAGCTCCCACGTTCCCAAATTCCCAGCAGGACTTCATCGGCATGCACCCGGACTTCTGGCATCTTCTGCCCAGCATCACCCAAGTCCCCGACGGCATCGAGGTGGACGACCCTCAGCTCTGCGTCGCCAAGAAAGGGTGCCGCCTCTAAATCCTTCTCAAACCCCGCACCCCAAATCTTAACAAAATCCCAAAAGAACACTTAAGAGCCCTTAAAACACCTCAAGAACTCCTGGGAATTCTTTAAAAAACCCTAAACAATCCTGCAAGCTCTCAGGAATGGGCCCTGCGCTGCCCGGACATCGAAGCCGCCATCAAGTGCCTCTTCTGCTTTCTGCTGTTCTGGACGGCGAAGGAGCGCGGAGCCCGAAAACTCTCGAAGCCAAGAAAAACAACAGCGGCCGAGGGTTATTGTAGGGCTTATTGGTTAGTCAGGTAGGGTTTATTAGAGCTTGTTAGGGCTCATTGGGGCTGAACAGGGTTTGTTGGGGTTCGACCGTGCCTCCATGTTTGAAGGAAAGCAGTGAGCGCTTCTCCTTCGAGGTTCGATCTCCCCTAAAATCCTGAACCCTAAACCTTAAACCAAGAAGGCCTGAGCCCTTTGAGCGGCTTCTCCTACTTCCGACAAGCTAGCCCTGCAGTGCTCTGGCTAGACGGGTGACAACAAAATCCCTAACCCCAAACCCCAAACGCTAAACCTTAAACCCCTGCCCCTATACGTCTGGAGCTCCTTGGGGTTTAGGACTTCGAGTTCCTTGCGGTTCGAGTTTAGGGTTGTTTTTTTGCCACCCGCCTAGCTGCCTGTAACATCGCACTGCGAGGAATTAAACGGCAGTATTGACTGAGTGGAAACTCATGTGCCCATACTCCTGCTTGTTCCACGGGTTTCCCGCCCACCAGGCTCATAACCCCTACCATAGAACTTGAAGCACCAAAACTACCAATCCACAAAAAAAAGCTCCACAATCTTCGTCTAGTGGGCTATTGACTTGGGGTAGGGCCGCTGGAGCCCTTCAAATGCGCAGTCATGTATGCTGGTCTCGGTCAGTACGACCCTTCTTCGGTTTTCCGGTCAATACCCACATCAGTTATCCCAAATGCCGAACTAAGATACCCAACATGCTTTAACTAGCACACCCGGAAACGGTATCGACCAGGGTCCCGACTCCCTGCCTACAATCCATTTCTCATGTGGAGTTCTTCACCGCACACTCTAACCCACAACCTGTCACGCTATCGAACACAACCTTTGAGCTACCCCACTCTGGGTCACTTTGGACAGGAAACCCTAGTTTGGGGGGCGAGATGAACCCTACAAGGGTTTATGGTTCATATACCTTATTGTGAATTTTCGAAGGTGGCTGACGCTCTGCCGTTGCGCAACGCAGCGCTGGATGCCATCGAGCGGAATGACGCCAACCTGGCAGTTGTAGCACATGAAATGTTGTATACCAAGCCCTAAGCCCTACACCCAGGCCTTAGCCCTAAGCCCTAAGTGCACTAAGCCCTAAGCCCTACGCCCTGAGCCCTGAGCAGTGAGCCCTGAGCCCTTAGCCTTAAGCCCTAAGCCCTGAGCCCTGAGCCCTGAGCCCCGAGCCCCGAGCCCTAAGCCCGGAACCCCAATGCACCAGTTAAACCTCGTTTCTACTTTTGCTGCCACTCTTGTGTTGTTGCGGCGCGCGAGACTCTCTTGGAGCAGCCCAAAATGGGGGTTTCCGATAGGGTACCCTTTTTGGGGTCCCTTTAAGGAGATTCTATTCTATATGGGGTAATACAAGGGTACCCCTATTTTCGTAAACCCCCACATGCCACCCAAGAAAGGCTGTGCACAGGAGAGATCCAACCCCAACCCAACACCGTTCATCGGCGTGCGAGGCCCAAAGCTGTAAACCCTAAACCCGAAACCCTAAAACCCCTAAACCCTAAACCCGAAACCCTAAACCCCAAACCTGCGAAGCTGCCAAGTGCCCACTCAGGACTCGCGCCTTGGCACTGAGATCGGCACCAAGGTACGGGGCGACGCCTTGCAGGAGAGGCCCAGGGCTTTTGCGGGTTTCGGGTTGAGGTGGGCTTCGCGTGTTTTAGGGGTACAGGGGTTGAGAGCTTTGCATGTTTTTGGCGGACGTTTTTTGCTTGTGCTGGCTTGTGAGTACCATGGCAGATATCGCGTAGAGCCTGGATGCAAAAAAGGTTTTGAGGGCTGATTAGGGTTTAGGGTATAGGGATTAGTAGGGGTGTCTGGAGCAGGACCTGAGGTTTCTGTGGGCTTTGGCACCTTTAGCTTTTCACCCCTCCCGAAACCCGAAATGTTTCTTTTGCCACACACACCTTTCATTCCCCAAACAGGAACCGCTTGGGGTAGAGAAAAGAAGGTGTCACGCACTTGGCTAGATTGGTGTCAAGCGGTTGGGCCCGTGGTCTCCCATGGTCTCCGATCATGAGCACAATTGGGGTCGGGTGGGTGTCACGTGGTGTGGGTCCGTCGTCTCCCACGGTCTCCGATCATGAGCGACGGGGTTGGGAGGGTGTCACGTGGTTGGGGTCCGTGGTCTCCCATGGTCTTCGCTCCTGAGCACAATTGCGGGCTGGGCGGATCGATCCTGCCAACATGCCCCTGTCGAGCCCAAGGATCCCCGGCCAACAAGCTTGGGTGCTATTTGAGTACGCTCGGCCCCCAAAAAGCAGGATGCTAGTTTAACACGCTCGGCCCCCAAAACTTGGGTGCTATGCGAGTACTCTCGGTCCCGCAAATCAGGATGCTGTTGAACACGCTCGGTCCCCAAAACTTGGTTGGGTGCTATTTGAGTACGCTCGGTCCCCAAGAGGCAGGAGGCTAGTTGAACACGCTCAGTCTTTTCGCGCGCACAAGGACCAACCAAGACGCCTCTCTGAAACCTTCAAACCTCGCACGTTGGGCCCTTCAAGCACGTTCTGGTTGGAGGGCTTCAGGCCTAGCCTCTAGTTGCCCTGACCCTACGAGCACGAAGGGAATGGACATGTGACAAACTTTTAGGGTTCTGAAAGTGAAAACGTTAGGAAACACGTAGGATGTTTTTGCGCTTCTATAGAACCTTTTCGCACAGCCGCACAGCAAGGCAGGTTTTTACCCAACTTTTCGTGCTTAGCGAAAAGGTTTCGCGGCCCCTAAAGAAGGTGGTTCAAGTAAACAGATGTTTATTCCTTGCGTGCTGGGTAACGTAATCGTGGCTCCACAGGGTGTACAAGCGCAAAAACATCCTATGTTTTTCTAACGTTTGCACTCTTCAGAACACTGCAGAAGTAAAAAACAATTAAAACACATCCCTTAAGGGTTTGTCGTATGTCCCCTCCCTTCGTGCTAGGGTTTGGTTAGGGCCCTAGAAGTTTGTCGTATGTCTCTTCGTGCTCGTAGGGTGAGGGCCCTAGAGGTTAATGTAGCCGTTTTAAAGTGCAGGCGGGTTATGGGGCCACGATTACGTTACCAGCACGTTCTTTCGGAAACGTTTGAAAATGCAGGCGGTCTAACGGGCCACGATTGCACTACCAGCACAAGCTTGTAGGCGCAGAATGCTAGCCCTGACAACATGTTTTAACATGTTGAAACGCCATAGATGTTTCCCCGAAGGGAGGGGACGTGCGACAAACTTCTAGGGCTCTCACCAAACCCTACGAGCACGAAGGGAGGGGACATACGACAAACTTCCAAGGGATATGTTTTTACTTCTACAGTGTTCCGAAAGTGAAAACGTTAGGAAAAACATAGGATGTTTTTGTGCTTTCTATAAAGCTTTTTCGTAGAGCAAGCCCCTCAAAAACGTGGTTTAAGTAAACAGAGATGGTTATCCCTTGTGCTGGTAACGCGTGGCTCATGGCTGTTTTAGCAGCTTCTCAGGCTGAGCATAGTCCAGTTTTCGCGCCGCCCTCAGAAGTAGGCATTGATATGCAGTTTCAAGACATTCAGTGTCGCATCCCTCAGAGGTTTGTCGTCCCCTCCTTCGTTCCAGGGCCCTAAGGTAGAAGTCACATGTACCTTCGTGCTCGAAGGGGTTATGGGGCCCAGGCTTTTGGAACCGTCATTAAATGCAGGCGGGGCGATAGGCCACGATTACGCTACCAGCACAGGCTTCTGGGCGCTGAACGCTCGCCCTGAAAACGTGTGTTAACGTGTTGAAACACCATAGATGTTTCCCCTGCGACCGCATAGCTCGCGCTATGGCGCGAGCTATTTGGTCACACCAAACCAAACCCTACGAGCACAAAGGGAGGGACATACGACAGACCTCTTAGTACAGGATGCTAGTTGAACACGCTCGGTCCCCAAAACTCCGGCGCTATTGGAGTAAGCTCGGCCCCCAAAAGGCAAAATGCTAGTTGAACACGCTCGGTCCCAAGACTTGGGTGCTGTTTGAATACTCGCGGTCACCGAAAAGGAGGATGACAGTTGGGTCCCCAAAACTTGAACCCTAAACAACACCCACGTGCCCACCAAAAAGACCCGGTATCCTTGTGGCTGTGGTATGAAAGGGCGAAAGGCCAAGCCGACATCACGTCAAGCTGAAGATTGTCTGGGCCCCCGAACCCCCAAAACCCGCCCCTTCTTTGGCTTCTTGCTCCTAAGCCCCTAAACCCCTAAACCGAAAAACTTCTAAGCCTCTAAGCCCCTATCCCGAGAGTCTAGCGCCACTCCCAGGATCCGCTATGCCGACCGACTGTTCCGCCAGAGCTCGCCGACCTAAAGATTCTCAGCTTTCTTTCAAACATGGCTTGGGGTTTGGGGGGGTGTAGGGGTGGTTTAGGGGTGGGGTTTAGGGGTTTCGGTGGGGTTTAGCGGGGTCTTGGGCTTATGGGTTGTTAGAACGTTTAAGGATTCGCTTGGTGAAGGGTTTGGGTGTTTAAGGTGCGGATCTTACCTCGCGATAAGGGCCCCTAAGCCCCTTGAACCCTGCCGGTAGGGGTCCAAGGTAGGGCCCCTTGACTTGCGTGAAGGACTGTGATGAACTCTGTCCTCCAAGACCAATGGACCACTTTCGCCCTTCGAGTTGCTCGAGGAGGCCAGTGGGTTATGAGGGTTTAGGGTTTAGGGTTTGTGGAAAAAGAAGGGTGCAGGGCTGGTCCTGTGCTAACATAGGGTGTAGGGTTGGTTTAGGATTCAGGGTTGTTGGGGTGTTAGGGTTTATAGGGGTCGAAAGGTGTCCTCCTACCCATGCCTGCTGGACTTCACCACGACAGCTGTGTTGTGGGGGGGGTTGGAGGGCTTCTGCCCAAGAGAGAGATGCTCCTTTTGCAGCCATGATGCGGCGAAGATGCCACAAGATGCTTTCATGATGCGGCAAAAATGTTCCCGTGATGCTTTCATGATGCGGCAAAAATGATTCGTGATACTTTCATAATGTGCAACGTTCATTTTGTGCATGCCGCGTGACGCTTTCATTTGTGCATGTCACGTGACGCGTTCCTGCGTTCACTTTTTTGCATGCTGCGACCGTTTTCCTGATGTTAACGAGAAAGTCGTTAAGGTGCAATTCGATTTGGGTGTGTGGGCGCCATGGAGAACTTTTACCGAGAGCGGCGGCGGCGGTGCGGTGGTGCGCGGTGCGGCGGTGCGCGGTGCGGTGGTGGTGCGCGCGGGGGAGATGGGGGACTTTTGCCGAGAACGGTGGCGGTGCGGTGGCGCGGTGCGCGGCGGCGGCGCGGCGGCGGTGGCGTGTGGGGGGGATGCCGAACTTTTGCTGAGAACGGTGCGGTGCGGCGGTGCGGTGCGGCGGTGCGGCGGTGCGGTGGCGGTGCGGTGCGGCGGTGCGGCGCGAAAACTTTAAGCTGATGATTAAAAACCAGTGACTTTTGCCGTGGCTGTAACCGACTTTCTTTAGAGCGCCCTGCAACCCTAACTCCTTGCGTCCCTGTAGGAGTGCCAGCCTGCATAAGCCCTATCCCCTTCCGAGAAGGCCCTAACCTTAATACATGTCCGCGCCGCTCCATGGTTCAAGTAAGCGGTAGGCCGCAGAGCGCCCTGACCGCACGACAGCGTGGCAGCATGTAGCACACCGCAGCACCGCAGCACTGCGTCGCCGCAGCACTACAGCGCTACAGCACCACAGCGCTACAGCACCACAGCAGGCACAGTTAGGCACACAGCCTTGTAGCCTCTAGCTTGTAGCCACGGAGGTAGGAGGAGAAAGCGACCCCGCGATGGCTCTCTTGTGGGCATGGTGCTGGGCGATGCTGCTGATGGCTCTGATGCGAGGGCATCAGGCTGTCAGTAGCAGCGGGAGCGGCAGCTACTCGCCCGTGGAGGAGGACCAGGAGGTGGTGGGGGGGGTGGCGGAGGGAGGAGGAGGAGGTCTCTCCGCCTTTCTAGGAGCGGAGGAGGTCCCGGTGGTGCCCCCCCCAGAGGGCGGAGGAGGAGGAGGCAGTGGAGGCGGTGGAGGAGGCCCGCAGACGGGAGCCCGGACAGTGGAGGAGGAGGCCCGCAGAGGCCCGCTAAGGCTTTCAAAGGCAGTCGGCGCGGGCTGTGCGCCAGAGTTCGAGAGAGTGAAAACAGCAGGGAGAAACTCAACTAGGACACGGGACAGGAGTCCAAGGTGGAGGAGACCTGCCGCCGATGCGGCAGCATCCTCCCAAGCCACCGCGTGGCTGTGAGGGCCTTGGATTGCGTGGGAGGTATGCTCCTGTTTTTCCAGAACCGCTGACCAGGCTCACCTCGACTAAACCCTTCCCATTGCGTGCTGCAAGACAATGCTCTGTCGTCCTGCCCGTTGCTTTGCATTCCGCTTTGCAGCCTGTTGCTGGTGCCTTTATGTGCCTTTTCCCTGAGATCATTGCGTGGCATGTGTGGCCATCCGCCTGATTGACCCCCGGCTTCGCTTCTGCTCTCATGACTCAAGACCGCATTCTCCGAGGCACACTTCCCGTTCACCTTTGCAGTGATGCATTGCAGCGGCTGGGAGAGTGGTAAAGCGCATGATGCTAACATTGACTCATACTTGCAGAAATTGCTATCAAACACTTTCTTTGCGTCTGCTGCGCTCTCGGTACTGTGTGCAGAAGCTGCTGCGCTCGCCTGCGCGCACGCGCTCACGGGGAGCAGTCTGTAGTTGTTTTCCTGTCTTTTGGTTGCGTGGGCTAGTACGTTGTTTGCAAGCTGCCTTTCCCCCTTTGCCCTGTTCTTCACGGCGTTTGATTGGAAAGCAACAAAAAAGGGGAACCCGTGTTTTTTTGGTTTTTTTGTTGTTGCGGCTTTTTTGTTAAGGCGACCCAAAGCCGGCCTCCGCAGCAAAAAAAAAGCGCCCGGCCTCCACAGCAAAAAAAAAAACCGCGCCCGGCCCCGGAGCAAAAAAACAAAAAACGCGCCCGGCCTCCACAGCAAAAAAACAACGCGCCCTGGCGAGGGAGGAGTACGCCGCCAGGGCAGACCAACAAGTGAGTGAGTGAGCCCGCGCCTCCGGAGCAAAAAAAAAAAAAACGCGCCCGGCCTCCCACAGCAAAAAAAAAAACGCGCCGGCTCCACGGCAAAAAAAAAAACGCGCCCTGGCGAGGGAGGAGTACGCAGCCAGGGCAGACAACAAGTGAGTGAGTGAGCCCGCGCCTCCGGAGCAAAAAAAAAAAAACGCGCCCGGCCTCCGGAGCAAAAAAAAACACGCCCGGCCTCCACAGCAAAAAAAAATAACGCGCCCTGGCGAGGGAGGAGTACGCAGCCAGTGCAGACCAACAAGTGAGTGAGTGAGCCCGCTCCTCCGGAGCAAAAAAAAAACGCGCCCGCCCTCCGGAGCAAAAACAAGAACGCGCCCCTGGCGAGGGAGGAGTACGCAGCCAGCGCAGACCAACAAGTGAGTGAGTGAGCCCGCGCCTCCGGAGCCTAAAAAAACAAAAAAAACACCCCCGGCCTCCGCAGCAAAAAACAAACGCGCCCTGGCGAGGGAGGAGTATGCAGCCAGGGCAGACCAACAAGTGAGTGAGTGAGCCCGCGCCTCCGGAGCAAAAAAAAAAAAAACGCGCCCGGCCTCCCACAGCAAAAAAAAAAACGCGCCCGGCCTCCGGAGCAAAAAAAAAGAACGCGCCCGGCCTCCGCAGCAAAAATAGATGGCGTGAGTGAGCCCGCTCCGGAGGCCGCGCCCGGCCTCCACAGCAAAAAAACAGCGCGCCCGGCCTCCACAGCCAGGCCAAAAAAAAGCGCCCTGGCGAGGGGACGGGAAGCAAAGGCCCAGAGTCCGTACTGCTGCTGAGGATTTTTTGGGTTTAGGCCGGGCAGCAAAGGCCCAGAGTCCGTCCTGCTGCTCAGGATTTTTGGGGTTTAGGCCGGGCAGCAAAGGCCCAGAGTCCCTACTGCTGCTCAGGATTTCTTGTGTTTAAGCCGGGAAGCAAAGGCCCAGAGTCCATGCTGCTGCTCAGGATTTTTTGGGTTTCGTTGTCGTCGTCGTCGTCGTAGCAGCTTCGTCGTAGTTGTCGTAGTCGTCGTAGTCGTAGTCGTAGTAGTCGTAGGATTGGTAGTAGTAGTCGTCGTCGTAGTAGTAGTCGTCGTAGTAATGTCGTCGTAGTCGTCGTTGTCGTTGTCGTAGTCGTAGTCGTAGTCGTAGTCGTAGTCGTAGTCGTAGTCGTAGTCGTAGTCGTAGTCGTAGTCGTAGTCGTAGTCGTAGTCGTAGTAGTCGTAGTCGTAGTCGTAGTCGTCGTAGTAGTAGTCGTAGTCGTAGTAGTCGTAGTAGTCGTAGTAGTCGTAGTAGTAGTAGTAGTAGTAGTAGTAGTAGTAGTAGTAGTAGTAGTAGTAGTAGTAGTAGTAGTAGTAGTAGTAGTAGTAGTAGTATTCGTCGTAGCAGTAGAAACACCGCGATATATGGCGTTGCGATGGTTGCGGAACGTCTGTAGGCCCCGTCAACCTGACGCCCTAACCCCCCCCCCCAGGAAGCAAAACCACAAAGCCCTGCTTTTTTGGTTGTAAAGCCGCGCAAAGCGTGCTTCAAAGCGGATGCATCTTGTTGAAACCCATCGTAAGAGCATTGTGTTTGCAAATGGGGGGGGGGCTGCGCCCCCCCCAACCCCCCCGCTGTCCCCCGCTGTTTTTTTTTGGCCGCGCAAGCATGCATCAAAGCGCATGACCCATATGAACCTTGTTGAAACCCATCGTACATGCACCCCCCCCCAACCCCCCTGCTTTTTTAGGTTTTAAAGCGTGCTTCAGAGTATGTGAATCTTGTTGAAGCCCATCGTGCGAGCATTGTGTATGCAAAAGGGGGGGGCTGCGCCCCCCCCAACCCTGCCGCTGTCTTTTTTGAGCCTGAGCCGTGCAAGCGTGCGGCAAAGCGTATGAATCTTGTTGAAACCCATCGTAAGCTTCTCGGCTCGGGTCACATGTTTCTTTTGGTAGGGGGTCAACCGGGTTCGAGGCCAAACAGGTTCTCTGTTCCACTGGACCCCCTCCGGACGCTGTAGTTCTTGCTTTTGCACATGGTTTCTCAATACTGAGCCTGGGGAAGCCGCACATCGGCACCCATTCACAGATGCAATGACGATGGCGATATGTCAGAGACCCGTGCATTCAGGTTGTCCTCGGTGCACTCACTGGCCTTCATGGATCTGGTATGGTATTTGCATGGCATTCTGCTATTGGATGTTTTTGGAGACGCCTTTGCCACTTGATGAGCTGGTTGCGCAAACGCAGTTAGCCCCACGGTTGGGAGATACACAAGTGACACCTTCAAGCATCCTCACTGCAGGTCCGCTCTTCTTTATTTTACGAGCCGTGCCGGTCCCAAGTCCGGCAACCAGCATTCCTGGATGGGCCACTGAAGACAGGCCAAAAGTATTGCTGGTAGAAGTGAGGGTTGCTGCAGATTCCAGTGCTGCAGCGGGAGCCAATCAGGTTCGTGATCACCTGGGCTTCATGTGTGGGCGAAGATACTGGCCAGGCATTATGTACGCACCAACGCTTCGGGGCGGACTGCAAGGTACAGTGTTTTCACTGCCAGCGAGCTCGCGCCTATGCTCAGTGCTTGGTTTATTTATTTCGTATTTGCTTTTGTTATTCATGTTGTATGACTATTCATTGCCACTTACGGTTGCCAGGCTTTGCGGCAATCAGGCATTTTGGGATGAATGTATGGCCACTTGCGGTTGTCAGGCTTTACGGCAACCAGGCCTATGGGCAGGGCGCCGTCTTCGGCCCCTACATTGTGCTGCTACAGTTTGTCTCTATGCAGATGAATTCGTTTTTGCTGAGGCGACGTCTGGGACTGCTCTGATGGCCCACCTCATGGTGCTTTCACCTTCGATTGCAACAGCTGGAAGGATATGTGACGACATTCGTTGTGGACAGTTCGTTCCTGTTTCCCACCTAGCCCTTCTGGGAGTTCGTGGGTCGACCCATGGCGAGTTTTCGGGCAATGAGGCAACTTGCGCGATGCGACGAGTCACTGTAGTACCAGACTCTCCATGGAGGTCCTCAACTGTCTGCCCTATGAGTTGGATCATCATTGAGCTGACCATCTTTGACTCAGTTCTTTGCTTGTACAATGCATGTGCTGGAGCAGTACCACACACTCACCCCATACTTGCTTGGTTTTTCTTGGCCACTTGCGATTGCCAGGCTTTACGGCAACCTGGCCTGTGGGCGGGGGCGCCGTATTATCGGCCCTTCTATTCAATATGCTGCTGCTATTTGTTTTAATTTCTTATCTGGTGGGTGCATTGGGCTTCCTCAACGTGATGGTCCCCTACGCTGTGTACCTGCCGCTGAGGTGTTCTTGGGATTGCTCTGATGGTTCTCTTTTTGTGGGCTTGTTGTGGACTCCGTTTCACTTGAAATTGGCCTGTGGAGTGCATTTCGATGCTCTAGTGGACTCTGAGTCCGTCCCTCCATGGAGGTCCTCAACTGACTGCTTTTCATGAGTGAGATCCATCATTGAGCTGACCATTTTGTAGCTCAGTGCTGAAGTTGTACAGTGTACAGGGCTTGCGCAGCACTTGTCTCGGGGTTGCCGTTTCCGGCCCCCTGCCCAAGGCAGAGTGGCGTGATGTGTTTTTGCTTTCTTCGTTTTGACAATTCATTCACTGTTCAGCTGAGCTGTCACAGTCTACTCCCTAGTTAGTAAGCGCGAGAACGCTAGGTTGAGCGACTGTGAGCGCTGGAGACCCTGTACTGCACAGTTTGTTGAACTTCGGTTCCTGTGCATACCCGAAGCTGTTAATCGCCGCCACAGAGCGGCCGTGACATATGTCATCAGCTACAGCTAGCTAGTAGGTCAGACCAGACCGCTGCGGAATCGAGTTCGAGTGAAACCCATCGTGCGAGCCCTGCTTTTTTGGTTTTAAAGCCGCGCAAAGCGTGCTTCAAAGTACATGAAACCCATCGTACGAGCATTGTGTTTGCAAATGGGGGGGGGGCTGTGCCCCCCCAGCCCCCCGTTTTTTCTTTTTAGCCGTGCAAGCGTGCTGCAAAACATAAGAATCTTGTTGAAACCCGTCGTGCGAGCCGTGTGTTTGCAAATGGGGGGGGGGGGGCTGCGAACCCCCCCGCTGCATTTTTCTCTTCAAAGCCGTGCAGAAGCGTGCTTCAAAGTAAAATATGCTGTGCAAGCGTGCTTCATCGAGCATTGTGTTTGCAACACCCTAAACCCTAAACCCCTGAACCCCTAAACCCAAAACCCTAAACCCTGAACCCTGAACCCTTAAACCCTTAAACCCTTAAACCCTTAAACCCTTAAACCCTTGAACCCTGAACCCTAAAAACCCTAAAAACCCTAAACCCCTAAACCCCTAAACCCCTAAACCCTGAACCCTGAGCCCTGAACCCTGAACCCTAAACCCTAAGCCCGAAACCAGCCCTAAACCGTGCAAAGCGTGCTTCAAAGTTGAATCTTGTTGAAACCCATCGTACGAGCATTGTGTTTGCAAATTGGTGGGGCTGCGCCCCCCGCAACCCCCCCGCTGTGTTAATTTGAGCCGTGCAAGCATGCGGCATAACATATGAAACTTGTTGAAACCCATCGTGCGAGCGCCCTGCTTTTTTTGGTTTTAAAGCCGCGCAAAGCGTGCTTCAAAGCAGATGCGTCTTGTTGAAGCCCATCGTACGAGCATTGTGTTTGCAAATGGGGGGGGGGGGCTGCGCCCCCCCCAACCCCCCCGCTGTGTATTTTTAGCCGTGCAAGCGTGCTGCAAAACATATGAATCTTGTTGAAACCCGTCGTGCGAGCCGTGTGCTTGCAAATGAGATGCGTCTTGTTGAACCCATCGTACGAGCGTTGTGTTTGCAAATGGGGGGGCTGCGCCCCCCCCAACCCCCCTTTTTAGCCATGCAAGCGGGCTGCAAAACATATCGTACGAGCATTGTGTTTGCTGGGGGCGGGGGGGGGGGGCTGCGCCCCCCCCAACCCCCGCTGTTTATTTTTAGCCGTGCAAGCGTGCTGCAAAACATAAGAATCTTGTCGAAACCCGTCGTGCGAGCCGTGTGTTTGCAAATGGGGGGCGCTGCGCCCCCCCCCCCAACCCCCCCGCTGCTTCTTGTTGAAACCCATCGTACGAGCATTGTGTTTGCAAATGGGGGGGGCTGCGCAGCAAAAAAAAAGAACGCGCAAGGCCTCCACAGAAAAAAAAAACCCTAAACCCTGAACCCTGAACCCTAGAACCCAAAGCACTTAAACCCTTAAACCCTTGAACCCTTAACCCTACACCCTAAACCCCTAAACCCTGAGCCCTGAACCCTGAACCCTAAACCCTAAGACCTTGCAAAGCGTGCTTCAAGCGAAAAAACGAGCAAGGCCTCCACAACACAAAAAAAACAAGCGCAAGGCCTCCACAGCAAAAAAAATGTGCAAGGCCTCCACAGCACAGAAAAAAAGCGCAGACCTCCACAGCAAAAAAAAAACACAAGGCCCCTACAGCAAAAAAGACCCACAAGCCTACAGCAAAAAAAAGCGCAAGGCCTCCACAGCAACAAAAAACGCACAAGGCCTCCACAGAAAAAAAACGCACCAGGCCTCCACAGCAAAAAAAATCCCACAAGGCCCCTACAGCAAAAAAATCGCGCAAGGCCTCCACAGCAAAAAAAAAACGCGCAAGGCCTCCACAGCCAAAAAAAAAAACGCACAAGGCCTCCACAGCAAAAAAGAAACCGCGCAAGGCCTCCACAGAAAACAAAAAAAACGCGCAAGGCCTCCACAGCAAAAAGCAAAACGCGCAAGGCCTCCACAGCAAAAAAAAAAGGAGCATATATATGTTTACAAGTATAAATATAAATATAAACACAATCAAAAACATAGACATAAACATAAATATAAATGTAAATATACATAGAAATATAGATATAGATATACATAAAAATATATAAAGATAAACATAAACATAAATATAAAAACAATGATAAAGATAAATATAAATATAAAGATAAATAGAACAAAATCTATATAGATAAAAATATAAATGTAAGTATAAATATAAATACTGTAATAAATATAAGTATAAATAGAAATATAAGTAGAAATATTAACATATGAGAATATCAGGCTGTTGTTGTCGCATAGTCGTGGTAGTGCATCATCGACAGGCCGTACGAGACCGTGAATATGCAGAGGACGCTGTGCGCCGCGCAGAAAGCGCCCAGGCGCTGCTGCAAAGCAAGGCGGCTGTGTGTGTGTGTGTGCGCAGACGTACGTTGGCAAGGGGGTGCCGGAGATTCAGGCTAAATCAAGTCAACGAAGCCAAGACCATGAAGGCCAATTTAACCCAAGAAAGCTTGCCCGCATCAGCAAAGAATCCAATCGTCAAAAACACCAAGCAAGTGACCCAGGCTGTCGAGCTCCGCAATTCGCAAGAGGAAGTGCGGGACTTACTCAACTGATCACCATGCCGGACGGCCTACGTTTCAGGAACACTGTTCCTAGTCCTAGTTTGTTCCCGTAGCTTGCGGCCAGTCGTTCCAAGGTGCGACGCCTCGCAGCTCAAAGTCAAGAGTCTGCCGACGTGTTAAGGAGCAGTTGCGGTGCAGATGTAGCTGGCACTGTCGCAAGCGTATGGCAGTGGCATGGCTAGCAGGACACTTTTGGTAAGTCATCAACAGCTTGACAAGAGATTTGAAAGGCATCTTGGCTGCAAGCGCCGAGCTGTGGAGCTTTCCTGAAAATATTACTCCAAGGCCAACGCTGGCAGGTGAAATCATGCCAGGGGGGATTCAGGCCCTCGAATTTGGTGGACCCTTATCTGCATGCTTGACAGATTCGATGGCCAAGGTTGGAGAACCCCTCTCAGGGCGTTGTGAGCCTTGAAGATAAGGAGCCGGGTTTGCAGAATCTTTTGGAAGTTGCTTGAGGGCCGAGGGCATCCGAGGGTTTGTTTGGTCCTGCAAAAATGTCGGAGCCCTAAAGGCCCTAAACTTCCATCCCCAGCCCATCCCCAGCCCAAAGATTTCAGCAACGGAGGAAGTCGCGACGGGGCACTTCTGCTGCCAAGGCATGTTGTGAATGGCGAAAACCTGGTGCAGGTGTGAATCGGACGGATTCAATGCCAGGGTGAAAAAAGTCGCAATGTCTTGATGTTCCTTGAGCCAGGTGCACCCCATTCAAAGCAGAATGTGAAAGTGTACAATAAAGTTATGTGCTACTTGTTTCCTTATGTGACTGTTTGGAGCTTGGCTCTGAGTGTTTGTGGAGCTGCTTTGAAGCAACATCATGATCCGAATGGTCGGGTCCTCGGTTTCTCAGTTTGTGTGTGCGGTCTCACACACTTGGTCAGTGTGACGTTCACCCACCCACCCCAAAATGCGAAAGCTGAATTTCTTCGAAGCTTCGAAAGGGCTGCAGTGCACCGTGGTTATGTGCAAATGTTTTACCTAGCTTGCGGGGGTCGCGTCCTTTGAGAATATGGCTCTGCTCACAGCATAAGCAGTCGCAGCAAATTCACAAGTTGTTCCATTGTCCACTGCCTGCTTCCGCCTGCTGTCCTGTTCTTCTTTTGCTTGCCGAGGCGCGAGGTGACTTGCCAAAGATGCCGACGAAGCCTTTGCCAGCCACAAGTGCTGGCCGAGTTGTGTCCGCAAAGAATGCTGGGATCACTTTGTGCGGGCGTCCAGACAGTCCAGATCTTAAGATGCCGCGCATATTACGTCAGAAATCTTCAGAATACCAACATGAAGTATGCATCCGATCTTGTGTCACGCCAAGTCGTACCAGTGCTCAAGTTCGTCCATTCGTATGGCACAAGCCTGCAACACAAGCTGGGTTGCCATGCCCGAGAATATCCGAGAATCTCAAACACGATGCTCTGTCTCAATGAGTCTCCACTTCTTTCTACAAAGTCTCCACGTCTTTTGGGCCCCCCATCCCTTCAAAGACCCAGAGAGATCACAGCTGCTCTCAGCTCTGCGGCGTCATAGCTCATAAGCTTTGCGGCTTTTTCTTGAAGCCGGATGTCCGCTCCCATTTGACCCGGCCCTGACCGGCTCCGACCGGCTGCGACCGGCTCCGACCGGCTGCGACCGGCTCCGACCGGCTCCTTGGATGTGACAGCTCTCGAAGACCCATCCCCCCCTCCCCCCATTTGTCGCAAAAGGCAAAGGCCAGAGACAAGGCCTTCCCTAAGTTTCTTGCCTGGAGGCAAAGGCTGCTCGGGGAGGTGATGTCTGAGACCTCGGGTCCGCAGCCTAGTCCATGCCCAGTTTTACGAGTGGTGTGGTACTCTTCTCTGATGCGGCTGTCATCTTCTCCACTTCTTCATTCTTCAAGGTTGGATTGACTCTATTGACATCTTGACATCTTTTGACATCTGTTGGCATCTTTGGACTCCTACTGGCGCTCTTGACACTATTTGGTTCTCTACGTCTGTGCTGGGGTGACGGTTTCCTGCGACAGGTCGGGCAAGCGGGCATAACCCAAAAGCCCTGACACCCAGAGCATCAGCACAATTCAGCACACCAGCCCAAGACCTTCGACCGTCCTGGGCCACGTAAATCGGGGCACCCGTAAACAAAGAGATCTGAGAGACCTGTCTCAAGGCGTCGAGCTCACCTTTCAGCGTGCCTCTGTGCACCTGGTCCACGATGTCAAACGCCTCGAGGTCTCGGGTTCCAGGTTTGGGGTGAAGGGTCGGAAGCAGGTTGTGACGGGGTGTGAAGGGCTAGCTGTTTGTTCTTCGAAGCACGCTCCAGCCCCACAGGAATCTGCATACCAGAGACCAGGAAACAGTACGAGAAAGGCTGAAAGCCAGCTTCCACAACGCAAGCCGGAAGAAAGGCCAAAGCAAAGTTTAGAGCACTTGCCAGGATGGCGAGGACTTGAACGATGCCCTGCTGGACTTCTTCGTGAAGCTTGGCCAGGCCATGAGTCTGAGACGGGGTGACACACTCGTGAAGTTTATCTCGAAGTGTTGGTTGGGGGTATTGGCGAAAAATTGGGGGGCTTCTCTGCTCCAGCATTTCCAGCACAAGTTAGTGCCAGTTACTGCAGTTGTAACTGCTCTCGCGTGTCAGTTGACAACGTTGAGGCGCTGATACCGAATGGCAAGAAAGAAGGCTTCAACGAAGGCGGCTTTGACTCCTTTGTTGCTGTTTGGTGACGTTCCAATCGAGCTTTTTGAGGCCTATCTCCCATCGCCTATCTTGGCTCCTACTTCTACGGCATGCTGCAGAAGGGCCATGTCTGGATCTTTCGAGTTTTCTCTCTCTACGCCCAAGCTGCTTCTGTGTTCACTCGTTTAAGCTAATATATGTTCTCTATATGTTCTCTATATGCCTATGAGAGAGGCTGTTGCTTTTCAGAGCTTCCGAGGCCTCAGATGGCCGTGCAGGTGCGAAGCCCCGCAGATCGAGACTTCGACTTCGAGACATCCGATTCCGATGGCATTTGCTTTCGCATCCGTTTGCTTTCGCTTCCGTTAGAGGGTTGTCCATGAGGCTTTTCTGTCGTAGGAGTTCGACTCCTTAGAGCCGGAGGCCACGCCAATGTGGCCAACTGGGCCAAGCGGCGTTTGGGGAAGGGCGGCCTCTTTGCAGACCAGGCCCGGGGTCCGCTCTGCAGCAGAGTTCTACAGAGCAGTGCCGCTTGTGGCCTGTTGTGGCTTCGATGGGCTGAGGTTGGGGCATTCGCCGTGCCGGTGAATGAGCTGCTGCGGGCCACTTGCCCTAAACAGGGCAGATCAGGGCCGGATAAAGCATAAAGTCATAAAGCAAAGATAGGAGAATGATGAACGCGCGTGTAGCAAGTCCTTGAGTTCTTGTTCGAAGTCGAAGTCGAGAGGGGCTCGTGTGGAGGACTACATGGGCAGGCACCAGGAGAAGCACTGGTGGCTCGCAGTGCTCATTAACCCTCGAGGAGGACCCCCGCCAACTGTTCACTGAAAGCCTCACAAATTGTGTGTGTGTAGAGAGAAAGAGTTCATGTCAACAGGCTGCCCGAACCAGGGCCCGCTCCCAGAGGCCCGCGCCTTAACTTTTCTTAAACAGTGTCTGGGTTTCTTGTCTGAAGGGTCTTTTTCTCCTCTTCTCCTCTTCTCCTCTTCTCCTCTTCTCCTCTTCTCCTCTTCTCCTCTTCTCCTCTTCTCCTCTTCTCCTCTGCTCTTCTTCTCTTCTTCTCTTCTTCATTTCTTCATTTCTTTTCTTTCTCTCCCTCTCACTCTGCGCTTCCTGACGCCTCTCAGGCTGTGAGCGTGGCTTGCCTGGACTCCTTCGCACGTTCGGGGCTTGGCCACCGCGTCAAGCAGCGTGATTCTGAAGCTTTATGTGTGTGCTCTTGCAAGGCACAGGGATGCGGTACAAGCCTCCCAGGTGAGCGGAATAATGCATTGGTGTGGGGGACGGCGAGGGTGGCCATGAGTGCCCATGTGGCAGGCGTTCATTGAAAGATGGTACGATTGAGGTGGGAGGGGCGACCCTCTCTGCTTGCTTTGACCCTCGCTGCTTGCTGTCCCTTGCAGTGTTTCAGTGTGTTTCAGTCCTGAGGATGTTGAAGACTGTCTAGGATCCAGTTTCAGAGGCCTACTCTGTAGAGATCAGCAGCTTCTCGCGTTCTGGATTTGTGGCAGCTCCCCCGGATCGCAACAAGAGCAGTGCGCACACATCCTTAGCGGAAAGCCTCTTCAAGCCTCTGCGCACCCCGCATTTTTTGAGGCGCTGGTTGGCTTTCGGGCTCAGGAGCCGCGTGCGCATCTGCACCTCCTCTGGGCGCTGACAATGTGAGATGTAAAGACATATAGAAGGATTTGTGTGCTTTTGCGTACATAGGCATGATAGAAGGACTCAGAATGACAACAATGCTTAAGGCTTAATTAATGAGGCAACGCTCTCGATTTACCACTGGGACTGGGCCAGTTGCGGGCTTCGTATGGCTCTTCATGTTATGGCTCTTCATGTTCTTAGCCGGCCTCAGCCACCTTTCGGCGGGCCGTGGGGGGCAGGGGCCACGGCCTCAGTATTTTCTGCACAGGGCGACGGCTCTTTGGGGCCGCTGGTGGACCCACGGCTATCCAGGCTGCAGGCCATTGCGCGAGAAAAGCCACATTTGGGGGGGACATCTCCTCCCTTCTCCATATTTCTTCCTCATCCTCTACAGCTCTTTTCTTCAAACTTGTCTCCCAACACCCTCTCCCGACCCACTGAGACGGGTGGAGGGCCCTCTGCCCTCAGCCATCTGGATCCTGACTTCAGTTTGGGCACCGCGTCATCAAGGACCCTGAGCTGGACCTCAAGGACTTGGTCGTGAGTTTCGCATGTTAAACGCATGCGTCGCGTGCTTTGCATGTTTCGCCACGTTAGGTCTTCACACCGCGCGCTCTGTTGCCACTATGGGCTTTCTCACCATCCCCCCGTGAAGGTCCGCAACTACGGCGACTTCGGTGTCCCGGGCGTTCTGGAGGGCACCCTGGAGTTCGCCTTTGACTCCTCCACCAGGATGCAGTGAATGCAGTGAATGCAGTTGTATGTCGAAGTTATTGTGATTGCTGTGAGTGGCGTTTGTTGAACCGGAGACTCGGGGGGGAGGATCTGCGGTGACTACATGCTGCATTACGGCGGCGTGGCGGAGTGCCGAACCTGAAGAGATTCTGTGCTCGACGTCGTGCAATCAAGTACGGCGCGTTGTGGGAATCCGTGAGCATCCGCGACCCAGCAAAAAGAGGTACAAACCTGCGCTGAAGCTGGAGCTTCGCAGGGAGCCCAACCAGTCACAGCAGCAAGTTTCGCGGCTGCTGGGCGGCTACTGCGGCAAGGATTGCATGGATTGCCGATCCCTGTGAGTCAGAGCACGTTACAAAAACGAATTGAGCGCAGAACGGTGTTCCGACTTTTTCAGACGCCCAGATGAAGACAGTGAGAAAGCATAAGAAAGCAGTGAGATATTTGGAGACACAGACACAGACGCAGACGCAGACGCAGACGCAGACGCAGACGTAGACACAGACGCAGACGCAGACCATCTGAATGCCTCCTCAGCTGAGGGATGGGGGGGAAGGCTCATGCAGGGGGACAGGGGAAGGGAACGGGTTTGAGTGTTCGAGGAAATGTGTAAGAAGGGCCCCCAAACCAAAGGGACCACCTTAGGGATCCAAGGTAGAGTCAAATGATGCCTTAAGCCACGAGCCTCCGGTAGCTGGCCTCTCCATGCGTCTCCGCATGCGAAATGGCTGAGTTAGCCGTGTCTCACAGCTTTACAAGGAGGGGGCGCATGCAATCCCCCAGAATTTCTGTGTGAATGTCTGCGGCCTTCAGCTCGGCAGTCAGCCCCCCTCCGACGCTTGGGGTTTCCAATTCGCATGGTCGGGCTGTACATGCTTAAAGCGACTGCGGGTCGCGGAAGACTCCGCCGGAGAGCCCGACCTGTAAAGCCGAAACCTTGAAAACCTACAGCGCAAGCTTGAGCTTGAGAGGATCCTTGAGAGATTCTTTCTTTTGGTTTAGGCCCTCCCTCAAGCGAATTTGGCTGGCTGGGCTGGATGGTTGGGGGGAGGGGGGGTGGAGGTTCACAGCCTCAGATCCCCCAATTTGGAACATGCGCATGATCGTGCATGCATGTGCATCGATGAGCATAGTATTAGGTCCCGTCCTTTATGTGCCATGGGCGGGAATCTCTGCAATCCCTTGCAGGAGTGGGAGCTCGCCAACCCGGGAACGACGTACAAAGACAGCCTGATTGCTGGGTCACTCCAGCTACCAGACACGGCGCAACAGGCTCGAAAGATCTCGAAAGTCAGAGAGCCTAGACTTCGCCCTCGTCCTCTTCACATTTGTTGCAGGAGAGCGCGCATGACTGCGGCTTCTTCATTCTAGAGCAGGCCAGAGATGAAGGTGGTTTTGGTGGTTCGCTGGGGGGGTGTTAGCCAAACTCCTGAGGTTCTCCGCCTGCTGCAGCTGAGCCCTACCGCTTTGCGCTCCCTGGCGCAGAGGTCCACCGAGGAAGCGTTGGGAGAAAACCCACACAACGCGACAAGATCCCCATCCCGCATTATCTTGTAACATGCGCATGTGGCATATATATATATACACATATATTCATATATATATATATATATACATATACATATACACATATGTACATATGAAAAAGCAAGATGTATATGCATATGTATATGTATATATATATATACATATATATTCTTTTTATACATCTGTGAGGTGATCTCGCTTCAGCCCTTCAGCGATCTCTTGTAGGATGTATTGAAGTGCGCTTATTCGAAGTCTGGTGCAGGATGTGGCAGGATTGCCGTGGCCAGCGCAGAGGGAGGTGGCAACCCGCCAAGCAATGAGAGCACTTAACTTCGCACTCTTCAGGCCCCTCCTTGAGGCCAAGCTAACCGAAGGGCCACCCTCGCAGTGAATCGCTTTGTGAGCAGTGAGGTGAAGAGGAAGAAGAAGCTCAGGGAAATCACGGCAGACCTCTTTGTGGCAGCGCGGCGCCAGGAGTCCGTGAGTTCACGTCTTAACGTTTTCATTCTCTTTCATTTCGGTCTCATTTAGATGTATCCAGTTTTGCCCCTCACATCTGCACAACGCCACAGTGCAGGGCACCGGTGACGTGGAAGCGCTGCTGAAGCAAGACGAGGCTGTCACGTGATACGTGGTGCTGTAGATTTCCTTTGGGTTCGGGGAACATTCAGAGGTTCGGCGTTCTGCATCATACGGGTTGGAGTCACGGCAAAGGTCCTGCGCAAGAAGCTGCTGCTGGCAATGTGGGAAGGCCCCGGCACCGTTTTTCAGCTCCGAATCCTGGTGCAGACATCACGCTCAGCCAAGGTCCCTACTTTGCCAAAGCGGTGGCCAACCTCATTGGCATGGATCCAGGGCCGCTCCCCGACGCTTAGAAGCATTGAAGAATAGGAGAAGAAGCTACTAACAGCCTACGCCTACGATACGCCTTACTAATAGCCTTATCCTGAGCCTTAGAAGGACTGCTGATATGAGCTTCCGCGATCGAACCGGGAGAAGCCCTGGGTGGGCTTCCGCTTAGGAGTTTGCGAGGTCATTTAAGCTATGTGATTGTGTTTTTTCGTATCGTTATTAACCCTTTTTCCATGACTTCAACATGATTAAGACAAACTGCGATTCGCAATCGGGACAGCTGCTGGCACACAGCTATTTGACACAAACATTACCAGCCGATGTAACTGGGTAGTTTAGAGTGGAGAAGCCATGTCTATGAATCGGTTTCACGGACATGTAGTGCTGGAGCAGTCTGGAAGGTTTGAGGTTTGCAAACCACAGATTTGCTGCGGTCTTGAGCGTTTGCTTCTCGCAAACACGTCAGCAATCACTAAGCACCATAGGAGGACAGCTCGATTTTAGCTGCTCGGTTGATGCCGGCCGGTGGCAACTTCTACACTCAGCGTATGCTGTGCTAATTTCTCATGAAGCGCTGCTGGCCTGGAGCAACAACACGTGCAAGAGACGTGCCGTTCGTTTTGGCGTTCAGGCCCAGGCCAGTAGGATCTCAAACGCAAATAGAAGTGTAGCAGTGCAGATGCCCACCACAAAGCAAAAGCAACACTAAATAGATGGATCAACAATCTGTGAATCAGGTCGGGATCAGATGCCGGCATGAACTTGCAGGGCATGTAAGGCTTGACTGTCAAACATGAAGACCAGTGTTTGTCGGGCTGCTAGCGTCGCCCAGGAAGTCCCAACTCTTCCCAAAGAAGAAGAAGCAAAGAAGCACGAAGCGGACGAGGAGTCTGACTCGGAAGAGACGAGCGAGAGGACCTGCTGGCGAGTCTGAATGCGTAGGATGTTGAAGGAAGTTGCACCAACACTTTCACGCCTTGACCGTGCCTAATCTAAAGTGTCCGAAGAAGCAGTCTGGCCAGGAGCAGCAGCAGAAGCAGCAGCTAGGGCCACAGTTGGGGTGAACAACCAACACACACACACACACACACACACACACACACACACACGCGCTCTGTGTGTCTGCGTCATTGAAGCTTTGTTCGGGGTAGGGGAAATTTCAATGCAGAAGTTTGCTCGCAATGCGAGGGTTTTTGGCAAAGTTCTTAGCAAATTGAAATTGGTCATCAAACCCTTGTTCCGATGTACCGCTCTCCGCTCTGCAACGCTGCTGCACAGAACATGCTCCACGCCATCTGTCAGGCAACGGCTGCTCCAGTGTATAGAATGCTGCAAATGAACAGCCAGCATGTTCAACAATCAATACCTCGACGTGTCTTCTTCCTCTGCTCTCGTGAACACAGCATCATGATGGACACTGGCATCCATCTTCCACCATGGAATTCTGGAATGATGCAGCAATTGATGGACGATCATAGGAGCAGTCGCAGCATGCATGCTGATACATAGCATTGTTTGCGGAGCAGCATTGCCAAGTGCGTGAACATTGTCAAAGCGGCATTGAGTGATGATGGCATGTTGGACTTTGGCCAGCAACATCGCATTGCCAACAAATTTCTTCATTGAAAATGTTTTTGACCTGACAATCTTTCATATACATTCCAGGTCATTCTCTTCTATTGTGCACGTCGCTTTCAACTCCGAGGCAGCGCCCGGAGCTCCTCAGAAAGCCACAGCGCTGGTCGGAAACGGAAGCGCGAGGAGAGCCGCAGCCGAAGCAGGCGCCTCTCACCTCTTGCTGCGATGCTGAAGTAACTTCCGAACGCCGCAAAAGGTCCTAAACCCTCAGCCCTAAACCCTAAACTTTAAACCCTAAACCCTAAACCCTAAACCCTAAACCCAAAACCCTAAACCCTAAACCCTCTCTCCTCCTCATATCCTCCAGAAGGAAGCGCGCCCGGCGGGAGCGGAAGGAGACACACCGGGCCGACCGCCCCGCCCGGCCGCCTCCGCCTCCGACCTTCACCAAAGAGGACCTCCAAGGCAGCGAAAGAGAAGAGGAAGAGATGAAAAGAGAGATGAGAAGAGAGATGAGAAGAGAGATGAAGAGGAGAGATGAAGAGAGATGAAGAGAGGAGAGAGGGGATGAGGGGAGAACAGGGAGAGGAATCAATGAACAAACGCCCTCTCGTGATTTGCTTGGAGCGTAGAAGTTGCAGAGCGGTTCCAGGGTCGCATGTATTGTATTCTGGACGCATGTTGGCAGAGGCTATCCATCCAAGACGCTCCGCAACCTGTGCGTGCAATACAAGGCCTGGGGCGGGGTAGGAGGCTAGCATATGTTCAACGCAATGATACCACGTCCATATTATGCACCATGAGCAGAAGCACTTGCCTTCAATGAGGTCCTTCCTCCAGGCATGGTGGAGCGGACGGACTTGCTCAAGGCCCTCGAGCGGCTGGCGATCGTGAAGAATGCCGTCCCCGCCGGCACGGCGGCAGCTGCCAAAGCTGTGGGTGAGCGCCTTGCGAACGGGAGGCCCGACCTTCCCAGCTTTACCACCGACGACCTGGACACCATGCCAATCAGCAAGCTCAAGATGTTCTGCATCCAGTTTGGCCGGCTTCCCTCCGGATCCTTGGAGAAGTCCGACCTCAAGAAGGCACTGGCTCCCTTAGCCAAGCCTTCCTCCAAACCGGCCTTCAGCGGCAATGGCGGCAATGGGACGACAGTCCCAAGCGGCCATTCGAGTGGTCACCACCACCATCATCACAGGAAGAGAGCCTTACCGAGCTTCACGTCCACAGAGCTGGACACCATGCCCATCAGCAGGCTCAAGAGCTACTGCATCCAGTATGGCAAGATGCCTCATGGCCCCGTGGAACGCACGGACCTCACGGCGCTGCTGCGGCCCTTCGCCATTGGCGGGAGCGCTTCAGCCGCTTCAGCTTCAGAAACCTCGGTGCCGGGGACTTTAACTCCTGGCGCCGCCTCGGCCACCTCGGCCAACGAGGCGCAAAAGGGGTGGGGGGCATCTAAGAATCTAGGATGGCAAGAGCTACCGGAATCCTGGAAGGAAGTTGCGTGCGTGCGCAGGACAGCTTCGTCCTCGAGGACCTGAAGACGATGAGCCCAGGCCTCAGAGGACCTGCGACGACAGTGCCACAGCTCTTGTCTCCCCCGTTCCTGCGTTGGATCCTGTTTCATGGGCCCATGTGGCCCCCCTGTTAAGGCATGAAGATGCTGAAGACGTTCTGTCTCAAGCACAAGGTCATGCCTCACGGACCAGTGGAGAAGTGCGACCTCCAGAAAGCATTGGAGCCTTTCGCAAGAAAAGGGTCTGGCAGAGTCCGCAAGTGCACTGCATGTGAGTCATTGCCCTTTGATCTAATGTTGAGTTCCAGTGTCGTGGCGTCGTAGCGTGGTCGCGTGGTCTCGGCCTGGCTCCAAGCAAATGCGCCGAGCCTCTTTGGCCTGTCCCCGGCGCCAGGCTTTCAATTGCTTCGCTGCTTCTGACATTTGCTTTTGCAGACTCTCCCCCAAGTGCCTTTTCGTGCGAATCATTTTTTGCGGACGCCCTTTTGCCTGCTTGAGAGGTGCCATAGGTCGCAGTGTCATGCCGTGTGAGAACAGCCGCGCTCATCCAGAGCACGGGTCTGAGCTTCCCTTTTTTTTTCTTGCACAGCATGGGTAGCATCCCTGGATCATCCGCGGGGCATCCGCAGCCTGGCAAGGCCTGCAGTTGGGCATGGAAGCGGCCCCAGACCTCCTTGGACATCTCTAGACGTCTTTGGTCATGCCGTTTCCAGTATCCATGCCGTTCTGCATTGGTCAGGTCGTGCCAGAAGCTTCGTTCAAAATGTCGACACCGTGCGTGGCTCAGTCACTACCCAATCGAGTTCCTGCGCCCTCCTATACTTGGCTATACAGTAGATACCTGGTGCAGGAGAACTTGAACCCAAGCCTGGGTTTCGGAGCTTCGCGATTGGGCCAAGCAACGCGCCGCGGGAAACCAGCTGCCACAGGCGCGCCACATGGTGAGCACCTTGCAATCACTGTGAACAAAAAAGCACTGGGATGTCTCCATGATGGGCCCAGGACTGGCAGCTCGGTCACAGAGGCTAGCAGCTGCAGGACTGTGCTGTGGTGAGGAGGGTTATCTGAGTTTACTCCGTCTACTGATCTGCGGGTATGAGGACCTGGGCGACCCTTGGCGAGCCTGTCGGACATCACCAACCTGCAGGATGCGCGCGACACGCGCATGAAGAAGGCGGCGCGGCCGCGCGAGCCCAGCGTGCTGCCGCAGCTCGGGGCGCCAGCGCCGCCCTGGCCATGGACGGCCCTGGCACCTCCAATCGCCCCACCCGCACCGCCCGCGCCGCCAGCGAAGCCCGAACCGGAGCAGTCGCCGGTAGCAATGGAGGTGTCCAACCCGGAAGCTGTTGCAAAGGCCTTGGGGGGGACACTTTCTCATGCTTGGTGAAGTGCAGGTCTTCGAAACTTGCAAGTCCTCGCGTAGTGTTCATAGAGATGCCCCACAGAGTACCCCTGGAGTTGAAGGCGCACCAGCGGTCCCAGTCGGCCGCCGAATACGTGCCTCAGATCATGGACCGGCTCTTTGAGGAGGCAACACAAAGACGCAGTAAGCTTGCGCCTGCGCAGTTTTTGACTTTTAGAGTGTTGACAGTTCTAAGGGGACCAGAAGGGTACTTGAGGCCATGCTAGCCGGGATGAAATTCGGTCGCAAAACCTGGAATCCTAAACTGGGTGCTTTATTGACTTAGAGACAGAGCACCGTGAATGAGCCAAACAAACTCATTGCGGGCTCTCGCTCGGAACCGGCTCAGAGCCTCTTGCTTTGCTTTCACCTTGCTTTCTTTCTTGCTTTCTTTATTTCCTTCTGTCTTTCTTTCTCTTTCTCTCTCTCTCTCTGAGTCAGGAGGCCGCGTGCCTTCCTCGGCCGTGCTACATGGAGAGCCAGCAGGACATCAACGGCAAGATGCGGGCCATCCTGATTGACTGGTTGGTGGAGGCCTGGCGTGCTGATGATGGTGTGCTCACGGCGATGCGATGCGATGCGTTTGAAAAGATCTCTTCTCCATTCTGTGGTAGGTCCACATGAAGTACCGCCTTCGCGCAGAGACGCTGTTCTTGGTGGGGGCGCCCACAGGGCCCCGATGAAACTCCCAAACAACCGCCTTATCTGCTGAGGCCGTGAATCTCATCGATCGCCATATGAGTGCGCTGCCCGTCCTCAGAAGGCCCGCCGCCTGAATTTGGGGAGCATGGTAGAGCACTTCATCTACATGGCAAGACAAGCACTGCGTCCCAACACAAAAGTTTTTATGAAGCTTAAAATGTGTTGTCGGTGAGAAGAGGCGGCTACAGCTTGTGGGCGTGGTGGGCATGTTCGTGGCTGCGAAGTTCGAGGAGATAGACCCGCCTCGTGCTACAGATTTCGTGTACATCACGGACAACACCTACAGCAAGGCAAGATCAGGAGGGCAGAACAGAGTTTAGTCGCGTCAGTGCATCAGTGCACACCTGCTTCAGGAAGACTTGCTACAGATGGAATGCACGATGTTGTCGGTCGAATCCTTACACGTCATCGCAGCGATTGTTTTTGCAAAGCCAGCCTGACACAAGGCCCTGGACTTTCGGGTAGTGGTGCCAACGCCTGCCCACTTCTTCAACCAGTTCCTAAAGGCTGGATGAGAGGGTATGATGAGAGGTTGAATTGAGGAGCACAAGAGCAGAGCAGAGTATGAATGCGGCATGTCCTCGTGAAAGCGCAGAGGCCAACAACTGTGACAACCCTCGGCACACCGAGACGATCAAGTATATCCTAGAGCTCGCCTGGAAGCTCAGAGCGAGACATATTGCAAAGCGAAAGGCGTAGGGAAAGTGGTTTCCCAGGCATTGATTGACCTACGGATGATCCGCTACACGCAGGGGAGCCAAGGAGTCAAAAAGGGCAGACACGAAGAGGGTCTAGCTCTTCCGGCGGAGACAGCCTTGAGGCCTTCGCACCTGCTCGCAGCCGCCGTGCTGTTGAGCAACGATCTCTTCAGCAGGGCGGTCCTGTGGCCAGATATCATGGTGCCTTCCCCTCGTCACGTGTCAAGCCTTCGGTCTCTCGTTCTCAAGCCAGTTCCTCTTTCCATACTCCGGTGGACTCCAGGTGCAGACGTCCAGGCATACGGAGGATGAGCTGCGAGGCTGTGCGGAGGACATCGGCACAACACGCTTTGACGACCGGTGCACAAGTGACTGAGTCTTGGTACCGCAGGAGCTGCGCCTTCTGTTGCGCGCAGCCCCAGCGAGCACCCTGCAGGTGACTGCGAGAAGACGAGTGCTGCACGTGCGCGCGCACCTGCCACACTGTAGTCTCTGTTCCAACGAAGTTCAATGCCTGTGTCAGCATCTGTCAGCTCTAGCAGACTCTATGCAGACTTGAGCAGGCCGTCAGGAAGAAGTACATGCTACAGCAGTATCACCGCGTCGCCAACAATGCGGTGCTCGCCGGTGCATAGACAAGGCGTGCGTACACATGGCACAGTAGTGGCAGCGAAGTGCAAATTGCCACCTGAGGCTGCGCTCTCTGCAAACTCTGCAGGGGGGGAGATGCGGCTGGTCTTGGGCTACAAGTGCCCCCCGCATGCCCCCGTACAATCAGCAAATGTATCGTTTTTTTTATGGTGGCACCCGGTGCCACCCAATTATGCAGTGCAACCTGCATTCTGAGCAGTGCATATGCAGTGCTCGAGCAATTAGTTCGCTCAGAGGTCCAAATCGCGGTGTTGCCTGCGTACTGCACGCAGCACCGTCTTGCAAGGCTATTGGGAAACAGGTCACATTGCATGGACCCCCCTAAAGACAATGGAGTGTGTCGATGCCTTGCTGAAAATTCATCGGGGCCTGCTATGAATTGGTCAAGCTTTGACTTCGGAGAAAGGGGGCTCCTTGAGTGGCAGCTTGTTGATCAGCCTTGGACTGCTGAGCCTTGTGATGGGAACAAGTTGGTGCCAACGCCGCGCCAACGCCTTGCTCCACAGACTGAACATGAGAAGGTGCACCTTGTGCAAAGTGTAGCGCGTGCGGAATGGTGCAAAGACATCTGCAAGGTCAGGAAGGACGGCTGTGTAGCGTAAACGTGTTTGTGGAGCACGATCTCGGTCATGAGCCACCACTACGATGGTCACAAGACGATCTGCACCCCTGAAGACAAGGTGCGAAGCCTAAAATGTTGAGAAGGTGCGAAGCCCAAATGGCTGGAATTTATGGAAGAACTCTCCTGCCAGGCAGTTGCAGGGCGCTTGGGGGGCCACACTTGGAACATCATCACAAACAGCACCTCGGCCACTTACTTGCAGCGCGTGCAAGAGCAGTTCCTCCGATGCCACCCACAATCGCGCAGGTGACAAGCATGAGATCTATCTCACACAGGCACGCAGCACCCTGTCCGCACAGTCAGGAGTTCGGTGTTCCGGAGCTCGTGGGGGGAAGCACTAGCCGAAAAGCCCTTCATGTTGTGGGACTTGGTGAACCAAGGCCGTGACCACTACATCAACGACAGGGGCGAGATAACGTCCGTGTGGTTCGAGAGGCGCAGGCGAGAACCGAGAGCCCAAGCCCGTCAGGCACGTGCTGCATGGGACGAGTGCCGAGGCGCATTCCGCACCCGGTCGGTGGCCTTGAAGGGGCAAACTGGAGTCGCGGGCTTGTGAAGTCGAACTGTAGAGTTTTGCTTGTGAAGTCGTACTGTAAAGTTTTCCTCGTAAGTAGGATTCTGAGCTTCAAGCGGTTCGAATCCCTCAGCCCAGGTGCCAACGTCAAGGAGAGCCTGCTTTGCCCAGGTGAGCAGTGGATCAAGACACTCTTGTTGTGATTTCCGGCCCGGTTTAGGCGTGGCGAATTCATGTTCACATTTACACTCCCCCCCCCCTCCCCCGCCCAACTCGCATCCCATTTGTGCCGTCGAGGCACCCCGCGAGCGGTTCCGGCCAAAGCTCCGCGGGCCCAGCTCTTGCAGGCACCCAGAGGGGCACACAGAGGGGACCCAAGGGGGGGGGGCTTTTCGGAGAGTTGGACCCATTGGCCAGAACAGCATCCTCAGCCGAAGGCCGCAGCTCCCCGGGATTTCCCGCTGTACTCCGCTCGTCGCCGCGAAGCGCCCTGGCAGTCTGAGAGCTGTGTGTGTCAGCGAGACTTGACTTCCTGTGAAATCTCGAAACAAATCGTCAGATGTGGCTCTGGTGTGCCTAACATCCTTAAGAAGCAACCTGTTCTGACTCTGTTCTGCTTTTCCCACATTTGCCATCTGCACCTTTGGAAGGTGGCGCCGCCCAGCCCGGAGCGCCCGGGACATTTGGAGAGGACCCTCGTAGACCAGGCAAAGCAGAGAAGCCCCCCCCCACCAGCGTTCGAAGTTTGATTCGGGGTTATCTGCCCTAGGATGGGGTCGCATGGGGTCCTACACACATACACCTGTCTCCCGCACATTCACACAATTTCACACACACCCTCAGAAAGCTCTCATTTTGTACCCTCTCCGGTGCTGCAGGCCCGGCTCCGGGATTCGCTGACGCCGAGGGCGCCGAAGAAGGCGCTGCCCCGTCCCGGGAGACTTCATAGAGAAAAGGGAGCCCACAAGAAAGCGAAGGAGAAGGTTCCGTGAAAGTCGATGTTTGCCAGCATTCGGCCTCGCCCATCCCAACCTGGCAGCTCCTTGGTGAGACGGCTTTAAAGATGGGGGGGGTTAGGGGGGTCAAGGATTGGGGGTATTGTTGTGTCACCAGTTGAGGCCAGTACCAGGTTTCAGAGGGGGATGTCTCTGACACCCCGATTTCACATCTCGCTGCCCGAATCGGGGGTGCGTGGATGCCGAGGGGGTTCCCATGTAAAGAAAGCAAGAAAGCAAGAAAGAAAGAACAAAGCCAAAACGAAAGAAACAAAGCGAAAGAAGCAACAACATAGAAACAAAAAGAAAGAAGCAAGAAATAAACATCAAAAAGAAAGAAGCAAAAACAAAGAAACAAAAATGAAGAATCAACAAGAAAGAAACAACAAGAAAGAGATACAGAAAGAACCAAAACGAAAGAAGCAAAAACAAAGAAACACAAAGAAAGAAGCCAAAAGAAAGAAACAATTAAAAGCAAACACAAGAGACGGAAACACAAAGAACGAATCACAAATAAAGAAACAAAAATAGAAAAAACATACATAAGCAAAAAGAAAGAAGGACAGGAAACATAGAAAGAAAGACAGAAAGAGAGACAGAAAGAAACAAACATACATAAAGAAATACATAAGAAAGACACAGAAATAGATACATAAACAAAAAGAAAGAAGGGCGAGAACATCCGGGGAGTTTCCCGCTTCGCCCCACAAACGAAAGAAAGGAAGGAAGGAAGGAAAGAAGAAAAGGCAGCAACGGAGAGGGAGGGAGAGAGAAACAACGGTGGGCGAGAATGTCCGGGGAGCTTTCCCCCTTCGCCCCACGAACGAAAGAAGGAAAGAATGAAAGAAGAAGGAAAGAGGGAAAGAGGGAAAGAAGGAAAGAAGGAAAGAAGGAAAGAAGGAAAGAAGGAAAGAATGAAAGAAGGAAAGAAGGAAAGAAGGAAGGAAGGAAAGAAGGAAAGAAGGAAAGAAGGAAAGAAGGAAAGAAGGAAAGAAGGAAAGAAGGAAGGAAGGAAGGAAGGAAGGAAGGAAGGAAGGAAGGAAGGAAAGACGGAAAAGGGAAAGAAGGGAAAACGCAAAGAAAGAAAAGAAGGAAGAAGCACAGAAACTGAGACAACAAATAGAATCAATGGAGCCCGTGAGGGGCTGAACGCCTTGTACAGTCTCATGCAGACCAGGCTGCACGTCATGTGGGGGGGGGTCTCCGGCCCTCCAGCCCAAGCGAAAGAAAGCAAGAAACTGATGGAAAATGATAGAATCCCAAACCCGCCCGCCACCCCTCTTGCCCCAAGTCCTATGCCCTAAGCCCTAAATCCCAAAGCCCTGAAAAGCCTAAGGCCCAAACCCTAAGCCCTACGAGTCCCTTGAAAATCTTTCTCTCGAGTGTTTCAGGCGGGTCAGAAAGAAGGCGACCGCGGGCGTTGTGGTATGAAAATCAATGAACCGGTGGGGGCGGTGTTCGGGGTCGGAGGAGAGGGCACCCCCCCTCCCAAGATCAATAACAACAAGCCTTCACAGAAGAGAGGAGCCTCAAGATGATAGATCAATCATGTAAGAGGAGGAAAGGGGGTTGTGCCACCCCTGTTGTGGTTAGAACGCAGCCAAAAAGCTTACTTGCTGGAACACGCAAGCAGCATGAGTTAAGCAAACACATGTGCCCACTTGCAAAGTCGATCGGTAGATGCTCTCCACCACTGGAGTTCTTCTTTTCGAGAGGGCCAAAATGCAAGTGCGTTTGGGGGTTTCGTTACGGGCTCTGAAGTTTTAGGGGAGTTGTTTGCTTTCCCTCCTTTTCTTGGAAGGTGGTGGGCCGGAAGGACTGGACTCCGCGGCGCGGCGAGCTCCTCGCAGAGCCGAAGCCGCCCAAAGAGGAGGTGCCGCCTGCGGGATCCCTCCCTGTCTCGCTTGACTCTCCCTCCCTCTTTTCTCTTTCTCTCTTTCTCTCTTTTTCTCTCTTTCTCTCTTTCTTTGGCAGGGTGGGATGGGTTTCTCAGGGCTGAGCGAGCCATGCGGAGAACCCGCGCTTTCCTAGGAGATGTTCAGCTCCGTCTGCCAGCTGCGGGCCGAGTCGCACGTGGACGTGCAGCAGGGCCTCTTTGCGCAGCAGCTGACAAGACCCACAGGAGACGTGGAGTTAAAAGAGAGCCTTCTTTGTTGAGACGCTTTGTGGCGTGTATTGGCAGCCAGGAAGCGGGCGCAGCAGCGGGCCCCCTGGGCTCCCGGACTCCGGGGTTCTGCGTGCCGCCCTCTTCTCGCACCGCAGCTCCGCGGGCACGCCGAGGCCGCGACGTGCTTTTGTCAACACACAACTCTCTGTCTTGACACACACATGGCGTAATCGCATCATGTTCATCTCCTCTCCGTTTGTGTAGTTTTGGAAGCGCAAGTTCTTGCATACATGCCCACCTGGAGAAAGATCTGGACAAGGAGGCAGAAATAGACATGGACAAATCTATGCATGTTCCCACCTTGTTCCGCATATATGCAAAACCGCATGCTTGTTCTCAGCGTTGTTGCGATTGTTGCGAGCTGCCAGGGCGCCCGAGGATCGAGTGAACCACTCGCAGAGCCTCTCGGCCTTCTTTGGGTTTCTCAGCGGGCCGATAGCTTTGGGGCAGCCCACAAAACTCCGAGAGGTCGCATCGAGAGTTTCGCTCAGCGGGAGATCAGCAACTGGGCGCTCGGGGATGACAAGCGACTCGGCCTCACACGGCTTGGGGAAGTTGCAAGTTTCAGCAAGCTTCGAGGAACTCTCCAGAATTCTCTGTAGAAAGCCCCTCGCTTCGTTTAGATAGGATTTCGGATATGATGGACCAAGGCTCTTGCGGAAGGATCCCTTCTGCATGCGGCCCATGCAGCAGCCCAATAACTCTGGCGTCAAGTACGACATCATCACCAACGAGCGCGACAAGTTCTGGTACTGATTGCCTGTACATAGACTGCCATGAGACAACATGTCAGCATGGCCGCACCACGCTTCCGAACGGAACGTGACAAAGAAACAGAGAGGACCTCATTTTTCAAGATGGCTTCGTGGGGGTTTAGGCATGTTCTAGGCTTGAACCAGAATTGCTTCCAGACATGCCGGCTTCATGTTCCGGGGCATTGTTGGAAGCCAAGCAAAGAGCCAAACTACTTTGCGATCTGCATCATCAGCATGATTGTCAATGTCATTGATTGTCACCGTCCCTTTTTTTGGTTCGAAGCGGCTGGAGACCCTGCCGCTTCTTGCCACTTGGCCGACAACGGGAGTGCAATCTTTTGTGAAGTGTCCTCTAACGGTGCACTTGACAAGCAGGGTGTTAGAGTCTGCTTAGAGGCTTAGGCGCAGTTTCCATGACTGTAGTTGTTCTCTCAGCCGGCAACCCCCGGTCGACATTTTTGTGCCGAGTTTGGTGTTTGTTGAAATTGTGCTTCAGGGCAAGACCTTGGCAGGAACTGAACCGACTTCATGTACTTTTGCCAGCTGCCCAGTGAGCCCCATCTCTGCTTGAAAACTGCTTGGCCAACAGCTTCGCCCATCCACTGGGACTCAGGTTTCCAGCAGGTGGGCAGCCACCCATTGCCCCTTCTGATCTGCAGAGCCATGTTTCAAAGCACCCCCCGCAAAGTCACAACCTTTAGGCATCTTTAAGCCTCACAAAATTGACGATACCCTCATGTCTGGTCGAGTGCTAGCTCGTTATGTAGTTATGCATGTACGATGCGGCAAGATTGCGGCCCTAGCCACTTTGGTAGCTCCTTGGTTGCAGATGAGCTTGCGTTGGAGGTGGGCACCTTGTCCAGTCCAGCTCCAACATGCCCCCTAAGCATCCGAGGTTGCGTCCATCTCGGCTTCCGGTGAGGCCCTGGCCCCAATAGTCCCATGGCTCCAACATGGCTTAGAAATGGCCCCAAAATGGTCCCAAAATGCCAAGGGGTGGCGTATGTCCTGGCATTTGCAGGAGCTGGAGCTCGGAGAAGGCTTCCTGGCCTGGGGCCTCAGGGTGCTTCACCCTCCCCGTAAAACACAGCATCAGCCCCCCAAAGAATGTCCAAGCATCTGGAGCTACAAGGAATCAGTGAACTTCAGCGAACTACATTTCAAGTGCAGTGTGGGGTGTGCTGTGCGCTCTGCAAGGAGGATGTCGCGCCGCAGCCTCGGCTCTCGCAGTAAAGGAGGAGGAGCAGGAGGTGAACAACCATTTCTCGCTTCGAGGCTGCAGGTGTCGCTGCTCCAGTCCTCCTTGACAGTGGCCAGGGCCTTGGCTCCCGCCAAGCCCCTCTAAGCACACAAGCCCAACCCAAAAAACCAAAAAGCCCTGGGCCCCTTGCTTTCTGAGCCCAGGCACGGGCCGATCGGGCCGACCTGGCAGGTCGGGCCGACCTAGCCGACGGTGCCGACGGATCTCTTGGAAGGGGCAGTGAAAGCGAGGAGGCCAACGAGCCTCCTCGGAGTTCTCTCCTCTTTGCCCCGGCTCCTCGGCTCCTGCGATGCTCTGCAGTGCTCTGCAGTGCTCTGCAGTGCTCTGCAGTGCTCTGCAGTGCTCTGCAGTGCTCTGCAGTGCTCTCTGCCCCATTCCGCGCATCTCCGAGGTTTCGGGCATCCAGCCAAGCTGGCTGTGGCAGATAGAGGGCCTGTCCATCTATGGCAGCGCCTTACTCAGAGCATGTCGGGGGCCATTCACGAACTCTCCTCTCACCAACTGCCGTTAGGAGCCGCGAAGGCCTCCATGAGCAGGCAGGAGGAGCTGAGCTGTCTAAAAAACAGTTTCCCAAAAGAAGAAGGCTAACAAAAAATGAGGTGGCGCTGATGCATCCGCTGAAGAGGCACTTGAGCCTCGTCCTGCAGATGACGCTGCCCACGGACCGGACTGCTGTGAGCCCGTGCCTTATTTGGGCTTCCGTGCTCGGCATCCCTTGGTCCACAGACTTCGGTTCTTTTCGGTTCTTTCGGTTCTTTTCGGTTCTTTTCGGTTCTTTCCAGGTGGCCTCCCGGCGCTTGTGGTCTTCATGGTAGCAGCGCTGGTCATGGTCCTGCCGCTGGGCTGTTGGTTTTTGCGTGGGCTTTGGGGGGGCGGGGGACTTGCTGTTGGGTTTCGAAATCCGATGCTTCTTATACAGCTTCTGGCCTTGCCCGTGTTGTCTGTGGTTTTTGAGACTGTCTTGGGTTCCTTTCGGGGGGGGGGGGGGGGAGGGTTTCTGGGAAAAGAAGCAAACCATATGGCGGCTCACCAGAGCGGCAGTCCAAGCAGGCCTGGGAACAAATGCAAAACTCGCAATTCCCGCAGTCCGAAGCGCCAGTTCTCTGGTCAGCAATTGTTGAAGCTGTTTCATCGTAGAGTGGTTGCAGCAGAGCGCGTCGGCGGGCACATAAGAAAGAATGCTCAAGCAAATGCCCTTTAAAGGCAAAGAAACGAAAACAGCTCGGGCTGGAGCCTTGAGCTTAGCAGCGGTCCCGTTGCTACCACCGTTGCCGCACACGGCTCGGAAGCTCCGCAGATTGGCCTAGGGGCCTTTCAGCATGCAGGAGTTGAGGGTTTAGGGAAGTTGAGGGTTGCTTCCGAATGCTTCCGGCAGATAGGTGGACCTGAAGTCGGGATGTGTGAGTGCAGGATTTGCGAGGAATTTTGGGTCACAAGTTGAGCCGACGGCCAGTGCTAGCTGCCAGTGCCACTGCGCTGCCATGGCGGCGAGGCTTGCCCTTGAGAGCGATGGACGTTCGATCTCCGATCCGTCCGTTGCGACGCCCTGGCATCGTAACCTTCTCGAATCCGCGAGGACGTGGCCCTGGGGCCGATGGGCCCTCCAGGGACTCGCCTCAGCGCTGATTGCACTGGTTGTTGTCGCCATCTATGATGCCGCTCGTGGCGGCAACAAGAACTCGGCCATTTCACCGGACCGGTTGCCACGGCCCTTGACAGGAGTGAATCTTGGGGGCTGGCTTTGCCTTGAGGATTGGTTCTTCTCCGGTCCTTCGGGCCGTGATGTTATGTCGATGACACCGGCTGGACAGGGTGCTTGTCTTCCTCCACTTGTCAGCCACCTCACAACAACCTGGCCATCGGAGGGTTTGCTGACTCAGCGTTTGGTTGAGTCCAAGGGGCCCGAGTTTGCATCATCTGCATTGCAGTCACACCGTCGCGAGTTCATCAGCAACAGCGACCTCGATGACATTGCTGGGCTCGGCATGCGTAGGGTGCGGTTGCCACTGACCTGGGCAGCCTTTGCAGACGCCCTTACACCAATCGATGCTGCTGTTTACGGTGGCCACAACGCCGACCATGACACAGCCATCGTGCCAGATCCATTCTACAACCACTTAGCCGCCTTCGCGACGGTGCCGCGAGCTTGGCTTGCAGACTTCTTTCGCCGCGCGGGTGAAAGGAAGCTCGGCATCGTTCTGGACCTGCACGCCTTTCCAGGCGGCTCCTCGAATGGCACCTACAACGGCATTTGGCCCTCTCCGCCCGCTTTCTGGCAGCAGCAATCAGCCATAGGAAACCGCAGTGTGCTTCTCACCGATGCCGGCATCCTGATCGTTGAGCGCATGATTTCCTGGCTTGAGAGTCTCGACAGCACTGCCCTGGATGCCGTCACTGGCGTGTCGCTCATGAACGAGCCTGCTCACATGGCCGCCATCGATCGGAAGTCTGGAACGCCATGGGTCACGGAGTCGCAGGTGCTGAGCTGGCTCACGGAGACCGCGGACCGCTTTCGAAAGTCCAAGCTTCCAGGATTGGGCAAGAAACTCTACGTGCAGCTCATCGAAACAGCCTTCGACGACTTTGACGGCACCGTTGTACCCTGGTTCAAGCGGACGTTTACGAAGGACGAGCGGCGCCGCTGGGTCGTGGCGGACCTGCACAACTACGTCGCTTGGTCATACGGCTCTTGCGACGGCCGCCTTCTGGAAGGTGGCGGCTGGCTCTGCGACGCATCCGAGGAGGAGCAGCGGAAGCGTCTCCGCTCCTGCGTGTCTCCTTGGGCAAAGTCCTTCCAGCAGCGCTTCGGCGATGGCCTCATGGCTGTTTCCGAGTTTTCCGTCGGCACGTATTCTATGGCCCGACTGGCCTGCGATGATCCTGCTGTGACGCGGCTATTCCTGGACGAGCAGCTACTTGCCTTTGCGGGTCAGGGTATTGAACCCTTCTTCTGGACCTGGCGCATGCCGTATGGGCCGGTGTTTGAAGGCGGATGGAGCCTCAAGCATTTTGCCAACCTCGAGCCCAGACCCAGCCATCCGTGCGGCATCTCGATGGCCCAAGTCATGCAAGTGTAGAAAGCGCGTGGGGTGTAGGTACGGTGTTAAGCGTGAGTTGCTTGACTGTGCAGTTTTTGCATGTTGCCCTCCTCTGCGCCTTACAGACTTGGAGTTAGGCCGTAGACATTTGCTACAAGTCTTGTTCTCATGGTTCAATGGCACTGTTGGATCTTTTGGCATCAGGCACCCTTAGCGGCTTCAACCCCAGACGCAATCAGAAAGCTTCCGCACTCCGAGGTTTGTTTCGCAGATGATCGGTGCCTGCCTTGGAATAAGCACTGAGTGTCCGGCCAACGCTTACCCGCCTCTGCCCAGCACCTTCGAGGGCTGAAGAGGGACACCCGCAAAGGGGAAGGTTTCGAGACGGTCTTTGGCTTTCCCGGCCACTCTTCACCAAAGGCACTGCTTCTCCCTTTCTTTCAACCTGTCTTAACACTTTCAGATGCTTTGGGCCTTGGGCAGCAAGCCACTGTTCCATGAAACGCAAGTTAAGAGGCCCGTGCCGTTCGAAAGCAAAGGGGGGTCGGCGGCAGCCCCCCGTATCGGCCCACACTGTCACAGCGCCCTCACTCGTGACTTGGTACCTCTAGCTGACCTAGCTGATGAGGTTCCATATCCTAGGGCCTTTCTTGACGATGCTTCAAATTCCGTTACGACCTCTAAATCCATCTTCCGTGGAACGTGCTAGGCGGGCTCCGTCCCAGCTTAAGCACCTCGACACTGCACGTTCTGAAACATTGCGACGCATCTTTGAGATCAAGACCTCTTACTATCAAGTGAGGAAGGAGTCTTGCTCCAACGAGAATCTCACATTACCAGCCTTGATATCACTTCGAGTGGTTCCTTTAAGGTCAAAAAGGGGCTAAGGTCGAAACGACAAGCGTGAGCGGCTCGAGTGACTCGGTCCTGGCGGAGTGTCCGAGAGACATGTGCTTTTTTCCTGCGTTGTTTGATGTTTGATTGAACCCCGCATCGTTAAGGCAGAAACCATGCGGCTGTCGAGCCTGCAATAGGGCCTGCATGTGGCAAACGGGGGGGGGGGTTGAAAATGTCAGCGCTTCAAGGGGGCAGGTCATGCCGTTGCTTATGCTTCCTGATCCCGGCTCCTGTGCACAGCACATCTTTATTTGAAGAGCCAGCTGGTAACGTCACACATCATCGTACCGAAGTCTCGAATTATGAAGAAGATGGATGGTTTGTTCTGTTCAGTGCTTGAGCTTTGCCGAGCGCCGAGCGCCCCTGCTCCTTGACTGTGGAGGTGTGTTCTTCGAGGAGAAGGTGAAGGCCTTGCAACGTGAGCACGCTTGCCAAACTAGAACTGTAGGTTTCAACAGCCCAACGTAGCTCAACACACCTCCGTGAAGGAGGAGCCGCCTGGATACTTTTCGGGCGAGGGCCGGGGCCCCAGGGCCCCCCAGTGCCCCCCAGTGCCCCAGATCCAAATGCGAATTCAACCCCACAAGGCGTGGCGCGGGTGAGTGTAGAGAGTTGTTGCCTCTGCAGGCTACCTGAAGCCGCGCTGGCCGATGGACTATCCAGGCATCGAGCAGAGGGAGCAGATGCAATGAAGTCTAAGACTGAAGTGAGATGCGCGCCAGGCGACGGCCAAGCGCCAGCCCGAGAGCCCAAAAGCCAACACGGCATAAGTGAGCAGATCTCTCATATGTCTCCGCTTGCCCCCAGTCAGGAGCGGTCGACGCTGGGGAGGACGAGCTTGCCTCCCATGACTTTGCCCCACACGCCCGGGAACCCTCCAGGGATCCCTGGAGGGATCCCTGGAGGAAACCCTGCAGTTCCCAACTCTTCACAGGCGCGCGGCTCGCTGTCGACTGCCTTCTTGTGGCCTCTTCAAAAACATGGGGCCCCGTTGCCTCTCCCTCTTTGTCCTGGTCAGAGCGCGCCCAGCGCGGTGTCCACCTTGCCCATGCTGGACCGCTGGTCGGGCCGGTCCGGGGGCCATCCTGAAGCCGTCGTGGGCTCGTGCTCGGGGAGACTTTCCTTGCAACTGAGGTCGGAGCCTGCGCGTTCCGGCAGCCTCACGGGGACGCTACCCGAGGCGGCCTGATCTTTCCTTAAATCGAAGCTCGCAAACAATGACCCTGGTCATGGGAGGCCTCGGACAGGGCAGCACTAATCCCGCGGCTTATCCAGCCGTCCTCGGAGGCGGAGCGTAGACGATGAGTTTCAAGTGCTCACAGTCTTCGTGGAGATCTGGGGTCATGTCCGTTCGGGGTTGCTTGATGTTGGGTTTCCTTTCCATCGTAAGGCCCGGGGCTTGGTAGTGAATGAGAACCGTCCAAGTCTGGAGGATTAAGCACACACCGGGCTGGTACCCAGAAGAGTCTTGGGATGGCCGCGTAGACTTGTGCCGAGGTTCCCGAAGTGATCTTTGCACTTAATTGGTTCATTCCTCAAGTGGGCCCTATTGGCGTGACGAGGCTCAGTTCCATGTGCCCGTGGATGGCCTTAGCTCGCTGTGGCGAGGTGCTATGGGAATGGCGACTCGTCGAAGAAGCAGTAGCAGCACATGCCCACTCGCACAGGTGAGAGCCCGGTGGGGATCTATGGCCCGGGCGGCCACACCCTCCTCTTTGCGCGCTTTAGCCAGGTGCACTGGCCATCTCGAAGCCGCCAAGCACAAGCTTACTGAGTCTTACCATTTGCCAAAGCCTCTGAAAGCCTCAACGTGGCAGGACAGCAAAGATCGGCGGTGGCTGGAGCTGTGGCTGCCCTGGATCTCTGCCAACTGTGCAGGAGACTTGCTGCAAGCTCCCATAGGCTCCCATAGGCTCCCACAGGCTCCCATAGGCTCCCATAGGCTCCCATAGGCTCCCATAGGCTCCCATCTCAAGCTGTGGGCTGCGTGCAGAGCTGCGCTCTGTGCTCAGGTCCACAACCGCGAACACCCAGTTTCCACACTGTCGTGCCGCAGACCGAGAAATTCTCCCCCAAAAGTCTCTCTTGTCAGCGAGCCCTAAAAAACTATGCGCCGCTGAAGCAGAGCCGAAGCCGCACCGAAGCTGCAAACAGGTGGGACCCCTTCGGTTGGGAGCAGACCCGTCTGGGGCGTGCCTGCACATCTTTGGACCCAACGGCGCTCCTCGGCCGGGTTAGGCGATGCAATGGCACGCAATGCTTCAGTCTTAGGGAAGCCGTGGGGAGGGGATGATCGAAGTAACGAGCATGTAAACAAGGGTATCCATGGTTTCCGGGCCCCCACAGAATCAGAGTCTCGAGCTTGGGGCTAGGGTCTGCAGCCTTAGGTTTCAAATCTTGGGGCCGGCCTTCACAACTTTGAGCTACGACCTAGAGGAGGCTGCAGGCTTTAGGATGGGGGGGGGGGGGCTTACTTTTGTTTGTTCCGGGCTGGTGTCATGAGCTTCAATATTGAGCGAACTCCAAAAGGCGAACTCTAAACCCTCCCGAAACCCTAGACAGAATGAACCAGCCGAAGACAAGTTGTGGCTCAGGACAAGTATGGCCTCCTGCAGAATTGCGGGGAGGAATGGCAACTGCGGCGAGCGGAAGGCTTAAGTTGGTTTGTGTTTCTGGCTCAGAGGGTCTTGTGGACTCCGGTGCAGACCCCTTGGCAGGTTCGGTGCTGATGAGTGTCGGAGCAGCTGCAGGAGGCAAGCAGGGCCTTGTTTGCAGGGTGATTGGAGTAAGTTCACTCAGCGGTTCGCTCGTGCAGGTGTGGGCCTAACAGCAGCGACTGATGGCCAGCTGACTGCCACGGTCGGGGGGCCAGAAGGATTTCTCAATTTCTCAAGTCCACATCTTCGCTGCTCTTCAGCAACAGTCGGCGAGGTCGGTAAGGTAGTCGCATGATGTGACTGAGAGGAATTCGCTTGTCATGAGGCCTGGCCTGAGCATGCGGGTGCGCTGGTGGTGAAGGCACCGGGGGGCCCCTCAGATCTCTCAGTTAGGAAGAGTTTCGGGGTGATGGCCGCTGTGCCTTCTTCGGGTGGCTCATGGAAAGGTGAGCCCCGGCCGGGATCCACTCTTGGCACTGCTGTGCATGCTGGCCAGCTCCCCAAAGCCTTCTCAAGTTGGATTCTCAAGCATTCTGCTCTCCAAAGCAGAGCTGAGGCCGTGCTGCTGCTGTCGCCGGAGCTCTCGGGCCTGGGACACTGAGTTAGCGAGCTGTTTCACTCAGGATAGGCCTTGTAGTGATAAAGGCTCAGCAATCGAGTATTGCACCGCAAGTAGGTTTGGTTCGCATCCTCGGATGACGTGGAGAAAAGTTTCTGCTGCAGCGTCCTCCCTGAAAGAGTCAGGATGTTGCGGGGTTGTCCGGGTTCTGAAGTAGTCAACTTATCGTTTTGATGTGTTGTAAAGGGCGTACGTAATGCCACTGGCACGTGCAATCCGAAAGCGTAAGTGCAAATGTCCATATGTAAACGAGATTTTCGAATCGCTGCACAACAGATGCGCCATTAGCACGAAATATATGAAACGCCCACAAAATTCTGCACTGAGGAGGAGTTTTGCTGATTGGCAGTGTCGCGAGAGACATTTGGCTTGTGAGCCTCTGTCCAAGACGTTGGTTGTTGCGTGAGGCCCATTTAGAAAGATCGAATCATATCACTGATCCGAAATCATGTTCGCCTTTAAAGAACTCGAAAAGCATGAGAGAATGACATTTTAACTTTGGAACCTGTCGTCGCCAAAGCCAGATGACTTTGGATGCTGTCCTGTGCCGCAGCATTTCTTCTCTGAAACGGGGCGTAGATCAAGAACGCCTTGGCTCTGCCACTCCATTTCTGCAGGAAGAAGCAACGGCAATGGTGTTGCAATACGGGAGTACATTCATCTGTTGAGGAGGGATATGGATCACGTGGAACACAAGAACCTTGTTTGATGCTGAAGGTGTTTGATTACAACGCATTCTCCAACAGTCAAGACTGCCACACGTGCAGCCATGACTGACGCTCCGATGTGTCCTGGCCACTTTGAGCTCAAACCAGCTCACACAGTGCACGACTCCATGACCTGACAGGTACTTGCAGGATGGACATTTGATGTGTACTTGGTGCTACTGGCGACTTGGATGACAAACTGCTTGTCATGCGCTGTCTTGCGGTGTGGATTTCGAGTCATCAACTCAAGCTGGGCAGAAATTCAGATCTCAGATTCCGTGATGTATTTCTCGAACTGAGTTCACCCATTTCACATCTTACAGTTCGAACCAGCAGGTATGGGCCCCATGGTGATCATGGTGACCGAGCAGCTGGCAATGACGAGGTGACATGTAAAGGGCTTTGCGCAGGGTGGGCATCCTCAGCTTCCACCGATTTCAACCTGCCAGTACTTTTTGACAAGCGCTTTGTTCACAGGACAGCTGCGGAGAGAGCGAGGGTCAGCCGTTTGCTGACAATCGACGCATGCAGCTCGAATGCAAATTGGGCAAGGTTGGCTTGCTGCCCTGCCACCATCCTTGTGGCCGAGGTTACGTGCACAGAATCTTGAACTGCAGAAACAGAACATTGAACTGCAGAAGCAGTCACGTTCTTAGCTCTTTGGTGCATACGTGTTCTCACATTGCCTCAGCTTGTTGCTTTATCAACTTGTGGCTTTCTTCCCCAGGCTTTGGTCAGCGCAGCGTGTTGTGGAAGCTGGGCATGCCAAAATGAAAGCTGAACGCGCCATGCAGCAAAGCTTCGTCAAGAGCCTCTTTGATCGCATGGAGGCCGTGGAATGTAAAGACAGATATCGAGACTCATGGACAGATGTCAAATTGAGCAGTCGCATGGCTTCGGACATGTGGAGTTAAGGATATGTTCTTTTTTTGAATGTGCAGGCCCTGGAGGAGGCGCTTCGCAAGGCCTTCGTGCAGTCCACAATCAGCCGTAATCTGCCTCACTCGGCAAACCGATGTCAGTTGCTCTTGCAACGGCCACCTAAAGTCTTTGGTCTCTCGGATGATGCAGGCCCATAAGCAAAACAGATGTGCCCAATGGGCACTGCGAGGTAGCCCTTCCCCCAGATGTTTCTCACTGTGATTCTTCGGCTATCCCCGAGTAGTTGACAGAAGTCAGGTTCCTGTCTGCTGCCGAGGTTTCGATAGGATCTCCGATGTCACAGAAGAACTGGAAGACGCGCAGGTGCAAAGAGAGAGAGACAGAGAGAGAGGGAGAACAGTCTTTAGCGTTTGATGTGTTTGGTAGACACTCTTACTTTGTGAGGCGGTCCTGGAAGCAGTCATGCAGGCCCGCTGAATCATGTGGTTCTTCTATGTTGTCAGAACAGCAGCTGTCAGTTGATTGATTGATGACTTGTTTGCTTTTTTTCAGGAGAAGGATCAAGTTGCAAGAGCTGTGAGTTTGTGCGAAGCTTATCAATGTGGTTTCTGAGCTTCCGGGTTTGCAGCACTTTGAAGATCCGCGCTGAGTTTGTAGTCCAAGCCAGACAGGCCAAGCCAAGCAAAGCCAAGCAAAACCGAGCAAAGCCAAGCAGCGCCAAGCGAACCAAAGCGAAGCAAAGCGAAGGAAAATGAAGCAGAGCGAAGACAGAGCAAAGACAGAGCAAAGCAAAGCCAAGCCAGGCAAAGCAAAGAAAAGAGCGAGACAGAGCGTGGGAGAGCGGGCGCGAGAAAAGGAGATAAAGAAAGAAGGAGAGAGGGTTATGTAGAGAGAGGCCGTGCGAGAGGTCGTCGGAGAGGTCGAGGGAGAGGTCGTGGGAAAGGTGGGTGGGTTTCAGGACGCTGCATCTTGCAGGTTGTCCAATCAGGAGGATGCTACCGCGGGCCACATAGGTCTCTTGCTCGAAGACACAAGACGGAGCAGTCGATTCCGAGACTTTCACCTGCAACGTCGCAGCTCGTGCAGAATCATCGGAAGAAGAATTCCTGCGCACAAAAAACATGATATAGAATAGCTACCTACCTGTCCATTTCGAGGCTCCCGGCCCTAGCATAACTGGTAGCGTGGCATCAGCAAAAACTTGTAGGGTGATCGATTCGGAAAGAAGAATCTGGAACAAGCCTCACGTGTGCAAAAAGAATCCTGGACGCGAGCCAGCGTGCACTCCTTCATGGAGCCTACAGCCAGCCGCACACAGAGATGGAGGGGCTGGTGGAAGAGCTGATTGCCTGGACAGTTTCTGTTGTGCCACGGCTATGGGAGATGTTGTATTGTTGATGCAGGGCTTCGCTGGGAACAATTCGCACCTTCAGCAACCCAACACGTCTAAGGCCAGACGCAGCAAGCTGGCGGCTGAAGGACTCGGCCAAGAAGGTCGTCGAGGCGCCCATGCAAACACAGGCGCCAGCTGAGTGCGGTGCCGCTTTCCACCGCCTTGCGGTGTAGACTGGGGTTACTTCGGTTACTTGTAGCAGTTACAACATTCATTGACATGTGCAAAGTGTGCGCGCAGAGCAGCGTACAGTTGTCGGCTGAAACGCTTGCTGCCGTGGGCCCTTCAGTCTAGGTGGCCATGAGGTTCTGCGCCGTCTTCAACAGCAGGAGTGACACAGATCTAAGGTGCTTGATTCCCTCATTCCCTCCTGAGAACCAGTAAGCAGATGCACTTGTGGCCGAATATCTGGCTATTGATATCCTTTGAATGCCATGGCCTCGACGTCTGGTGGAAAGAGACTCAGAGACAAGCACAGCGTTGAATACGTGCACCACCTCAACTGCCTGGTGCCGTTGTGTGTCTGCAAGATGCTGCATGGTTGAGGCTGTACACTGGTGAAAGCGGGCGCGCAGGTGAGCACGTGCAGCAGAACTACCAGCATTTGGATGGCCCGGAGGATGGGGAGTATATTTGCACGCTAAGCGTGCCAATTCACTCCAGCGCCACGTATGAAGGCATCGGGACGACGAAGAAAGACGCACAGAAAGCTGCGTGTTCCAAGCTCATTTCGTGGTCCACTTTGGAAAAAGATGCTCTGGCTGCCAAAGATGAGCGGCGGGCCAGGAAGAAATCCAGAAAATGCTGACGTTTCTTATCGTCTGCTTGGGCGACCTTGACGTCTGCGGCAATGACGGCGTGGACAGTTTGCATGAAGACCGACATAGTTTCATGGTTCCAGCGGCTTGTGTGGTCGCTGATATGCTCAAGTTGGGCCAAGCTGCGGAAGCAGCGCTGCGGGTTTTGTACATACGGGGAGGGGTTGTTGGTCCAAATCCCACCAAACGTTTCACTGTGCATTGCTTGAAACGGCGCGGGCCGCTGCAATGTTAAAATGAGCTGGAGGCCTACAGCGAAGTGCGCTAGCAGCTTGGATTCGCTCTACTTCTGACGCAGGTGCTTTGTTTATCAATGCCAAGGCGGGGCGGCTGCGTCTAACGCCGCTGTGCGTTAGACGTCCCGCCTGCCGAGTAGCCATCATCAAGATTTAATCTGACTTCGACGTGATGAAACTAGTTGTAACGAGGGCACACGGTCTCCTTGTTGCCTCCTGCTTCTCTCTTTCTCTCTCCCACTCGTCGCTCAGTCACTTGCTCACTTATGCACTGATCGCCATCCTGTGTTGCACGCCGAATTTTTGCTCCCGAGCAGGCTTCTGATGTGATTCTCCCGGATGTCCCCATCGGCAGCCGGGCACCTAGAATGTACTTGTGGGACATCCTGCGCATCCTTCATCCTTTCTTTCCCTGAGCAGGCCCGACGCTCCTTGAGTCCAAGAAGGATTGTCGGAAACAGAGACACGCTTCGGGATCGCCGCACTTTTTTGGCTTGGTGACGTCCTGCCCGCAGGACCCAGCTGCTTTGAAGGTGAAGGTCTGCAAAGGCGTTGGCATCCAGGCACTTCGTGACGTTCCACACTTGCAGAGGTCTAGAGTCCAGGGATGTTTATAGATATTGGGTTCATGGCTATCTCGTTCCACCTCGCTGCAGACAAGCGGCATGTTGGACAGATCTCTCTCTCTGTCTGTCTGTCTGTCTCGGTCCCTATGTGTGTCTGTTTATCTCACTCACTCTCTCTCACTCTGTGTCTCTCTCTGTCTCTCTCTGTCTCTCTCTATCTCTCTCTCCGTCTCTCTCCGTCTCTCCCCGTCTCCGTCTCTCGTCTCTCTCTCTCTCTCTGTCTCTCTCTGTCTCTTTCTGTCTCTCTCTCTCAATGGCTTATCAGGCTATCCGCAGTGACATTGTTCCTCTTTTCTTGCTGGTCCTCTTTCGTCTCCGCGAAACCGGGAACAAGGACCCTGAACCCTGAAAGCAGATGTTGGCAAGGAAAACCGCAATCCTACTGCTGCTACTGCTGCTGCTACTGCTGCTGCTGCTACTACTACCAGACAGTGCCATAATTGACGCTATGTTACTGCTTTCTTCAGGCGCCTCAAACGTGTGGTTCTAGCACAAATTCCAAGAAAGAGTCGAGGGTAAAAATCGTGCTTTTTCTCGCAAACATTCTACATGTGCCTCTTTTGGTCTTACGTCCGTACCCAAAACACTGCCTGCTTTGGCCTTGCTGGGTGGGATGGGGGGGTGGGGGGGGGGGGGGGGGTGGGGGGGGGTGGGGGGGGGGTGGGGGGGGGGGTGGGGGGGGGGGTGGGGGGGGGGGTGGGGGGGTGGGGGGGGGGGGGGGGGGGGGGGGTGGGGGGATAAGAACCTTCTCCCCCGCCCCCGCCCCGCCCCAAAAAAAAGTGCAAGCCCAAGTCCCTGAAGCTAAAGCCTAACCTCTTAAACCTCCCTCCCCCAAAAAAAACACAGCGCAAGCCGAAATGTTTAGTGCTTAGGGCTTAGGGTCTAGGGTTTACGGTTTAGGGTTTAGGGTGCTGGGTTGAGGAATAAACCCTAAAGCGTGAAATCTAAGTTTAACACCCCCTCCCGATGGACTTTAGAACCCCTCATAATAATAAAACCCTGAAAATATAGGCAATTCCCATACAAAATATTCCGAAATCCAAAAATCACATATATATCATAAACCCTAAAGCATGAAATCTAAGTTTAACACCCCCTCCCGATGGACTTTAGAACCCCTCCTCATAAGAACACCTTAAACATATAGGCAATTCCCATTGACATCCTTCGATGTCGGCACTTCCGATCAAAGAAGACATCCTTCGATGTCGGCTGTTCCTATCACTGGGACGCTGTTAGGCTTTAGGGTTTAGGGTTCAGGCTTTTAGGGTTCTTGTGGTTTAGTCCTTTCGGTTTAGGCGTTTAGTTTGTATATGGATACAAAGACAAGCTGTCTATCTATCTGTGTACCGATATCTTGGGATGTTGTATTTATAGGCGACAACGCCGCAAAAAAAACAGTGTCATGTTCCCGTATGTTCTAGTGACAGGCCAAAACGCTGCAAAAAACCAGTATTTTCAGCATAGTACGTTCTCTGTGGGCTTGCTGCATCCTTGCGCAGTCTGTTGCGAAGTTGTGCTCCGAGGCCACAAACGCTGCAAAAAGCCAGTGTTTTGGGCATGACACGTATTCTGTCATCTGTAACCTGGGACACAACACTTAAAAACAGCCAAATCCTACCCTCGACACTCCTGCTCTTGTTTTCCGGAAAACACTGTAAATACCGATGAAAACTCGTCCTGACAGCCACAAAAACGTGGCGTCAAATATGGCACTCGCGCGTACTACTACTACTACTACTACTACTACTACTACTACTACTACTACTACTACTACTACTACTACTACTACTACTACTACACTACTACGACGACGACGACGACGACGACGACTACTACTACTACTACTACTACTACTGCTACTTGGTATTTGCGTCTCTCACAGCTGTTGAAGGCGGTGCAAACTTGAAAACCTCAACCCTCCACCAAAACAGGAGATGGGATCTTGTGCTTCGTCATTGCTCAGCCAGGCGCTGGTGGCGCAAGTTGAAGGGCCGTGCTTAGCCATTTCCTGCCGTGCTCTTGCAGATGAATGTCGCCTACAACAACGAAGTGTTGCTCACTCAGGAGGCTTGCAGTGCATTACCGTTAGTCTTGTTAAAAAACAATACCTTGTCAACATGTAGCTTACCGAAAGCTGTGTATACTGGCTGTGAGCTTCGGTGCTCTAGTCCTTGTTGTTGGCCGATGCCCGCTGCTCCAATCGCCCCTTCTTCGCGGTCGTTTCCAGGCATTTCCTCGGCTGGCTGCGCCACTTACTCTTGCGCCTTTCCTTGCATTCCTGCATTAGGAAGCTAGAACAGGCTTGCCCCTCCCTTTGCATAAACTCGCCAGTCACCCCTGGTAAATGTTTCCTAACCTGATAGATCCTGGACCTCAACAGAGCACGAGATGCTTCGAGTAGAGAGTTTTTTTCTTTACGGGCCGTCGTGGGGAATCAGGGAGATGTGATTGATTAGGATGACGGTGAGGGAGGAGGAGGATCACACGGGCGTACGGAGGTGGAGCTACCCTAGACATCTAAGGGTTTTGATAGGGAATGAAATTCATGGGTGAGCGCAAGCTGGGTTATTAAGTGCCCTCAGTTGGACTACGATTATTGCCATGCTTATAGCCCTGCTTAGAAGTGAGCTTCCAAGTGCCGGTAAGGTTGTACCCGACAAGGGTTTCTTTCGATGCCCCCTGAGCGCCCTATATTCCCTGAGAAGCGTACAACGTCTCGTGCCAGAACCATGAGCGAACGCAACTCCTTAATTGAAGGCCCCCAGAGAAGAACCCCTCATTTGTGGAAACAACCATGTACCGTCTGAGCCCAGAAACCAAAGCCTTAACCGAACCTGTGCCACTTTGTCTGTGACTTTTATCTGTCGGTTGCCTCTAGGTTTTCGCAAACTCCCTCTGCCCGACAGGCAACTTTGCATCAGATGGTGAAGGAGTTTGCTGACGAGCCGCGACTTGGTTTTAATGTTGTTTCGCTTGATGCCAGATCAAACGCGTTGGTTATCTGGCTTTCTTTCCATTTGTATCCTGGCAGATCCTGTGAGCTTAGCAGCGCGCTGTTAAAACGAGCGCTCCGTGCAGTCTTGAAATGAAGTGAGGCGACTTAGCCTGGGGTGATGCGAGCCCGTCCAATCGCACAAGCTGTGATGAGTAGCGCTAGAGCCTAGAAATTTAAGGTCGGCGTCGGAGTGCCAGCTCCCACACATGGATCCTGGCTTGCGGAATGAGGCCTTTGTCAGGGCGCGCCGCCGCTACACTATGGAATTGCATAGAATGATTTTGTCAGGCCAAATCCATCGGGCGATCTCATGGCCTCGTCGCCAAGAGCTTTGGCTTCGGCGCCGGGCGCACCCTAGCTTGATTCGAAGACTCTTTCCCTGGCCGTATACACTCTTAGCAATTCCCCCGGGCAATGGCAAGAATGGCAAGGCTGCACGGTGCTCATGAAGCCAGCCGATGCCCGTGCCTCGGTACTCAGAGTCAGGCGGAGACTGCAGCATGAGTGCGCTGCAGGAGAGAAGCCTGGCAGATCGATTTGGCCTTCTACTTCCCGTGCAAGGCCGCGTGGATTCGCGAGAAATTGCTGGGCAGGGGTGATGGCTGATTCGAGAGCCTGGTTTTATCATTGACAACGCCCCTTGAATTTATCAGGCTCTACTTCCTAAACGTTTATAAATCCCACAGTCCTGGCACTGGCAGGGCGAGAGAGCATGTTTCAACTGCAAGCCAGGGCCCGCGATAGTGGCAGAAGCTGTGTGGCGCGGATGAGCCGGCTGATGCCTCATCTGCCGGATGCATGCGCTGTAGATTAAGCGTATACCAGCGTAGGAACAATAGGTGGGCTGGGTTGCGGCTCATGACTGAAACTCACGCTTTTGCGATTATGAGAGGTAGGCATTACGGTGTTTCTGAAAGTGCATGCTCACAGCGAGAGATGTCTCACAGCAGTCTGAATCTGCGACCCGACAAAGCCATGCCCTGTGGCCTAGCCATAAGGCATCAGGGCGTCACAAGGCGGCACAAGGCGTCACAAAAAAAGCACTTCCTGGGATGGGGCCGCCAATGCGGTTCCATTGCATCTACGTCGCCCAGACTTGCCCATGCCTGCAGAGCTCCGGGGCAATGCGGGTCCATGCTTCACGTTCTGAGCCGACATGGGCGAGTCATGTTTGCAAAACGCTCGATTCCGACACGGATTTTCATGTTGAGTAGCCATCACAAGCCTAGTTTGACATGCACGCTGTTGAACAGCAACTTCATGTTTGAGTGCCTTCTACAGGAACGGGTATCGTTTGCACATGCAGGCAGGTGACAGTAAAGCCGCCAGCGGCAAGCATGCCTAAATGCAAGAGCAGCCGGCAAGTACAGTTGCCCTCGCTTGGCCGTGGATTTGCTGATGTTGCCATCATCCTTCACACGGCTGCGTGAGGACACAGCACCTGCTCCCATGGCCTCCGCTTGCTTTTGCGGTTGAAGCATCCTCTACGTGCCAAAACTGCTGCGCCGTGCAGGAGAAACCCAGTGCGACGAGTGGTCAAGGACCCATAGCGATGGCATGACAGAAGCCAAATTTATGTTTGGATTCAGAACGCGTGCTCAGATTGCAAAGCTTTCAAGCAAATCGCGTAGGGAAAGTCCACACATGCCAACAGACCCGCAGCCCAAGTAATCCCAAAACATCCCAAAAGAATGTACACAGCTCGAAGCTCTAAATCTGCTCCCTCAATTTGCAGCACCTGCGTTCAGTTTCAGCTTTCCCCCCCGCCAGGACCACAGATGGCCGCCGGCTCCCTGGAGGGATCTGGAGGGACTCGTGTTGGTACTGCCCTGGTTTAGCATAAGGCATAGGGTCTACGAGCCTCCTTCCGTACCGTATGAAAACTTACAGAAAACTTACAGAAAACTTACAGTATATACATAACATATTAAACTATGCTAAATGCCAATGTACATGCTTTTTTATGTTGGCTAAATAGATATGCTTGCTAAATATTACCGTTGAATCGTCCAGCGGAAGCACCGCAGCTCGAGAGACCTTGACTGAGTCCGATATCAGAACATTGCGCACGTGCTCGGTTCAAAAGCCCCGTGGGCAGCTAGGACTGCTGATGCTCTGGGTCATTTGCCCATTAGACGTGTGAACATGTTGCAACACGCGGGCGGTGAACACGTTCAGTTTCTCTCTGTACCTTACGATGGAAATCACGCGCTCATTCGCTTCGCTTCATGTTCAGTAAGTATGCTCATGAGCGAACGGGCGATGAGTGAATTCGCCGGTAACAGACTATACTGCTACTGCTGCTGCACCTTCTGTTAGGATGGCTACCGCAACAGCGTCTGCTGTCACTAAACGACGACTATGACGACGACGATTTCCGACGACTACTGCTGCGATTCGGGTTCCAGCATGAGCCATCACTTTAGTGGTGCTTCAGGTGCGGGTCCCGGAGCGCTTTGCTGTCGCGGTCATGGGCTGCACGGGCGTGGGCAAGTCTGCCTTGGTCACCAAGTTCATCAGGCGTTCGCACGCGTGCGTTTCGTTTTTCCTTGCTCACTGCCACTATGCCGCTAGAGTCGAGGGTGCTTACCGTATCGCTTTCCATGCCAGGGACGAGGTGCTGTTGGAGCATGATCCCACCATCGAGGTGTGAGAGAGAGAGAGAGAGCAAAAAAGAGAGAGCCGAAGAGCCTATGAAGAGTGCACGAACCATCACAACAGGAGCGTTATCTGGTTGATATTGCTGATAAGTTCATAGTGCAGTTCGTTCAGGATGTATTCTGCATGCTACTCGTTGACGTGCCCAGCAACAGTTTTGCAAAGCGTTGCCCACAGGACATGTACAGAAAAGACCTTGTGGTCAAGGGGTCGCCGGTGGGCCTGCGCCCAAGTGGAGATTCTCATATTTCGGAATAGCCCCAGCCTTGATTGCGACCAAGCTCATAAAGAGGGTCTCCCCCGCCCCCCCCCCCGCTTCCCCCCCCCCCCTCCTTTTCGGAAAAAAAGGCCTCGACATCGTGGACACGGCTGGCCAGGAAACCTACCACTCTTTACGGAGGTGCGATCATGGGCTACGGGGCCATTCACACGCTTGCTGTATGGGGCTGTCGCCCACAGGCGCATTGCCGCCTTGCCGCGCTGCCGCCCGTTCGTGCTTCTTGTTTGTAAGAGGGCGTGGTCCTTCCGCAGCAGGCATCTTGCATTTCCTTCAAATCGTAAGCTTCGTCTGCCCATGGCTCCAGCCTCTGCACCGGCCCCAGAGGCAAACCCTTGCAAAGGCTCTCGCCCAAAGGCTCTCGCCCAAAGGCTCTCCCCCATGAGGGAGATCCCGAAGAGGTGGTTTCGATCAGTTAGCGCCACGGAAACCAAAGGCTCTCTCACGAGCTCGGCAGCATAGAGTCCCCACAGTCCTTGGTGGGGGCGTCCGGCTTCAGCCGCGGAACAGCTCACGGTGTTGGGAGGATGTGAAAGTATCAGTCGGGACGTGGGTCCCTTCGCTGACAAGTTCTCAGACTGCAGGTTCTCTGGGACGCGGATAGTTGTTGCTCCAGTTGTTGCACCCGTTGCTCTTGGATGCTCTGTGGAGGGGCTGGCTCCAGAACGGCAAGGGGCCTGGAGCCCAGCAAGTGCTGTGGATATTTTTTCACAGCATGACTCTCTTCTGGACAGCAGGTTCGTGTTCGTGCTTTCCCTGGCGGATCGGCAATCGCTGGATGGGTCCGGCGCTGAACAGGATTGCGATGCAAATGCAGTGCTCTGCGGAATGCACCATGGCACCATGGCTGCCGGCTGCCAGTTGAAGTAGTTGCAAACTTCCTAGCACAACTACGAAACGAACCCGTTGGCAACAGATCATGTTTGAGACGAGGTCAGCAGAACAAACCCAGAAAGCTTTGCCGCTTAGCCGCTTAGCCTCAGGCTGTCGGCCTTCCAGGAGCAAATTCGCAGCATCCACCCGGAGGAGGCGCCTCCGAGCGTCTGCGCCTCAGGGAGGGGAGAGGTTAGCTTGCGTGGAGAGTCTGCTGCACTCTAAGGTCATGTTGTAGCCACCAACACATTTTTTTTGGGTTCCGGGTTTATGGTTTATGTTTGGGGTTTAGGGTTGAGGGTGAGTTTAGGGTTGAGGGCTTAGGGCTCGAGGTTCACGGTTTGGGGCGTGAGGTTTTTGGGTTTAGGGTTCAAGGTTCAAGGTTGAAGGTTCAAGGTTGAGTGTTGAGACGGTTCGGCTTGGATTGGGTTCGTAAAGTTGCCTCAAGCAAAAGGGAGGGCGGGGGCAAGGGGGGGGGGGGGGGCAAAGGGGGGTGGGGGGGCGGGGGGCGGGGGGGGGGGGGAGGGGGGGGGGGGAGGGGGGGGGGAGGAGTGGGGAGGGGGTGGGGCAGGTGGGTGGGGGAGCGCCAACTGGCCCTGATTGTGGCGAACGCTTTCAGATTTTGGTGGGTACCCTTTCCAGGCAAAAAAGGGGGGTTGTGGCTTTGCGGTTGGGGGGAGGATTTGGAGGGGGGGGGCCTGTTCTCACAACCTGTACACCTTCGGCCCGAGGCCTCGGCGGATTGCTTGCGAATTTGCAAACGACAGAGACACAAGGAAACCCCCCAACGCATTGATAACCGGACTAGGAGGCTTGGTTGTGCTACTGTAGTTGCTTCTTGGACCTGTTCTTGTCACCTGAAGATCAGGAACAATCATACCAGTAGATTCACTTTCCCCCCGCTTCGTCGTGTGCCCGCAGACCGTCGAAGGAAAAACTTGGACGGATCGTTCTCCTGAATCCAGACCAAGCCAGACTGGTTTCCTGAAGCCTTCACTTTGTCTCGCTCGTATTGTGCGCATCTAGTCGGCTGGGCCTTTTGCTCGCTTGTCGTGCATGCCCCAAGGTCACCCTTTGAACCAGACGAGCTTGTAGTGAGCGGACTTGAACGTGAGTAAACCGACGAAAGATACCAAATCAGACTGCCAATGAAAACAACCCACAACGACGGTACTCGTAGCTTCCGGATCTCGTGTTTCGCCTTTGATCAAAGACAGTTCGTCTTCATTTTCCCTGTCGTGAGTCTTCAAAGTGTTGCCGGCTCCTCGTTCCATCACGCAGCTTTGGGGAGGTCATTGCTGCCAACATGGCGGACCTGCAAAGGCCCGGGCCTGGCATCTTCGTGACCTCTTTGGCCTCTTCGGAATCTTGAAATCTTGGCGGCGTGTCGCGCAGAAACTCGCCTTACTGACAGGTGGGATGTTTCGGAGGAAGACCTGCAACGACTGCAAGCTGGCTGGCCCAACTGTGTGCAGGTGCCGGGAGAGTATGCCAAGCTGGGTTTGCCACGAAACCGGCAAACAACTTGGAAGCAACCACCCTCTTCACTCCAGGACCCATGCTACCTCTTCCGTGACCTTCCGTGCCCTTGCGAGGTGCTCCAGACCTCAGCGGTGACGGGCCAAAACGTGCAGGAGGCCTTTGAGCAGCTTTGCTCGGCTATGCAGGAGCTCCAGGAACGGATCAGTTTGCCGTTGTCTTAAGGAGTGGGAAGCCGGGAGGGTAGGAGCGGTGTGGGGAGCTTGAGCTTCGTAATCGCAGTGTCGCGTATTGCATCGTGTCTTATCTTGACCTTGGCCAGCGCCAGGAGCGGGAACACCGGCGGCAGAGGAGAGTTCAAAGGGAGGCACGCCAGGTGTCACGTCTGTTTGGGGGGCTTAGGCTGCTGTTGGTAGCTCGCAAACTAACGTCACGCGGAAGTTCAGTGCAGTCTTTTCCAGCAATGCCGATGTTAAAAATCCTTGCAGCGCCCGAGATTTTCTCCCCCCTCGCCCCTCGCCCCCTCCCCCCCCCTCGGTTGAGGGTTTAGGGTTTAGGGGTTTAGGGTTAGGGGGTTTAGGATTTAGGTTCTTGTTTGTTTTTGGGTTGGGGGGGGGGGGAGGGGGGGGTACCTGGAATATGCGCGGACCCTTTTCACGCACTCTCTTCCGATAGTTCCTGAAACATCACGAAGGCCGTATGCCAAGTTCAGCCTCTGCACGCTTGGGGGGGGCCAGGGCTTGTGGGTTGGGGGCTCTGGGTCGGAGGCCGCCTTGCAGCTGTCCTCCAGCCAACAATCCACGAACAACTGCCCTTGCCTCAGTACCAGGGCTGCTGCGTCCAGCTTTAGGCTGCTGGTTGAAAGAATGTGGGGTGGTGTTGGGTATTGGATGTGAGATCTGGGGTCAGCTTTGGCTTTGCTCAGAAGTTGTGATTTCCAGGCGCACGGTGCCGGCTGGCGCAATGCTTCGCAAGCTGTACGGTGCAGTAGTTCAAAATTCCGAGTGGTCAGCCTGTGCATGGTTGCAGCATGTCACGTTGCATTGCATGGCACAGAGCCTTTCTTGTTGCCTTTTCAGGGCTTACACCAGATCAACCACGTAGGGCCCAAGCTGCATGCGGGTCCAGGCAGAGACACGAGGAAGGCGTTGAAAGCATTTCCCAGCTCACCTCAAGATCCTCAAGAGACATGGGCTGTACTGCATTCGGCTTGTGGCTTCCTGAGGACTTCATAACCTTCGCACTTGAGTGTTGAGGGATTCAGGGATGCGCGACACCCGAAAGCCATCAACCTGTCACGTGCCGTGACTCAGCGGCGAGATGTCGGCTCGGAGCTTGGATTCTCTGGCTTCCACCGGCTAAGGGCTCGTTTCTCTTCTTGTGTCGTTTTTGGTTCTTGTGATTTCTGGAGGCGCGCCAAGTCACCAAAAATCACAGCACTGCTGTGCCTAAAGGTCCGAGATTCGTGAACAGACAAGGGTGTTGATGTGTTGATTGTCGCTCGAGGCCCACAGTGCTCCAGCGGCGGAGCTGCAAAGGCCGCGTGCCCCAGAACCCGAGAATGCAGCCGAGGCTAAAAAATGGTTCTCCATTGAATGGCTTGTTCGAGTGTTGCATTGTCCTCTGCCCTCGGCTATATAGGCAGATGGCTGCCGCCGCGGCCCAGCAAGGCCTCAAAGCGAGGGCAGGTCTGTTGGGCGCTCTTTTAGGGATCCTAGGATTTGTGGGGTTTCAGGTGTTCAGTTCTTGTTGAGGGCTCCATGGTTTTGGGATATTGGACTCGCTTTGCCCAATCCAGCCCTAAAGCTTCCCTACCCCCAACAAACCATCCCAAGCCGCCCCCAGACACTTACCACTTTGAGGCGCACGGGCAGCGGCGGACCGTGCGCGAACGGGCTTTTTCGAAGTTCAGGCAGCTTGCATTTGCAAGAAGAGGGGCGCCGTGGACTCTCGAGAGCGCTTTTCTATCGGAGTTCCACTTCGGAAGTGAACCGCTTTAGAGTCGGAGCTTCGGATCTCAGATTAGAGCGAATTGCAGCAATTCAACATAACCTTTCGCGGACGAGAATGCCCCGACATTCTAAAGTCTAAAGCAAGCACCTCTGCAGTGCTGGAGAGGCGTACGTTTCAGAGAACCCAACCAGCCTCAAGGCTGGCGCATTGCAAAGGGTTTTGAGAGGATCCGAGACGTCTGTAGTCTATAGCTCTGCTTTCAAGCTGCTTGTGACGAGAGAAAATCTGACTTCAGGTCCTGTGCTTCTGCACTGGTCTCGCCCTGATAGTCTTCAGCCTCCTGGCCGTGGACCCAGTGGACCCGATGCACCCCGATCCCGAAATGTCGAAGGATAGACGTTCAGACTCATGATGCGAGCAGACAGATGATCCTTGGCCCGACTGTAGTGCTTCGTGCAGCAGCTCGGTTGAAGTTTGGTTATAGCCCAAGCTTGAGCAGAACATGCGCTGGCCCTGACCTCAGGGCATCTTCAATCCTTTTGGAATCTCCATCATTCCAAAGGCGGGAAGCGGAAAGCAGACATTGTGCACAAAAGCGAATTTCTCAAGAGAAGATCAGGATCCCAGGCCATCAACAGCCTAAACCAAAAATCAAGAGAGAATGTCCCCCAACAGCAAAGGCCTAGTCGATGTTGTGTCTGTTGCGCTGAGTGCAGGTTCAGTTGTGCAACCTCTACAACGTCTTCTTTGGGACAGTCATCTGTATCTGTGATGGCAAGGCGGTGCAATGAGAGAGATTGTTCGGGAGTCCCGTGACCCAATAGAGTTCAGGAGTCGTGGCTGAGAACTTGTGGTGACGTGCAGGCGAGCGACTTTCTGCCACTGTAAGCTACTGTGTGCGCGCATGTTGCTGCCCTGTGGATGGGAGATTTTTCCGCTGCCCCATCTTGCGAGCCCCTCTGAGGGCGCTCTCTTCCGCAAGGCCTATTTCTTGGCCAGCCAGGCCAGGCTGTAGGTAAGAGTAGTTGCAGCCAGGTTCCGAAGTCTGCCACTTACTGGTGCTTACAGACCGGGCGGTCCCTTTTCTATTTGTACGTGGGCACCATGACGCTTCTAGCTCAGCCCTCAGCGCCCCAGCCAGACGAAGCATTGCGAGGTCTATTCCAGATGTGGACGCGGCCCTTCCCCTTGCCGAAACAATACCGATTCCTACCGGTTCAAAAGGAGTCAAGCATGCGGACCATTCTTTCGCGGGGGCATCTGTGGCAAGTAGTTCATCCAGATGAGGGATGTGTCGTAAAGAGCTTCCAGAAATATTCGGTTTCCAGGCTCGTGCGTTCCTTGTCCACTATATCGACACGAGCCCCACAAAACGGTTCCAGGGACCGCGAAAATCGCTAAAACCCTTGAGCCTTTCATCTGTCCCAGCCCCTCCTGCTTAGACCATTTTCTGCACGTTGTCACATTGTGCCCAGTTGCTTCCGGGTGGCATCTTAGACGTCTTCAACATGGCCACGGGGCAGTGGCCCTCAGTGGCCCTCGGACCCTCGCAACATCAGATATCAGATGCAACGGAGATTCAGGATCGCGCTTTGCATCATGGCCTCGCTGATGCTGGTCAGGGAGTGGTGCTTCCCTTTCTGTTGCAAGGCTGGGCTGGTGAATGTGCGATGTGTATACCAACGCAACCTTCATCTGTGTGTGTGTGTGCGTTCAAGGTTTTGCGGGATTCCCCTGAAAAACATCTTGGAAGTATTGCAAAATCAGCTGAGTTGCAGGATGCTGGACAGATGAGCTCGGGGCAAGTGTAGTCGGACACGTCAAGGCCTTGGGGAAGGGGTGCGCACAAAGCGGCAACTCGGACTCCACTGTGGCTCGTCAAGCGACGTCCATGAACAGCTTGTGCGCAATGGACAACTGAGTCGGCTGATTGTGCTGTTGGTTGGCAACTGTGCTGAGATGCTGGACCTTGTGGAACAAGCCGCATTCCAGCCTGCCATGCTCAAGTTGAGAGAACTGACCAAAGCTCTCAGATGTAGACCGAGCACAGGAAAAGTCGCAAGGACAGACATCAACCGCCAGAACGCATGTATCACCGAATTTCACAGACGTTCTCAGCATTTCTTGAAAGTGCCAAGATGCTACAACAATGGTGCCCACACCCCCGCGACACACAAGCTTTCGCACAAGCACACCAGCACACCCCGTCTACTCCCCTCACCCCTCCCCCAATCCACACTTACACACATACACTCACACGCACACATACACCTACACACCACAAACACACACTCGCACACACTCGTTCTCACACCCACGCACACTACACACGACACGCACGCAGACACACAGACACCGACGTAGGAGACTCCAGATCTATTGGCGCTTAGGCTGCCCCTCAAGGCGGAGCTTTTGCTCCGCTGGGTGCGGAGATGGAAGCGGGTCACTATTCGCCGGAGATGCTGCAGAATGCGAGCCAGATGGCCATGTACCAAGCACAGGGCATGACTGCCCCGGGCGCGCCCAACCATGCCATGGCTTATGGCATGCAAGGCCACATGGGCCAAGAGGTGCAAGGCCAGGCTGCACACCATGCAGCGTGCCACAGCATGGCCCAACAACAGGGCTACATGCAAGGGCACATGGGCATGCAAATGGCTCCTGACGGGACACCGATGGTCATGCCCTATGCCATGGACGGCCAGCAAAACCCTCAACATGCCGCCCAAGCCCAGCAGGCACCCGGGGCTGAGGAGATGAATTGAGGAGATGTATTGACTGCAGCATTGACTTCAGCATTGACTCAGTATGCTGTGTTAGTGTGTCCTGTTCATTTTCCAACATCTTTTGATCTGCTGCATTTTGCTTGTGTGCATTCGTGCTTTGCATTTTGCTATATTTCGCTGTCCCTGTGCAGATGATGTATCAACAACACTGCGATGGCCATGCCAACGCCGGCCAGTGTGCGGCCCAGTGTGGCGCTGGGCAGTGCGGCGGCTGCCAGGGCGGATGCCCTGCCGGTGGATGCCAAGGTGGCTGCGAGCTCAGCATGCCGCTGCTGCCGCTCTATTTTGCTACTCTCCCAAACGCATCTCAATCCTGTCGGAAGGTATGGCAGCTGAAGTTCATGTGGAGATGTGTGTGGGTGTGTGTGGTGTGTGTGGAAAGGTTGCTGCCAGGGCTGCGGTGCCTGTGGCGGCTGCCCTGGCACTGGTGCTGCTTGCAGCGGCTGCGCTGGCGGATGTCCTGGCAACTGCGGCGGCTACGTGCTGCAGATGCCCGGGATGGCTGCAGGGGTTTCCGGCGCAAGTTTGTTCTTGCCATCTTGATCATGTGCTGTTCAGTTGAATGCGTTCGAAAACCATAGCAGCGTAACACATCGCCATTCTTGGTGTGCGGACGCTGAACATAAGGCATAAGGGGCGCATTGATATTTGGGGAAATATATTGAATTTGTCTCCTTCTCGATGTGCCCACGCTCTGCTACTTGCCCCAAGGTGTACCTTTGAACATTGTTCCTTGTGTGCCATATAGCGTTGCTGTCAGCCGCAGTAACTCGCATGCCAGATGATGATGCCCGGGCAGATGAACATGCCCAACCAACAGCAGCCTGCGCCTGAAGCTCAAAGTTGCATCCCCCACAGGCCACAGATCCCCTCACAATCAAGCCGTGCCTAAGGGCTGGTCAAGGGCACCCTGGAATGCAGTTTGTGATGGTGCAAGGACAAGGCCTGCGAAGACAAGTTCCATTTCGGTTTCCAGTGGTAGATTCCAGTCAAAGCGTGGGTGCGGCATCTTCATGAACACATATTAACACACGGCAACCCATACCGCCATGCCTTCCTACGACTAGAGATCCTTCGGCACGGTAGTTGCAATTTGCAAATGGGACTCTCAATCCACGCTGCTGCAGGCGGTGGTCCCGGGCAGATGCACGCAATGCAAGGAGAGCAGAGCGATTTTCCTTCCTTAGTCGCAGCGGGTGACATGCGCCCTCACCTGCTAGGCATGCCTGCGCAGCAGATGCAGGGCCACATGCAGGGCCAGATGCAGCAGATGCAAGGCAGGACAGCTCATTCTTTGTTTTTGGAGTCTTGGTGATTTGCACCGCTGTCCCGAGGTGTGCAAGGTGCGATGCCCCCTCAGCAGATGCCAGGCAGGGCCCCCGACCTCATGTATCCTTTTGCCAAAGCCCTCACGTTTTCGCAAGATTGCATCTGCCAGGACACATGGGCCCGGATGGCCACCCAATGGGTCAGCCGAACCCAGGCTGGGAGTGGAACCATTCCTGACGCACGAGTCCAAACAATGTTCCAGCTTTGGATGTCCAAGTTGTAATCAAAGTGTAGAGGTCCTGCACGTGAACCCAAGTCCAACTCACATGGCTTTCGGGAACGCTGGTGGAAATGTTGCCCTCACCTCCCTCGGCAGTCGCACCCTCGGCCGTCGAGGGCGGTCGCTTCATCTACCGTTCATCAATCTGGTGTTCCAGATCAGTGCTCGGATCGATTGGTCGTACAAGACGATCCCGCAGAGGGATGCCTCCGATCTTGCCCAAAGAGCCAACAAACAACCTCAGGGAAACATGGCTGGAGAATTTCGTGTGTGTGTGTGTGTGTGTGTGTGTGTGTCTCAGACGGGTCTTTCTGGATGCCAAGATCTCAGTGTCAATAGCTGGCCATGACAGAAGCTGCGGTGCATGGTGAAGGCATCGCTAGGTTCTGCGACTTCGGCTTCGGACGATACATTCCGAATTGGATCGGATCCATGCTATGTACTCCGATGTGTGTATAAGAATCCGCTTGATTCCAGTACGGTGCCGCGTCAGCCGGATGATGGCAAGTGACGGACGTCAGGGCATTGCATGATGTGTCCCACAGGCGTAGTGGGACGTCAGATCGGCAAGCCCGCGGCGTCCTGTGGCGTCATGTTTCAGGGCAACACAGGCAAACTCTGAACACCGGAAACGTGCCGACTTGATGTGAAGGCCCTTGAGCTTAGGACGAGCTGGGGTTGACTCCTCCGACGTGCTTTCCGCTACGGCAACCGCCACCATCTATTTTGACGCTACGCGACCCGCCTCGGCCAGCTCCCGGAGAAGGTCCGACGTTGAGTTTTTTGGTGTCAAATTCTTCTGCTACTCCCCCGGTCCCGGCAAACCGTCCGCTTTCAGGCCTAGGGGGGAGGATTTGGAGGGGAGGGCCTGTTCTGACAACCTAGACACCTCCCGAAGCCTCGGCGGATTTAGAGCTCAGGGCATTGGAGGCCACAGTAGGCGTAAGCACTTAGTGCATGACATGGACTTGACCTCGTAAGGCAATAAGAACCCACCAACATGGTCTCGATGCGGTAGGTCAATGTGGCCAGATGGCCCACCCGGATCAGGGGAAGGGAGCCCAAGGAGGCCCTTCCTCGCCCGGACTTAAAGGATCTGAGCTTCGGATGATTCGAGCTTCGGGCTGGCTTCAAGTTTTTTTGTTTTAACTTTCGCTTCAAGTTGCGAGGCTTCGAAGGTTTGCGGGTGCCGGCTTTTTTCGAATCGGGGCGGGGTCGTGGCAGCCTCCAACCCGAAAGCTTTAGCGACGTTGGACGCAATGAACTCTGGAGGTGCACATCCGCCTGATGCAGGGGACGGAAAAGGAGGCTGGCTACAAACACATGGTCTGTTTGAGATGTAAATTGGCGGCATGGTGGGCTGTGGGTGGTCGTATGCTCAATGCTCACACTTGTCGTATGCTGTCTCAAGAGGTGGTGGTCGCGCGGCTGCCGGACGCAACACGCAGCCCAAGCAAGGAGCCAATTGGTGGGGTCCCCGATATGGAGATCCGCTGGACCCAGTTTCACGTATTTTGCACGTACAGATTTTGTGCTTCGTTGGGTTTCGTTGTGCTTGGTGTGGACATCTGGGGACATCTGGGGACACAGGCAGCAAGGCGCCGGCCGTGGGGTGGGTCGCTCGATGGACACACGGCCTGCAGCTCAGAGGCTCAAGAGTGTCCAGTTGTTTTTGATGTTTTTTTGTGTGTTATCTTGTTTTCTTGATTTTTGCGCGCACGAGGCCGTTCGACCAAAGCCATCAGGCTGCCTGCAAAAGTCGGGACTCTGTTCTGTTTCTGTTGCGTCTCCTGAAATGTGAGGAGCAAGCGCCCGCTGTGCCTGGAGAGCAAGGCCTCCCCCCTGCTGGCCCGAACCTCCCCCTCTGCCGCACTGCTGCTACTTTTGACTCTTGACAATACGATATGGGAGGTAAAGGAACTGGCAACCCTGGGAATGCAGCACAGGCCCGCCCGGGATACTCGGTGCCCGCACCCGTGCGCGGAAATTCCCTCGCGTCTGGCAGGATGGGCAGAAAGGAAACAAGCTCCGCAATCCGAAGAATCCCTGGGCTGACATCCAGGACGCCGGATGTGCTTCACAACGTTTCGCACGAATCTCTCACATGCTGTTACCATCTCTTACACCCGCGGGTTCTGGCCCGACAGGACACCGCCGGCTTGGACCAGGACACTGCGAGAACCCACCGAAACATGTCATTGAGTGCTCTCCATTGCCTGGGTTTTCAGTGGTAGCCTGTAGCCCAGAGCAGGAGATGAATCAGCTTTGGGACTTAAACATGAGGCTGGAGCCGCCCTCTTGCTGACTGCGGCTTCGGAGTTTTTTTGTATGATTCAGATTCAGAGTTTCGGGCAGCACCACGTGTTTGCCTTGTGGAGGTCCGGTCAGATGCCCAGTATGGACACCAGCCAGAAGGCCGGAGCCCACGATGTGGACGGTGCAATGCGGTGGGTTCCGGGCTTATTTTTGTTCTGGCAAAAAATAAGCCTAGGCTGGAAACTTCAACAACCCAAGCAAGGGCAAGGGCAAGAAGGCCTCTGCAGCTGCCACGGCTGTCTCCCCTTCTGTCGGTTTCATGATTTGCCAAACTTTCCTTCCCTGCAGGATGGAGGAAAGGATGGCGGAAAGCACAACGACGACAACATGGGAGGCTTGCATCAGCTTCCGTGCTCCGTCTTCTTATCGGAGCGCGCCCTGATGCCTTCGAATGAGCCAGGCGGCAAGGGTGGCAAGGACTCAGCACGGGAGATGACACAGTAGCCAAGCAACTCTCAAGCGGAATCAGCGTTCGTCAACTTGCCGTGGAAATTGTTGAGATCAGCCTTTCTAGCATCCGGCACCCCAGCTTTGCCCGAGAGGAGCCGCAGCAGAAATGGGTTGAGAAGACCGACCAGGGCAAGGGCCAAAGAGGGCAGCAAGGACACCCCCGAGTGTGCCCCGAATCTTTCCCGACGGCCGTACCGCTTATCCCCCCGGGGTTGTTGTTCTTCGTATGCCCCATCGATATCCCTTCCGTTTTTTTGGCTCTTCCGACAGCTCTTCCCGATGACTCAGATGTCCCGTGTTTCCTCACCAATTGCAACCCCCTTGCAAGGAGGCTGGCAACCCAAAGACGTCCTCAAGCAGCAAGCAATGCCCCGCGCCCGGAGAGAGAGGGTGAAGCGAGCCAGCGGGTCAGCGGACCAGCGCTGTGGGGGAGATGCCTCGAGACTTGGAGATGCGCTTCTTTTTCCGAGGCAGCAGATGCCCATGTCGCCGGGTGGCAAGAGCAACAGCAGCAAAGGCGCGCCTTTGGGCCTTTTTCGGGGAAAAAAACAACTGATGGCCCGGGAAGGGAAGCGGCCTTCAAGAGACTCTTCAGTGTCTTCAGCGTCTTCTCAAATTAGCCTTTTCTCTGGCAGAAGGTGGATACCAGCAGCCTCTCATGGGTGGCTGCGGGGCCATGCTGGCTCAAGGCCCTGGCTGGACGCTCGGAACGTTTGTGCCCCCCCGGACTTGAGACATGGAATGATACGAATGGTAGCGCATGCAAGCTCCCTCCAAGGGGCTCCATGTTTTTGAGTTTTGAAGTCCAGCGGAAGCTGATCAGCCCCGAACGCGTGTGGGACCGTCTTCGCAGGCTCATGGAGGCTCTAGAGATGGAATGCTGCTTTTCGCTGCTTTGCTGTCCCGTTGTTGGGTCTAGGAAACGACGCTGGAGCCTGAGTGAAAGCGTGAAAGCGTCGTTTGACCAACTCTATCTCCTTTCGATGGTCCCGGAGCCCTGCACCCTACCCCTTGCAACCTTTGCAGACTTTTCCCATGCCCTGCGGTGGGCTAGTTCTCAGGCGCATTCCACGCGTGCGGTTGTGGTGACCTGGGCTTTGTTTCTTGTGCACTTTCCTGATACACGGCTTCCCGTAGCGTTGTCATGCTCATGCTCTCGTTGGCTGCTGTATCCCCTGAGTATTCGCGATCTTTGCGAACTCATAGCAAACAAGAAGGAACTGCCGCCCAAACTTCATAGTCGGAAGAAGAAGTTGCCTCTGGACGAACCTCATGGCCGCGGTTTTTGACTTGTCTGCGTGCTCCTGTTGTGCCCTAAACCCGAGCCCCCATTCGCCAACCGCGAAGTGTCGAGGCCCCAAGAAGAACAAGAAGGGCGCTGGCCGTGATCCTGAGATGGACGACTGGCTGTCAGCTTCTGAGAGTACTCGAACCCCCCCTCCCCAAACCCGAAATCTCAAGTTTTGAAGCGAAAAGCCCTAAACTCATTTCCGAACTTCTAACGCTCTGCTGAGGAGCCTCCGCTTTCAAGGCCAAGTTCCAGCGACACCCACAGGCGCCGGCGCCAGAGATGTTAAATCGTATTGTAATAGCTTGCTGCGAGTGAAAGTACTTTTTGTGCAATGTTGCTGCAGTCCCTCATTCTCCGAAAGCCTTCGCACCATCATGTAACTACTTCATCACGGAGTGGCGCGACACCACAGTGTGGGCTGTTGAGGTTGCTTTGCAGGTTTGGGTTTTCAGGTTGGGGATGTTTCGAAGCTTTGCCGAACTGCCGCGCAGGCTCCACCAACATGGGAGGTGAGGAGATGTGGGAAGAGGACGAGGATGCCAGGCAGCCGGAAAGCCCTATGGCCCTAAGGCCTTTAAGACCCTAAGGCCCTAAGGCCTTTAAGACCCTAAGGACTTCTAAGGCCCTAAGGCCGACATTTGGCGGGCTGGGCCACAGCAGCTACGTTGTGCCTGGTTAGCTTCCCCAAACCTTTTCCTCATCTTTACCAACTCACCTTCCAGTATATACAGTATATTCATCTCTATTCATCTTCCAGGCGGAAGCGAAAAGGGGCCGGCAAGCAAGGCAGGGCCATTGCAGGGCTGTGCAGCGCAGGGATCAACACAAAGCAACATCGCTCGTTCGGAGTTTGTTAAGGTTCGCATTGTTTATCCCCGTGAGTCCCCGCCAGGTGGTGTGATGTGGTGTGTGTTTTTTTTCAAGGTACCTGAGATGTTACCCCGGGAGGCGTCAAGGGGCAAAATGGCAAGAAGGCCGCTTCCTCACCTGCTTGGGCTTGCGCAGCTTGCGCCAGGGGCTTCTAGGGGCCTTGTACGGAAAAGGCCATGCGTGATGTCTAGCTTTGTAGCTGTGCCTGCACAGGGTGGAAATGGCGGTGGCAAGGGTAAGGCCAAAGGTGGGAAAGGCCAGACCAAGCGAAAGACTTGTTGACTAAGCGTGAGTCGTCTACCCCATCCCCGCGAGCCTTCGACAGCCTGCAGGTGGCGGAAACTGGCAACAACGCGCAGCATGACCCCGGAGTCGCCTCTATCACCTCGAGCCCGGCACTTGTACGCTGCAAGTTTCTTCTCTCCATGTGCAGCACACGGAAAGTGGGTACCCGAAAGTGGTACAAGGTCGCACGGCCGCATCGTCGGCGGCTCAGTCCATGGGTGATGCAAGGCTCCTTGTATGACCCCCGCGAAAGGGCATGAAACAGTGAAGCTGGCGCTTGCAAGTCTCAAATGACATGAGGTGCTTCACGCGCCAGATTCAAATTCGGCAGCCAACTTGAGACGCAGTCCGTGTGGAGTCAGCTGGCTTTGGTGACTGATTCACAGGGGGCAAGGTCCAAGTCGAAACTGGTGCACCTCGCACTTTGCGATCTGCGTCTCAAGGGACCAAGTGGCCAATTTATCACTGGAGTTCCCATCGTTGCATGATAAAACAAATGTGCAGGAGCTATACGCCACTGAGAACCTCTCTTACAGTGCGAACTCTCATTTGTAGATAGCTTCTGGCCCAGCCGAAGGCTTCGTGCGGTTGACAGCAAACGTCTTCCAAATCACAAGAATGTCCTTCAATGTCCTTAGTTTTTTTGTGTAGAGTAGTCCTTGAATTCCTCACCGGTGTGGGGTTGCTGAATGCTAGGTCAACCATGCTCCGCGCCTCCTCGCCTCAGGTAGCTGTAGGGTGGGGATGACACAAGTATACACAAGTATACACAAGTAGTCTTGCTTTGCCTAAAGAATCCCTGAAGCCTCAAGCCGTTCCTAGAGCAGCCTTCGGCGTGGCCGGCTCTCCACGCTTTGCGATGTTGCGAAATCGCCTTGGGAGCATCCAAGTCAGGTTCAACGGCCCAAAATGTTGGCATTGTTCCCCTAGCTGGAGTTGACGGGATTCATGGGACTGAGGCGTTTTTGGGTGCAGGAAGTCGGGCAAATTGGGGAAGCACCTCTTTCTGGATGACAGGGGTTGTGCGGCCTGAGAAGCGTCACTACAGGCGGATTCATTGAGGTAGTATGGATTCCTGAGGCGATCTCGCGTGGCATGAAGGGCGCCTGCAGTACTGTGTACCATTGTGTACCTAGACGCGAGCCTCGGCCTGCCCTCGGGGTTTAGGACTTGCAAATCTTAGCATCAGGATGTCAGCACTACAACTCATGCAAAAGCTCTGAGTGCATCCTACGGCACCAGGAGCCTTCAATCTTTTCAAGCGCTTGCAGGGGCCGAGGATTGCCGCCCAATTTTACCTGACATGTCTCCGACACTGGCATCTCGCTACCGCAGTCAGACGAATAAATAATGTATGCATAGGCTGTTCTGCAAAATTCCCTTGATTGTCGACGCTCGTCCAGGTGGTGTCGGGTTCTTCGGGTGTTTTAGATGGGCCGGGGGGGGGGGGGGTAGGCGATGTCTGACACAGGATGGTGCGCTTGCCAGCCAAGCGTGTTGCGAGAGAAACAGAAACAGCAGCAGACAAGTTTAGATACGAAGGAGGAAGGAGAGAACAGCAAAGAGATGCTAGAAGATGGAGAATTCAGGGAAGATGAGAGAAGGAGATGGAGATGCGGGGGCGGGATTCATGCCAATGGGAGGGTCGTCTACTGTGGCAAAAGAGAGACGCTGCCTCTGATTCAGGGCACCCTAGGGACGACTATTTTCCAAAAGGAACTTTGGCTCAAAAGGTTTTGCCAGGTTCGTGGGGGGGGGGGGGGGTACATTGCGCGAGGGGGTTGCAAGAATGGGGGAATGGGGAGGTTGGGGTGAGGGCGAGGGCGGGTGGGGCAGGGGAGGGGGAAAGGCGGAAGAAACTTACATTGGGGGGCGGGGTGGGGATTCAGCAATTTGGACCACCGTTGTACCCCACAATCGCTTACTACAGTGTGAGATCGGAAGGTAGCCCACCCATCCCGCAGGAAACGGTTGCTGCGTTCGAAGGTCATCTGCAAACATCTGGTTTTCTGGCTTTGGAAGGCGGGCAAAGGTTGGTTGGAGCAGGGAGATTCTGCATTTACTGACTTGTCAGAATCAGGACAACTACTGATACTGGATGCCGCCAGAGTAGTCACAACAAGATTTCATTGTACCAGCTTAATGCGGCGAGCCGATTCCTCACACTTTGCTAACGTACCGGCCTGCCGCTGTGATAATGACAGTGGCAAGTTGATTGACAGCAGCTGGTAGCGGGCTGCCAGGTCAAACTTTACCGGGTGACTTGTCAGGTCTTCGGTCGAGATGACGCCAGGGTTGCAGGTTCCAGACAATCCGTGCCTACGGCATACCAAAGTCTAGCTGATCAAAGGTTGTCGTAAGTTGGCAGATTGGGGTTAGAAGTTAGTAGCCTTGGTAGCCGCCTGGCCCAGCATGCAATGCTGGATGGCTCACGTTGGTAGAAGTGCTCGTTTTTTCTTAGCTTCCCTCCTCGCTTGACACAGTGAGCTATGTGTTTCTTCGCGGAGCACCGGAGAGGGCCACGAGGAACTCTTGGCACTCTCTGTGCAAGTCGAGCCCGGGTACCTTGAAACGCTCTCTGAACTCTCCGAAAGGACTTCATTAAAGCCTCCCCACCGCCAGCAAAAGAAATGGAGCCCACGACTAAAACCCTACACCCTCCAATCCCCCTGGCTCACTTTTGTGGAGTCAGGATGACAGCAAGGACAAAAAGAGATGAAGCTCTGGTGCGTGCTGCGTGTGAAGCACAAGGGAATGCATGGCATCGCGCCGTAAGAGATATCGGCAAATCGAATGGCTGTAGGCAGTGAGTACCCTTGATTGCAACTTTCTCAAAGCTACAGCTCTTTAGAGTGGTCCTTGAACCCTAAACCCTAAACCCTAAGCCCTAAGCCCTAGACCTCAAACCCTAAACCATAAACCCTAAACCCTAAACCCTAAGACAAAATGAATAGAAGCTTTCGCACAAAACTTTCGCTCAAGAAAGGCTCAGGGAGTCCTCAAAAAAGCATGCAGCAGCGAAGGCTGGAGGCGGGACGCAGGTGGGCGGGGGGGGGGGGGGGCGGGGGTCATAGATTCCGCTGGCCTAGGACCAGGCTTTGGGGGGCTGCCAGCCTTTTTGCTAGCTGTAGCAGGTTGCCTGCCAAGACCGCGCCTCAAGTTTGAACCTTAAACATGCAGTTGCAAAGCGTTCTGGTGCTTTGCGTGGCCCAAGCAGAGTGGGTCCCTAGAGGGGAAGCTAGGCGGGTGGCAACAAAAACCCTAAACCTTAACCTTAAACAATCCGCAGGATTTGAAACTCGCCAGGAACCACAGGTCAGGAACCATAGGAGATTTGCTCCATATGATGCCTTACCCAGTGCCACGTTTCTTCAGGAAATGTTTTTAGGTGAGCTCGGTGGGGCCCCCGCCATACAATGACAAAGCCACAACGTATAGCTGGAGGGGGGCGTAATGGGCTTGAGAGCAGCGATCAAACAAGCAGTCACCGCATGAAAATGCTTGCACAATGCCGCAGACGTGGACGAACTTGAGACTTCACGCGGCGAAGCGCCGCTCTTTCCCTCTTCGCCATGGCGGATCCGGGCGCTGCGCTGGCGCCGGATCTCAGGAACGGGGTCCTGTGGGTGTAGGCAGCAGGCTCTCGAGAGCACATCTCCGCTTCAGGAAGCGAATCGAGATCATGGCGGATCACATTGCGAGGTGCGGAGTCTGGACGCCAGCCCTGAAAGCTTTGTAGGTGCCGCCAGTGTGAGGAATGGTGCTGACTTTGAGACAACGGTGAAGCAGAAGAACGCCAGCAACCCGCAGCAAGCCTTGCCCCTTTGTCTCATGCAACAGGTGGTGCGGAAGTTGATTCCGGTGTTCTTGTGGTGCCAGTGCCAGGTTCTCGTTCTTGTACAATGGCGAGGGCGCTGAATACTACCAGCAGGCCAGTGCCTCCAATCGGCTTCGAACTGTGCTGGAGAACAAGATGGAGAGCAATGAAGGTCCTTGCCAAGCATCGGGGGACGCAGGCTGGACATGAACTGCCACAAAGATCCGGCCATGATGCACATCCCAAGCCCCGACACACCTTAGTGCAAGGTGCCCGTTGCCCTTGCACCGCCGACAGCGGCGGCCCCCGTGGGCTCACTCCCCTCACGGCCACCGATGCCGCCGGCGCCTGCGCCGCCTGTGCCGCCCGCGCCGCCCGCGCCGGCAATGCCCGGCACGGCAGCGCCGTGCCTGGCAATGCCTGGTGGCATGGCGGGCTCGCCACCTGCCTCCGGCAGCCTGGCGACGCTCCTGCGGGGAGGGCAGGCCGGGCTCTTAGGATGCTTTGAGGATGCCAAAAGTTATTCTTTGGTTGGTCAGGTTCAGGGAGCGCCGCCGGTGGAGCTGGCCGTGTGGCCCCAAGCTGGTTTGGTGTTTTTGGGGGGCGGGGCGGTGATGCAGTCTGCCGGTGCTCAGGATGTCCTTCGACGGTGGAAGGAGCCGCAGGTGTTGGCTCTGACCCCGGAGGCTTGGTAGGACATGTTTGATGGGGACCAAACTGGACCTAACCGGGCCTGGCGGCCTAACCGTTTCGGACGCCGGAAGGTGGAGCGGCAGCTTCACGGTGTCATCGCCTCCCTGGAGCCTGCCCGACATGTTCCGCTGGTTTCCGATCACTCTCCCTCCCTCTCCCTCCCTCTCCCTCTCCCTCTCCCTCTCCCTCTCCCTCTCCCTCTCCCTCTCCCCTCTCCTCTCTCCCTCTCCCTCCCTCTCCCTCTCCCTCTCCCTCTCCTCCCTCCTCTCCCTCTCCCTCTCCCTCTCCCTCTCCCTCTCCCTCTCCCTCTCCCTCTCCCTCTCCCTCTCCCCTCCCTCTCCCTCTCCCTCTCTCCCTCTCCTCTCCCTCTCCCTCTCCCTCTCCTCTCTCCCTCTCCCTCTCCCTCTCCCTCTCCCTCTCCCTCTCCCTCCCTCTCCCTCCCTCTCCGCCTCTCCCTCTCTCTCTTTCTCTCTCTCTTTCTCTCTTTCTTTCTCTCTCTCTCTCTCTCGCTCGTTCGCTCGGGGAACCCCCAAACACGGCTTTTGGGCACACCGTGCCATTGCTTCTGTCGATTTAGGGGAAAGAAGGAAAACAAGACTGTGGAGGCACATGGCCTCGAGGGATGCCATCAAGAGTGGTCGGCTCTGGATCGAGTGCAACAGCGCAGGGGGCCCCAGCGCTTCACATTCTGACTCTTCTCCGTTTCTTCGTGTTTTCCCGAATGTGTTTTAGAAGTGTTTGCAAGAAAGCTGCGGGAGCCCATTAGAGGCCTTGGCACCTCACATTGCGGGCCACATCATGCTCCGCGTCTCCTTCCTGTCCACTTGCTCGCACAGGCCAGGCCTCCTGCTCCGCTCTGCTCCGCTCGCGCTGCTCCGCTCGCGCTGCTCCGCTCGCGCTCATTGCAAGTTGTCTCAAGGATGCCTGGATTGCCTGGATGCGAGGCTACATGTGCTGTACCTCGTGCACGATTTGCTGCAGACCGAAGCTGCCCGCAAGGAGCCCACGTAAAGAATGTGGGGTTTGCTCTCGGAATAGCTGGAGAGGACTTGCACGCTCCGTTGGTCCGGGCCTTCAAGCGTGGCACTCAACGGACGCGATGATGCTGGGATGTACCCGGATACTCCTAATACTTCCGAAGCAGTGACGTTCCGCCTGAGGCCATACTTGCCGTGGATTCTGCGCCCTTGCTACCAGCTGGTGCCTGCCCCGAAGTTGCCCCAAAATTGTCACAAGTCTCTGAGCCTTTCTGAAAGCATCTTCAGACATCCACAAAGATCTACGAACATCTTAGATCCAGGCGCCCGACCCGTAAGCTCCGCACAGGCGCTGACGGCCCAGGGCGAGGAGACCAGCAGGCCGAGTTTTTTCTAGGCTCCAGGGTGCTCCAGGCCAAGGCGGCGGATTCAAGCAAAGTCCTTGCTGTCACTCGAGTACGGAGTGTACTGGACTTGGATTGAGACTCCAGCTCCAATTGGAACCCTCACCAAGCTGACGAAAGCAGGGTCCTCCGCCTGGTACAGCTGTGGGTCGACCGGGGCATCCTTTCGGCACAGGAGGCCTAAAGGGAAGCTGCTGGGTAGTTGCCGTATTGTATAGGGATCTAGCCCAGCAAACCAGTGTAGACCGGCCACCTCGTGGCGGTTCATGCAGCGTACTTGACTTGAGACGTAGAATCTCAGTTCGGCAACATGATTTGGTGGGCAAAGCTGTGCAGCTCTGTGGAGGCCGAGGAGGTCAAGGCTGTCACGAAGCTTGGACAGCAGTGGCTGAGTGAATGGGACCTATTTTTGCCTAAGAGTCTTCAAGGTTCCTCTCCCCCCCTCCCCCTCCCCCGCAACCACGCTCACACTGATTTTTGGGTGCACTTGATTGATGCGGCATTTCTCCTGTATATCGCCGTGTACTATTTTTCTGTGCCTTTTCCAGGATGACACAGGAGTTGCCCGGTGTCCAGGCAGCGGCCTCGGTCTTGACCCCCAAAATTCACCTCCCATTTGATGTTGTATTGTGCGCACATACTACTGATGATATATTGAAACTGGACTTCTCTTTTCGTTTAGCCACCCCCCCAAGGCCTCCTCCACACGGCCGCTTGCTCCACACGCGCCGGGGCCTTTTCAGCTGAGATCTCCTGCGCCGGTCCTTTCCCCTAGCCCCCCCAAAGCATGTGAGCCAAGGCCCATGGGCATGCCTGGCTCGGCTCCGCTGCCCACAGGCGGCTGAAGCTCTGAAGCTTTCCAAAGCCAAACTCGCCGCCCCCAAGCTGTAGACAAGCTGTAGACAAGCTGCCCGAAGCTCGTCCGAGCCAGGTGCGCTACGTCCACCTCCAGCGGCACCCTGCATGCCTTTCGTGCCACCTGCTCGTCTTTCAGTCAACCGTGCTTGAGGGCTTGTACTCGTAATCAGGTTTCGGTTCATGTCGCCGTGATTGCAGGGATTCAAACTTATGATGTTTGCACCGTCTGTTCTCACAGTTGGCTCCGGTTGGCACTCAAAACAAGAGAGGGGAGGGTTTGTAGAGTCTTCGGCTTGTAGTTCCTGATTACAGACCCATGCGTTCTTGCTTGCCAATTGTTCCAGGCTGGGGCTGCGATGTCAGTGCCACTTGGCCAAAGCCTACACACCCTCACGGACCAAAGCCACTTGTGTACCGCAGGCCCATGCTCCATGGCTACCAGAAGCAGGCCGCAGGGCTTCTCAGGGCTTCTCAGGGCCAAGCAGCATCAGTCTCTGCATCGTTCCTCCTCCCAGATCCTGGCGGGACTACAGCACACCGGCGTGCAAACGCCCCTCGGCTCCGCAAAAGCAGAAAGGGCTACAGAATGCCAAAAACAGAATGCTAAAAACAGAATGCGATACGCATCACTTTTAAGAATGACCAAAAGATGGTTCTCACTCTTAGATCTCGCGGCCGAAGACCGAAGACTCTTCTGGGGAGCCCCCGAGGCCGGAGACTGTCCCGGTGGGCGTTCTGGCCTCCATGCTGGCCGGGTGCTCGTCAGTGGCGACTCAGTGGTGTGGTGACCCGCCCCCCTTCTTTGCCCTTTTTGCCTCTCTCTTCTAGCTTATAATCTTTATGGTTTCATCTTATGGTTTGATCTTTGTTTGTCTCTGGCCCGTGGCAAAGTTCACGTTTGCGTCAGTGCTTCTGATCTCTGGGTTTCCCCAAACCTGGCCCAGATAGCTCCAGGCTTCCGTGGCAAATCACCCGTCCGGCAAGCACGTGAGGCCCGGAATACCTATAAAATCGACAGTGGGAAGGGATGCCAGGATTGCAAAAGCCCCGCAGCAAGCCCCAACCCTCTGCGCCTCAAAACCTTACCTGGCCTTACCTGTGATTACCTTAAATAGCGGTGAGTGTGCCTCTAGCCTGAAAGGTACAGGCCTCTGGATCCTGTCGTGAACCCAGCCAACCTCTTGATGTTGCCATTTTTGGAGGTGTTGAGCTTTTCGCTTTTTCGCCTTCTGCAACATCTTGCGACAGCTCTGAGGCCATGACACCGCAGGCACTGCCGGCAATGGAGGTGTGGGAAGCCGGAAGCCACAATCTTGGCTGTCCCGTTTTTTCGGGGTTTCGGGAAGGTCCCCACACCCCACCTGCTGGCCAAAGTGGAAGAGTTCTACGAGGACCTGCAAGACGAGGCCGTGACGGGGTGTCCGAAGCCATGCTTGAGCACGGCATCCTGAACCCCGAAGCATCAAAGGACGTAGCCCTGGCCCCCCCCAAAAAGCCAGAAGCCCCCCCCCCCCCGTCCATGGGAAGCGGCCCCCTAAACTCAGCTCTCACCGGGGGTCTGACCGACTCCAACCCTGAGTTGACGCCCCCCCTGCCTCTTCTTTTCCCCTCCGCACTCCTTAAAAAAGAGCCCAAGTCATTGAAAGCTGTGGTCCTCTTCGGACAGTTCTCTGGGTCCTCTTAGGACCGGGGCTCCAGCAGCTCCTCAAACAGCTCCTCTCGGTCTCGGTCACGCGAGCCCCTGGGGCTTGATTCGGATGGTTTGCAGGTGGTTGAACATGCGGTGGTGTTGTAGACTGCCGGGAAGACTTTAATGAATTTTGGGCGGCTTGTTGGGGGTTTAGGGAGGGGTTCTTGAGTTTTTGCTTCCGAAAGTCTGACCAACGTTGAAGGGCCATAGAAATCCAATGGTCCACGAGCTTTTTGAATTCGATCTGCTTTTGCAAGCGTTTATGGGGCCAATGGGCCACGCCCAAAGATCAGTAGGCCCCCCAAAGGCATTTTTTTTTTGCATTCCACAGCAGAGTGACGTCCGAGGCCGGAGCGAAGAGAGGCGAGGATGGGCACGTGCCTCGGTGTGCCCCCTTCTTTGCCTCTCTTTGCCCCCTTGCGACAATTTTGCCAGTCGGCCGTAGGCTGGGGCTTTTGTAGAGTCCAGAGGGTCCCTTTGTTGAGTCCTTGTTTGGGCCTTTGCTCTGGGCCTTGTTTTGGGCCTTGTTTTGGGCCTTGTTGCCTCTGAGGCTTCGGAGCAATGAGCGCCATGCCTCCTCCTGTCTTTTGAGACGCTGTCATGTCGGGGTCGTGGCAGTCCGCGTTGTGCCGAGCTGAGTGTTGTGGTGCATCTGCATCGACTCGTGATGCTACTTTCCATACTCTTGTTGGAGCGAGCTATTCGCAGCGTTTCCAAGATGTGCGTGGCGGCCCCGACTTGTTAACGACGTGCGCGGCGAGCAGGTTTCTCTGCAACCTGGCAGCGGTCGCCTTTGTGCTACGGAGCAAAGAATCAGCTTTTCTGTGCTTGCTGCTAGTCTTGCTCATATCCATCAGCTTGAGCGTTCCATGTCGGTGGTCTGCTGGTGTGTCTCCTACGTCACATGACTTGTCAACAACGAGGGAAGTGAGCCTCTCGACTTGTCCCTGCGGTGCGTTACCTTGATAGCAGCCGTGTGGGTGACAAAAAACCCCAGCCCCAGCCGTTCTCCAGCCGTTCCGGCTGATGCTGCTGATGCGCTCCCAGAGGCACCTTGATGCGCACAGGGGTTGGCCCAGGCCTCCGCATTGGTACCCAAACAGCATAAACAGCAAACGCAGAAGCCGCAGTCTGCTTGAGGATAGCGCGAAAAAGCGCAGGAAAACGACACCGCGAAATTGGGTTTGGGGAATGGCTTGTCGCGTTTGCTAGCTCACAGACCGCGTCTTTCCGCGTCTGCTTGCCCTGGGCCCGCAGCAAGAACTCTGAAGCACATGGAAAGACACGGCATCCATTAGTGTTGTTAGGGGCATTTTGTTATGGTCTCCGTGTCTTATTCACTGACTGACACTGGATCCACCGTTGGCTGGCCATGTCCAAAGTGCAGCCGGGATTTGAGACCCCACGGTTTGCTGCAGAGTGCACGGTCGGAGAAGGGAGCAAGACATGCTGTGTTGGCTCAAGCCTTCGAAGTTATGCAAGTTCAGCTTAGTTGAGAAGGTTGCAACATCCGAACCTGAGCAAAAGTAACGGCAACGTGTGACCCTGGAGACCTATGACTCCTCAGTCCCCGTCTGGTACTCGTAACAACAAACGTGTGCGGGCCGTTCCATGGCCTTCGTGCCAGGTCCGAGTCCGACCACTGGAGCTCATCATGTTCTCTTAATTTCTCTCAGCACATCTGAATGTAGTCAATCTAGTCGTGACTCGTCAACATCGCCATGCCTAGCAGAGGGATTCGCGGCGTTGCCTCCAGCGATGCAGACGACACCGGCGCGGACATCGCGGATGCTCCATGTGCCACGCTCAGACTTTACATGAGATTCGCGAGATGCAAGAAAGTATGTGGCAAGTGAGTTGCAAGCTTGGTGCTGTTTCTATTTCGGAGGCCAGGCCACTCGTTCCCGAAACTGAGCTGGTTAGATTCGTCGATCATCCAGCTCAAACGGAAAGGTAGCAGGGACTCTGGCTGAAGTCTAGGCTCTAAGTGCTCTGCTCAATCGAGAGAAAAGACATGGTGGCAAAGTTGTCATCAGCTTGAGCACGAGCCCCGGTGGCAAAGCAGTTCACATCGACCCAACGGACCGTCATGGACCATCACGGACCCCTCTGATGCCAAGTAGGTGGGGGTAGCTGTCACAATGCATTGGCAGAGACCAAGCCGCTTTAATTTTAACGCTACGCGACCCGCCTCGGCCCGGCCCAGCGCATCCGCGTGAGCATGGTGATTCCGCAGCGCCCAAGTCGCTGGACCCCAAGCAATAAGGGTTGGGTTTAGGGTTTAGGGTTCCGGGTTTATGGTTTATGGTTTGGGGTTTAGGGTTGAGGGTTGAGGGCTTAGGGCTCACGGTTTGGGGTTTAGGGTTTTTTTTGGGTTTAGGGTTCAGGGTTCAAGGTTCAAGGTTGACCCCTCAAGCAGGGGGGGTGGTAGCGCAGGGGGGCAAGGCTGCTAGGCGGGGCTTCAACTGCCCCTGGTCCTGGCGAACCCATCCGCTTTCAGATTGTGGTCGCCCACGGGGTTGGTACCCTTTCCAGGTAAAAAAAGGGGGTCCGACGTATGGCTTTGCGCTTGGGGGGAGGAGTAGGAGGGGGGTGCCTGTTCCGACAACCCTCTCGGCGGATTCAGGACTTCTTTGGAAACCAATTCAAGAGGGTGCTACACTGTGCTGCACCTTCGCACAAGTGAGGATGGCTGCACCTTCACGCAGCGAAGTGGTCGATGCCTGAGGGGCGCCAGCAGTCACTCCTCCTTCTCTTCCTCCAGAGCGCAAAGGTTCCATCCAGCACATCCAGCACGTCATCCTCCGAGGACTCGCCAGCCACCCAGACGCTTCGAGCGGAGTAGGCCTCGTGATCACGAATCAGGAAGCCGACGCGCCCTGCATCCCCGCACGCTACCCGCACGCCGCACGCTGGCCGGAAGAGTCCCCAAGAGCGACCACCGGCGCACGAGAGCAAGAGTGTTTGAGCTGCAACCAAAGGCCCCCCCAATCGCGCGAGGCTTTTGATGCTTTTGGTCGCTTTCGGGATGAGAGGGAGTTGTGTCGTGTGCAGACTGTTGGCGCACGAACTCTGAGTAACTCTCTGAGGCTTGCCTCAGCCAGCTGGGGCAGGAGCTGGCGCGAGCCTCGGGCTCTTTCCGCTGTGGGGGAAAAAGAGCAGAATTTGTGAGATGATGTACAGAGGATTTTGACAATGAAGATTTACAGAGAGTCCGCGCTGTTACACGTCGTGTTGTTGCCGCGCCCGGGCCCAGGTTGGGGCGCCTGCTGCTGCGTAGCGTCGTGGCAGCTTGCGGGGTCTTGGAGGCCCGGCCCTCAGAGCCTCATGCGGATTCCTGCGGCTACGAGCGGGCGAAAGGGGGGTGGGGCGAAAGAGCTCAGAGGACGAAGGGAGAAAAGGGGGTGGGCAAAGGTGGTAGTCATGATCCCGACGGTCTTGGCCGAGCAGCAGTTAATGTCACACTCCATCGCCTGGGACTTGGTTCTTCGCAACAGCTTTTCGTTGCGCTCGGGAAAGCAGAACTGTACTTGCAGGGTCCCTGGCCACTAGCACTTCGGCTGGGCGTGTCGGCGGTGAGGCCAGGGAGGGGCTATCTGTGCGAAATGGATCGAGATGTGCGAGACATCGAGGTTAGCTCCATTTCTCGGAGCGCTAGCGAAGTGCTTCCTATTGTCTGGGCCTCAGATCTCGAAGGTGCCGCACGAATCGACACCAGCTGAGCAGCTTCGAGGCCCAGGCTCTGGAGATACTGCGTCCCCCGGCATCTGCACTGGAGGACGTCTCGGGATTCCAAGGGCACTCCTTGGCTCGGAGGGGGTCGTCAAATTAGTCACGATATCCGACAGAGAAGCCTCCAGGATCCGCAGTTGTGGCGAGTTGGTGCGGGGACCCCAGCTTCTTTCTCGTAAAACCCCCAGTTTTCCGAGCCTCAGAGCAACCATTCAAAGACTTACTTGCGTGTTTGCTCCGTTGTTAGGCAGGCTCCTGAAGTGCGATGGGGCATGGCCATCACGCTGGACATGTGGTGCTGGCCTTGGCGGAATTGACTCAACGGGCACTTGCCCTCTGCGTGTTCGCTGGCTTGAGGTACCTGCTGAGCACACCCCTGAATGTGGGATTGAGGGAGGCCGGACTGAGCAAGCGAATAGCTGGCAGCACCCTGATGAACCCTTCGAGTCTCCAAGTCCCATGATGTCTCGAGATGTCTCAAGGCTTGGTACGGCATCCTTCTGGTTGCCAACGTTTCTCGGCACGACTTTCCGGCGGCTCTTGCTCTGTCAAGACCGATCCCCTGTCTGGGATGATCGAACGACGCCTTTGCTCTCAGCACCTTACGCCTAGATCTTCCTCTGCTTCGTGGACACGGTGACGCTTCTGGCCGCCCTCTCCACCAAGCCGCGGTCCCCAGCCGGCGCCCAAGGGCCGGATAACATCCTCTCAAGCCTACACAGGCTTAAGAGGGCCCTAGACGGGCCCCTAAATAGCATGGCCTGAAGCCCGAACATGCATCTGTTGGCCTTGATCTCAAGGTCCCGGAGGGGCGCTCCCTCCGGCGCGCGCGGCACATCAAGATGTCTCCCGAGGAGGCCAGGTGCAGTTCATTTCTTGAGAATAGGGGGCCAAGTATGTCAGTCTCGATGCAGAGTGCCTGAGCGCGATTTCGGTGGCACGCTCGTTTCCCCTATTACAAACTCCACCTAATTCTGTTTCGGTGGACCCCCTAATTTGAACATTTGTTCGGCCGGACCCAAGTCAGAATTTGGGAGGGGGCACCGCAAACCTGTGCGATCTGCCTTTCCGACTTCGAGGAGGCCAGACAGATTGCTTGCAGCGCATAAAGACGTGTACGGAGTGCACAGTACTCACTGCTATACAATAGTCTTTGCGGAATTGGAGGACGAAGCCGCGGTGCAGCTGCCGTGTCTGCACCCTAGAACTTCAACCAGCAGATGATGAGAAAAGCTGAGTGGAGCCTGGGAGAGAGAGCCCTCTGAACAATCCTCTGAGAGACCCTTACAGAGGCTCACACGTCTTCCATTGTGATTGCATCACCGTCTGGCTGCAACGGAGCCGCCACTGCCCCATGCGCTGCCCGGAGCTGGCCGGGGCCACATTATGTGGCAGCATGTCATGGCTTCAAGTTGAGGGATGTTGAGCATTTCCAGAAGCTCCCGTTCAGGGCTCTTTCCGGCTGTTCCCCAAGCCCAGGATGGTTGTGAATATGTGTGAACCCGTATGAGCCACCACTTCTTTTCATGTTGCCGGAGGTTTCTTGTGGCGGAAAGAAACATTTCATGTTCATGCCTGAATCCTCGGAAAGCGATGGCCCCCTCCCCCCCCCGCCTCCCCCCAAAAGCAATACCCTCAATCTTGAATCGCGAATTCCAAGCGCAACAGTGTCATGATTATTTTGGGGTTGAGTCTTATTCCAGGGCGATACTCAAAGCGATAACCCTGCGATGCCCATCTGGCCTCTTGAAGTGCTGGGCAAAGGACCTGGCCTAGGTTGAGGGTTCCAAGCTTAGGATGTGGATTTCTGATTCGAGCAGCCAGAGCTCCAGCTCTTAGAAGGAAACGCTCGCACTCTTTAGTCTGTAGGTCCTAAAGTCCTAAAGAAGGAAACAGGTTTCGAAGCGCCACAGTCCCATAAAGCGATAGGCCCCCCCCCCCCCCGTCCTCAAGAAACAAAGAGCGATACCCCATGAGTTGGTGAGTCGAATTTACATAGGGTTCTTCACGGCTGCTCATCTCATTGCGTTCTCCACGTGTGCAGCTTCGCACGAGGACCAGCTATGAGCCATGCACAACCGGGCGTGAATCGCAACAAGCACTCAGTTGACAACGGAGCCGCCGAGCCATGATCAGGTTAAATCATTGAGCAAACTAAATCCTGACATGTAAATGCAAAGCACAAGTTGCCAGCATCACGCCAGACGGCCGTACCTGAGTAAATCTGAACCTCAGCACATTGTAGTATGATGCGGGCGAATGCGGGTGGTGTCAACATAGCCGTAGATGGACCGTCGAACACTCGAGCAATACTTGAGCAATACTTCAGCTATACTCGAGCAACACTTGAGCAACACTTGAGCCATTTTAGAGGGTTTCAGCCGCTACCAGCAGTTGATGGCGGAAGACTCGGAAGACCCGAACGGCCACAACAGCCAGGTGGAGGTTGGCCCCTCGGGCTCTGACGGCGAGGACGTCAGCCGCCGGCAATCTGGACACTCCGAGCTGGTGACATCGGTGCCGTCAGCAGCATCGGTGCCAAAGAGAAAGGCAAAAGAGGCAAAATCGAGATCCGGCAGGGTCTTGAAGTTTGTGGTGGAGGAGTTGGTGCCGGAACCTGAAACACTCGTGAGCCTCTTGCCACCCCACGCAAGGCAGGCCCCTGCTGGGCTCTGAAAGGTTTCCACACTTCTTTGGGCTAGGACTAGGATGTTGTTCAGGAATTTCAGGAATAGGTGTGATGTGAGTGCTTGCCGATAGGGTCTCTCGGGTTTCAGACCAGGCACCGATGGACCCTGCGTCTGGCCGAAGCTGCCAGCAGCGCAGGCGCCAAGGGCAAGCCTTGGAGTCCGCAGACGCAACAAATGCAACATATGCAAGATCCACCTCTGGAGTGGTACTCAGCTGAGCTCATCAGGTTATGCACTCGCACCGCCGACCTGAGCTCGCAACTGACAGATTTGAGGGCACAAGCAAGCAAACGACCTTGGATGTGGAAGGAGAACCAGAATCTTACAAGGATGCTCATGGGCTGCGGGGACGTGCTGGCAGAAGCTGGCTCCGTGATCGAGGCCGTGTCTTCAGCGCTCTCACCCGGCACACCTGGATTGCGATCCATGCGCGAACAGTGTTTGCCAGCGAAGTTGTCCGTTCCCCAGGTGCCACCTTGCCTGCCGTGCACTCCGGAGGAGGCCATGGCCATGACACAGGCGGCCCTCGCCCGGCTGCGCGGGGCCGGAAGCGCTTTGGGCCTTGTGCTCAGGTTTGACTCGAGTGATCCCTTCCACGGGACGCCGAACGCGTTTGAGGAGAGTGCAGGTGGAACGAGTGAAGTCGTTGTTGGGACCATTGGGCCGGAGATGCGGAAAGACTTCTTCATCCTGGTGCCTGTCATCGAGATGGCATTGTCGAACCTGCGAAGGTTGACGAAGCTTATTTTCCAACAGCTGGAGTGCGACTTAGCACATGTGCCGGCCAACACGGGCAAGGGCGGGATTTTTGCAGATCCATCGATGAAGTCCCTTGTGGGCAGTCTATCCATGATCTCGGCATGGGAACACCAGGAGGCCCAGCAGGACACCGAACAGGATGAGGAGGCGGATCCCGTGACCTCGCCTTCCGAGCCCGTTGAGTCGTTTGAGGTCGAGGGCTCGGTGAGCATGAAGGCCAACAGGAAGTCTGTGAGGAAGAAAACTTCGACAGCACCCAAAGGCAAGAAAAAGTCATGATAGCGCCCAGGCTAAATATGCCGGCTGGCGGATGTTTCGCTTGAGTCTCCAAGAGACATCAAGACATGGGAGGCGCGAAAGGTGGTGTGACACCCTCCTTTCACATCGTCGTGCAGCAGCGCCCATGGAGCAACATGCTCCGGATGCGAAGTTGGTGCAGAGCAGAGAATGATGGACTCGGTGGGCAGAGGGTAGCCACACGCATGTGCGCGGACGAGTGTGGGCGTGCTGGAGTGGGGTCCGGATGTGCAGTGAGGGCGCTGAACCGCCCCCTAAAGTACTCTGAATTGCCCTGAGCCCAACACCTGAGGTCCTCCCGCCAAGGCGGTTGCCACATCCCGACGCACATTCCGCCCAGGAGCCGGGCTATTGGATTCGCACGATCATAGGCTAAGACTTCCAGGGTTCCTGCTATTTTTGAACTTCGCGTGGCCTGTATACTCACAAAGGCTGATCTTTTTGTTGCTGGTTGCCGCCGAGTGTAGCTCCCTTTCGAATGCAGCACACATTGTGCTCGAACCTCGACAGCTTGATCCAGTCTGCGCAGCGCAGCGAATCTTGCCAGCAATCTGCAGTCTCGAGTGACTCTGGGGTTCGCCAGCGTGGGATTTCATTGATTTCAGGCTTGCAGATGCTGAGCCTTGGAACTCGTCCCTAAACCGCCTCAAACCTTGGCTTAACCTTTTGAAGTCACCTTCAGGTCCGATATGGCTCGAGTGCACCGCAAGCCTGGCGCCAGGCCCCGACTCTGCTGCGAACTTTTCGAACTGAGCTTTTGGGGAACTTTGTTTTTGGTAAGGTCTGAGGTTTTCCACGATATGTACAATCTGAGCCCTTTCTTCCTCCGAACCGATGCGAAGCGGCACGGTAGTAAACGGAATGAATCAGAGCAGATGCTTGCTTTGTGAGGAGCGCGTCTCGGAAGTATTGACCCCCCAGCAGAATGAAAAAAAATACAAGAAAAATACAAGAATGAATTCAAGAGAAAATACAAGTAGCGATTCAGGAACAACGGTGAAATACAAAAAAAATGCAAGAAAAATACAAAAAAATGCAAGAAAAATACAAGAAAAAATACAAGAAAAATACAAGAAAAATGCAAGAACAATACGAGAAAAATGCAAGGGGGGGCGGGGGGGGGCGGAGGGGGCGGGGGGGGGCGGGGGGGGGGCTTGTATTTTTGTCGTATTTTTTCCGTGTTTTTCGCGTGTTTTTTTCCGTATTTTTTCAGTGTTTTTTTCGTATTTTTTTCGTATTTTTCCGTGTTTTTTTGTATTTTTTCGTATTTTTCGCGTATTTTTCGCATATTTCAAAATACAAGCAAAACACGAAAAAAAACACGGAAAAAAACACGCGAAACATACGGAAAAAACACGACTAAAATACAAGACCCCCCCCCCCCCTCCCCCCGCTCCTCCGCGCCTCCCCCCCCACCCGCCCCCCCCGCCCCCTCCCCCCCCCCCCCGCCCCCCCCCCCGCCCCCGCCCCCCCCCCCGCCCCCCCCCCGCGAAAAACGAGAAATACGAAAAAATACGGAAAAAATACGGAAAAAATACGAAAAAAAAATACGGCAAAAAAATACGGAAAAATACGGAAAAATACTACAAAAACACAAGCCCCCCCCCCGCCCCCCCCACCCCCCCTTTGCTTGCATTTTTTTCAGTGTTTTTGCCCCGTGTTTTTCTTGTATTTTGAAATATGCGAAAAACACGCGAAAAATACGAAAAAAATACGAAAAAAATACGGAAAAATACGAAAAAATACGAAAAAAAAAAAACCTGGAAAAAATACGAAAAAAAACACGCAAAAACACGGAAAAAACACGCGAAAAATACGAACAAAAACGACAAAAATACAAGCCCCCCCCCCCCCCCCCCCCCGCGCCTCCGCGCCTCTTGTATTTTTCTTGTATTTGCGCTTGTGTTTTTCTTGTACTTTTCTTGCATTTTTCTTGTGATTTTCTTGTATGTTCCTTGTATTTTTCTTGTATTTTTCTTGTATATTTCTTGTATTTTTTTTGTATTTGTTTTTGTGTTTTTCTTGTATTGTCTTGTAAGTTGCTTGTGTTTTTTTTTGTAATTTTCTTGTATTTTTCTTGCATTTTGTTCGGCTGGCGTTTCTGCGCTCGTATTTTTCTTGCATTACCCGTTTGTATTTTTTTTGTATTTCTTCTTGTATTTATTTAGTTTTACTAAAACCCAATACTTCTGGCACCACGCCCGTCACAATGCTTGCTGTTGGCCATCAAGCCTCGGGACACATAGAGCAGAAAAACAGCAATACACAAGCACAGTGCTTTAAATGGCAACTCGAGTCCCGCGTCGACGTTTCCGACCTGCTGGATTGGTGCCCTTGTCTCTTCTCTCGAAGAGCGGCAGAAGGAGAAAGCCACTCCTTTTCTCTTTTCTTTCGCTTTCTTTTCCGATTACTCCAGTGGACACGTAGAATTGCGTAAATGTTCTCTGTATGTAAAGCATACCGAGTGTAGATGTCATCAGCAGACCTAATTCTACACTGACGAAACAATGGCGGCTTAGATACACAAAGCCAGGCGGCAAGCTGGACCAGAAAGGTTATTCTGAGTTTTTGATGCAAAGAAATGTTTACTATGGTACGTCTCAACGGACTGTTCATGGGGAGGCTCTTCGCCTGTGCCATCGCCGCGCTGTTCGTCGGATCTGCCATCTCCTTTGTCGCTCCGCGGCCCAGGCAAAGAGTGGAAAAACTGTGCAGAGCAAAGTGCCGCAAAGGATAGCGTTCCGCGTCTGAAAGCTTGTCTCCCCGTTCAGGGTGGACACTCGGGCTCCAAGCGTATCCCGAGAGTTCTTCAAGACCTCCCAAGAGCCAGCTGCGTCACTTGGTTGCAGCACACGAACAGGAAAAAAGACATGTACTTCCTACTTTCAATCTCCTTGGTCCTGGAGCTTGCGTCAGTTGTCTGGTGGGTCACAAAGGTCATATTTTGGTTGGTGCACGCACCGCCTTGCCTGCAGATGTGTCAGTTTGCCTGCGCAGATCCACTCGTGCCTCCCCCCCCCCCCCCCCCCTCGGTCGTGCCAGAATCCTTCTCGCCCTTCAAGTTCAGACCCGCTGGCTTCTCACGCGTCTTCTCCATTCCTCTTGTTCTCTGCGCACAGTGTTTGCATGCTTCACTAAAGTTGCAGGTATGAACTGTTTGAGGGGTTACCGAGTTCAAATAAAGGTTCCAAGGCTGAAGGCTGCAGGTGTGAACTGTTTGTCAGGGTTTAGGGTTACATCACCGGGAGTCATATTGGGTTGAGGGTTAAGGTTTCAGGGCCATAGCTATGGGTCTTGTGGGGTTCTCGGGTTCAGTTCAGGAACATGATGACCTTGAACTCTAACGCCGCAATCCCAAACCCTATAATCTAGGTGTGTGGCAGAAGCCCCCTCCCCTTCACCTGCAAGCACACGCAAGCACTCGCATGAACACGCGGGCCCCCCGCGCCCGCCCGTGCACGCGCACGTGGAGATCTTTGTCGCGCAATGTCGCCCTGTTGCGTCAGTAGCCGAGCGGCGGAGTATGAGGAGGAAACGTTGGGGGACAAGATCAAGGCACGTAGTCAGCTGGTAGCTCTTGTTTCTACTCTTCTGAATCCGGTTGCCGTCGAGGGGGCTTCGCTTCAAGAGCGACGCAGCTTCAGGTCTAAATACGACGTGCCCCTGAAAAGGCGGCGTGGAAGAACGACAGCCTGCAGAAGTTCATCGCTTTCGCCCAAACCCAAGCCTTTCGCACCAGTGCCCAATTTCCTAAGTGCCAGAGTCTTCGGAGCCAGGTGCTTCAGGGTTCTAATTGGGTAATTAAAGGCTTTTGGGGCCTTCAAAGGGGCCGAAAAGGTCGCCACGGCTTCCACCGCGATGGATGTGCTCGGGCTCTTCACGGGCGAGGCCTCGGTGACTGCCGGCATTGGCGAGGCCTGAGACTTCCGAAGGCTTTACGGATTCTTATATGGATTCGTATGGTTTCTATGGTGTTTATGGTTTCTTATGGATTCTTAGGTGAGCTTCGCCCAGCAGGGTCCCTTGCCCATGGCCCAGCCCGAGATCAGACATGTGCCGTTCCATCTCAGCATTTTCAGAACCTTCTGGGCGCACTGACGATTCACACTAACCTTTCTTCAATACCACCGAGTTTGTCGATCAATTGTCTTTCGAAGTAGCAGCCAACCTACGACATGCAACCGCATGCAACCGCCAACACAGGAGCCCAACGCCCGTACAAAGGAGACATCAAGAACAACTATCACGCCCCCTTGCAGTCTGTGACAAAGTCAGGAAAAACGGATTCGTTGCAGGCCCTGGCTTCCTTGGACACGAGCGTGGCCCTCCAGGAGGGCCAGTCTGCAGCCGAGGCCCTCGCGGACGCGACTGGGCTCTGACTAAGGCTTTCTGGATTCTCGTGTTTGGATTGCAATGACTTGGACTTCGCTTTTTGTTTTTCTTACTTCCGGAAGTGTCTCGGTGTTGCCAGTAGTGTCTATGGGCCAATCGCTTTGTAGATTGTGCGGCTCAAGTACATGCTCTGGCAGATTCCAGCACGCGCATTGCTTTCTGTATATTCTGTATACTAACTTATGAGTGATGTGCTCCATCCGACACTTCAAGTAGGGCCCGTGTCTGCACAAAGCTGCATTGTGCCACAAGAAGCAATCTTTGCGCTTCTCAACACGGGAGCGAGGTCATGACCCCCTGTCCTTTGTGCTCTTGTGAAGACCCCCTGCGGGGGGTTGCCTGTGTTGACGTTTCTTTTTCGCGCGCTGTGCCCCCAGAGCCGGCACACGGGCTTGCGGCCGCTCGTAGTAATTTGTGAGGCTTCAACAACCGCTTTGCGGGAGGCAGCTGCGAAATAGATGATTTGTAAAGGCCAGTGGCCTCTATATTTGTTCCCGTTTAAGAACCCGCCCACAAAACAGGAACCCTACTTAAAGAGACCACCAACCAATATAAGAGAGAGATGATGCATAAATCTATGTTTCACTGTTACATGTTTTTGTCATACTGCACCTGCGCACGTTTGTAAACAAACATGTGGTTCCTTTGTGTTACTATAACTACTACGGGTCTAATTCCGTCTCGAAAGCGCCTAGGGCAGCCCGAAGAGCTCAAAGCGCACGTCTCAAACTTCTTCCTTCTATGTCGACCTTGCTGGACTCATGTCGACTTTGCTGGACACACCCCGAAAGGCCCAAAGCGTACGTCTCAAACATCAGCCTTCAGGTGTGAAACGAGAAGATGCCCGATGAATGCAGCGTAGAGTGCGCCATGCTCTTGTTAGGGTATGCATACACAGGGTTATGCATACACATAGCTGTGAAATTCTCAGTCTCTCAGTCTCCCTCTTTTTTTCTCGTCACCCGTGGCCCTATGGATCGGGGAAGCATTCTCAGCAAAGGCGGCGCAGTCGGCAGACCTCGGCGAGTCCACGGAGTCCATTACTGACTTGATGCAGAAATGATGCAGAAATGATATGCTAGTGAGAGGGCGCTAATGAGAAGCCGCTATAGTGAAACCAACGGGGCACTCCGCCGTTGCACGAGACAGCGCACGAGAGTACCGCAGGCACACTTTGCTTTGTTAGTTGTTGTCGTACTAGCTCAAAGAGGGAGACTCTGCCCCTTAAGTCAGTGCCACGCAGCGCCCTTGGCTTGTTTTACGTCAAAGGTCTTTAACTGCTGCCCACGAGAGAAGCGTGCGCAGCAGCAATCGTGTTCTGCTCTTGGTTGATGGAAGTTCCACGGAAGTTTTTCCAGCTGCATTTAACGCTTTTGACTCGCGAACTTCCGAAGGCGGAGGGCTAAGCCCAGCAAAGCCCAGCCGAGCCAAAGCGTGCCAAGTTGCTCTGAGGTGCCACAAGCCTTGTTGGCATCATGTTGTCTCAGATGTTGTCTCAGATGTAGTCAGTTCGTTAGACTGGTCACATCCGGTCAAATCCTCTCTTGGCTGCTCGTTGCTGCTCGTCGCTGTCCCTGGACAAAGTTCAGGTAGAGGAGACGCATAGAGTGGCGGGGGACAGGCCGCAGAGGGAAAGGCCTCTGAAGGATTTTCAGTCCGGGTCGATGTTCAAAGCGACCGCCGTGGTCGCAATGTGTCGGAATGCGTCCGGACTGGAAGCCAAACCCGTCGCATACAGGGCGCCGACAAGAAACAGTGGCGAAGGTCGTTGATGGGTTGCCATGGCCGTTCAGCAAAAGTACGGGCGAAGCATGCCTGCATTTTGCGGCAGGAGTCTTTCCAGCCCGCGGCCACACTCTTCGCACGGGCCTCAGGAGACCCAGTAAAAGGCAGGAGAGAGAGAGCATCCACTCCTTTTGGGCCATCTCACATTGAACGTGTTTCGAAGCGATGTTCAGGCGGCTTGGAGAGCTTCGTGTGTTTCTTTGAATCTGTCTTCCACTTCTACCGCCCAGGGCGCGGATTCGGCGAGGGTGGACTCGGAGGGCCCCGAGGAGCCCGAGAACCCCGAGGAGCCCGAGGAGGGCCCTGAGGGCCCTTTTGGCTCCGTGGCTGTGGTGCCGTCCCTGCCCGGGCAGGCAGCCTCCAAACCTCAAAAGAGATCCTCCAATGTGCCGAGCAGGGTTCGTGCATGTTCGTGTTCAGAGCGGGTTCAGTCATGGTCAACCTGTGTAAGCCCGAGGTTGTCGAATAGGAAGGCTTGCGGCTTGCGTGTTGTCAGAGTTTGGGGTCGATGTCTACCTAATTTGTGCAGTTTCGGCTTGTAAGCTGTGGAGCCAACGCTCTAAGCCGCCAAGCGACATGCAGAGCCCTTGCGCCGCAGGTCGGATCAGAAGGCTGAAGTGGGGTCACTGTCGGCGGATCGCGGTTCATCAGTTGTTTCACCCATGACGAGCCACAGCGCAGTCGTCGAACACTTTTAAGGTTTATCTTGAGGCTTGACGAGGATGTCGAACGACAGATTGCCATGCCATGTCTTTAAGCCACGATCGATGCGTCGAGCCACAGTCAGATGTCCTCCCATCCTTATGGCATAAGGCTTATATGGCTTATGCTATGATGCCGTGTCCACTCCCGCCGCGACTGGGAAATCGATGGTTGCGGCCAAAAAGAGAGCAGTTGAACGAGAGCAAGAGTGCAGCTCCCTGCTTGCACGGCCAGCGCACCATCCGCCCAAGGTGCCCAGAACTCTCGGAGCAGCGGAGCATGGAGTTGAGACCAACTCTGTGCCGTTGTGATGCAAATAGAGGTCTCTGATCGGCCAGTTTCGTCGCCCCGCGGGACTCTGAATGCTGAAGGTGACTCAAGGTGGCAAGGGGAGTGGCAGGGGATGGGCTCGGGGTGCGGAGTCAGTGTGAAGTCTGGCGCGAGGAGCGGCAAGGTTTTCCGGAGCGCTGCTACGAAGTACGGATTTGCCCTTATGAGCCGGGTGATCAGCTCGAAGGGGTGCTATGTGTATTGGTGTCGCACGTGTACGTAGAGTACCCCCGTAGAACTGCGTTGAAGCGTACTTGAAGTTCAAGAGCACATTTGAATCACGAAAGCGCCATGCCTTGAGCCGTTTGCTTTCACAAAAAAGGCGCCGATGCGCGTGATATCCCTCAAGCATCTTGACCAGACCAGCTCCCCGACAATCAAAGCAAAACAAAAGAGAGAAGCAAACAAACACACTTAAGAAGATTGCGAATCGCTCTCTCCGTGTCTCCGTGTGAGAGCCGTGTGGAGGGTCAAAAGGTGGAAACCATTGGAGCGGAAGGGGGGCCGGGAGGGGCATTCACAAAGCCATCTTGAACCTTTTCCGCCGGTTTTTGGCCCAAGTTGACCAAGGGCTCGCCTGGCCGTACGTGCGGCCCTTGTACCAATCAGTGGGCGTTGAGAGAATTGCTGGAGATCCTCCCCCCCACCCCGTCAGCTGCTATTCCCAGGTCTCCTTTGCTCCGCTTCTTGGCATTTGCTCAGCTGGCCACTGACCGACGGGACACGGGGAGCCCCAACTCATAGCCCCCCTTCATGGAATGTCATGGCTGTTCTTCCAGCTTCTGCTTCTCTGCTTCTCTGCTTGGTCTGTTTGGGAGGATGGCCCCAAGAGGGCGCGAAGGCAAGGAGAGTGCCTGGGCCGGCATCTCGGAGGACAGTGACGAGACTTCCGCAAAAGTCGCCCAGAGGAGGAGAGGTCTGTGAAATCCCTGTCTGTTGACAAGCAAAGGTGAAGAAGGCTCCAGCCGGAGCAGCCCCCGACTTGAGCCAAGAAGTCAACTCGAGGGATTTTGTGGGAACTCCATCTTCCGTCTCGTTCTAAGGATAAAGCGAAAGAGCCCGAAAACGGGGAGGACAGAGAAGGGGCTGCCAAGGGCAGGCGCTGCGACTTGGGAAAAGTCCTTCGATCTTGTGCTAATTGGCAGAGTGCCACATGGTTACCGTGGTAGTGTGATCACATGTCACAGGGAAGGGGGCAAAGGCAAGGGGCCTGGCACCCAGTGACGATTCAGCAATGCTCTCTCCCGGCAGTGGTACCCCCCACTCCCCCCCACTGCATGCCCGTTTTTGTTTCTTCCGCGGCTAGCATAAATGCCCTATATCTTCTCACCTTATACCCTCTCGCGGCATCAAAGTAGCGATCGTAACTGTGGCCCTAAGCCAGGTTTCAGTTCCTGGGGCTCAAGCGTGAACATCCTGACCCAGTATTGGTATGGAAACTCTGGGTGTGCCCTCTTGCGCGCAAGGCTTCTCTTACCATCACATGCGAGACCATGTGACAAGGTAGCTGCATGAAGGAATTCCGTAAGCCTGTCTTTTTTTGCTGGTGACTCTTTCTCCTCTCTTCTCCCAGGCGGAAGGGCGAGCGGCCCCGGCGCGAGGCCCGAGACCGGGAGGAGGCGCGGATGGGAGCGACTGGCGTGTGCTATCGTGCGCTGTACAGATATCTAAATGTGTTGGTGTTGGTGTTGGTGTTTGTGTGTGTGTGTGTGTGTGTGTGTGGGTGTGTGTTTGTGGTGTGTGTGTGTGTATATGTGTGCGGCTGTGTGCGAGTATCTGTGTGTATCTGTGTGTATATGTGTGTATGTGTGTGTATGTGTGTGTATGTGTGTGTATGTGTGTGTATGAGTGTATTCCTAGTGTCCTAGTGCATTCTCCTGCTGTGTCGAGGAGGGCGACGGAAAGAGCAAAGGGAGAGGCACCTTTTGCCTTGGCCAAGGGACCTTCGCGGACCTGTGAACCCCCAACTGGCGCAGGCAAAGGTAAGCATAAGAAGGGCTCTGCCGAGGCTGCACGGACCCAAGCCCGAGTTGATCGGGAGGTTCGGAGGTGGAGCCTCAAGCCATGCGAGAGTCTGAGGCCGAAGGTAGCCACTCTGGCGACGACGAGGCCAAGATGGCCAATGGCGGAATGCAAAAGCATGGTGATCTCTTCAGTACGCTACACAGCTGACCCTTGTTAGCCATTGTTAAGAGGCCGAAGAGGATGTGGGCGGTGCCATCATGAAGATGCTCAAGGCGCAGAGTCGGAGAGAGCACATCGGGGATCCATGTTCCGTTGCGCAGCTTTCACATAATCAGACATAATCATTTCTGTCTGACAATGTGAGGCAAACTCGCCCAAAGTCATCCGCTATGAGAAGGCCACGTCACGGAAGGGAGGGGACGATGAAGACTGTCAGCAGACGGCCCAAAGCAACCGAGGCCCAAGGAGAGCCGAGGTACTAAGTATGTGTCATTGACTTTCCCCACCCTCAAGGTAAGGGCCGGTAAGGGTTGCTAGGTTTCAAGTCAGCCACGTCCCACCGGGTATGCCTGGAATGTACTTCTGGAGAGAAGCCCGCAGAGAAGGATCCAGGTAAAAATGCTTCTCATGGTGGCAGGCCCAGCTGCTCTCCATCTCCCGCCTGCCGGCCTCCGACTCAGAAGACCAAGATGCACCCGCGGTCCTGTGGCGCTGCTACATGTTCAGTGTTGCTAGCTGAGCTACGGTAGACTATAGTTTTCTGAAGGGCTGCGAATACTGAATCTGCTAAGTTTAGGCCTCCACTGTGAAGCCGCCCGACCTGGATCCCATCGTGGACAAGGACAACAAGGCCGGACCGGACCCTCGCGAAGGTTTAACGCGGCCGAGCGGCTCGATTGAGTTTAGGCTTGTTGTGGCTGAGTCTTGGAGAACCTTGTAGCGGCAAAGCTCAATAAGGCCGTTTTTTGACTTGTTTGACCCCAATATGATTAGCTGTGCCCCGGTTGCCACCCCCCGCTCGGTCGTCACACCTTTTGGATTGGAGTTGCCAATAGCTACCAGGGTTTTGCAGACCCTGAGAAGAGCGCTCGGATCGATGGCTTGTGGCATCGGTAGTGCTGGAAGTTTGTTTTGTGTGGGTTCTCGAGGACTCGATCCTCCTCACGCGGATCGCCACTGGTCGGGAAAAGCACGAAGAGGATGCAGGCAATGCAGGCGCACAGGGATGGACAGATGGACAGATGGAGAGCGGTAGTGAAAGAGCTCTATAGTGATGCCGGATGTGGCTGGCGTGCGCAGGTGATGAGGAGGGCGGCAGACGGAGGTCCAAGGCTCCCCAGTTTTTAGCGACTTTGCCACACTCGAGCGATGCGGGATTGTCGGGTCTGACGCAGGCGGGCCGGGATGGTGATGCAGGGGCCCCAGCATGCCATCTCGCAGATTTCAAGACCGGGGGAAGGGGTGGGAAGTGGGTCCGAAATCATGTGTGTGAGCAGTTTGTCAGCTGCATGTATGGGCGCTAAGACTAAGACAACGCGGCCGCTTCAACGCTGTCTCAGTTTTTTCTGAGGTCGACCGAGAGGCACCAACGAGCGCCTCTCGTCCTCTGAAGGGCATATTCCCACATGGTGACACATGATTTGAAATCAAAAGTAGAAAGTCAAGCATTTCAACGCATGCATTGGTATCTGGCAAGCAAGGGTTGCCCTTGTTGCAAAAGGCCGAGCCGCAGGCCGGCGACCGAGGAAAAGCCGGAAGATCAGAAGATCAGAGGGAGAGGGCGCATCGAGAGCGCATCTGCTTCTTTCGTGAGAGGATCTCGGGCTCCACAGCCTCATAGGATTCGGAGCCCTTCATCCCAGCTGAACCCAATAAGGAAGGTGACGCGCCAGAGGACGACGAGGAGGGGAAGGCATCCGCGAAGATCCCCCCAAAGATCCTCCGAAGCTCCTCCGAAGATCCTCGGGAGGCCTCAAGCCACGCCAGTTCAAACACTTTTTGGAGCTCCCAAAACAGCCCCCAAAAAGACCAGTTTCAAACCTCTAATAGCAGTAAAGGTGTTGGAAGCTTCCTTGCTTCCTTCGCATTTCTCGCTGTAAAAAATTGACACTTTGACCCCCACCAAAGTTTCCAGATCGAGCCAAAAGGATGTTCTTGGTCAAAAATTTGCTAAAAGGTGTCTTCAGACCTTTTGACAGAAAACCCAAAACTTGGAGAGGGTGTCTTGTCTCAGCACCAAAGTGCAGATCGACCAACCCTCGAATCGATTCCCTTCGGTTCCTTTGGTCTCCAGGCCCGCTTCGAGAAGTGGCTGGGGCGCAGTATGCCGCTTCTTGGCTTTCCCAGCTTGCGATCATTCTCCTCTCCTCGCCAAGAATTGTGTTCGGGAGAGGGGGAGAGGAGCATGAATGATGCAGTACAGTCATACCAAGCACAGAAGAGTCGCGTTCCCAATGCATTCTCTGAGGAAGATGGAAGCGGCTAGCCTGTCCCCCAGAGAGTAGGACTCGGCAGGACTCCGTAGAGGACCGTCGTGTTACGTGCGAGACGTCTGGAATCGAGGCAAAGCAACGCCTTCGTCAGGCCAGGGGAAATTTCGGGTGCATCCCTGAATTCTGCTGAAACTCTAACAGCGGCTCCCCAAGGCAGCACGAACTGGAGCTCGTCATTGACCGCTGCTGCTCTAAGCGCAGGCCACCCGAGGGATGGAAAACCCTCTGGGGGAGTGGGCTTCAGTCTTCCAACTTCAGTCGTTTCAACTCAGTCGTTCTCAAGAGCTTCTCCAGAACTTTCTGAGGATTTCACATGTTAGGGCCTCTCAATGCCTGTTAGGGACCCTGAGCTTTAAACTTTAAACTTTAATCGTTCGGTGTACTTGAGCCTTGTTGAGTTCCTTGGTCCCGTCAGGGGACCTCAACAGAAGCTGGCATGCTCTCCCCCTGCAGGCAAGGCGAGCTCTCCTAGCGCTGCCCAGGCGGTTTCAGTCAACTTTGTTTATTGGTGTGGACTTGAAATACTTGAAATCACATCTTGTCTACATGATCCTGCATTCTGCACGAGTGGCGGACGCACGTGCGTTGCGAAAGGAATGCGCACAGTGCTGACAGCAGCGCTTGGGTAGTAAAGAGGTGCTTTGAGGAGTCATGGAAGGGCATGAAGTTAAACCCGTGAGGTGCCCAAGAGCATCGTTAGGCGCTTTTCAATTATTTAAGGCTTCTCGGATCTTTCCAGACCCCCTCACACCTCCCAAACCACTCCCACACTCCCGGACGCTGGGATCCTATACTGCAAACCCCCTGTGTTTGCGAGGCGGCCCTCCTACAGCAGCAGGCGCGAAAGCTGTCTGCCAGAAGAAGTCGTAAAGCCTCAAAGCGCCATTGTTATGAAGGCAGTGTGTGTTGTCTTCGGTGACCTGTAAAGAGTTGTAAAGCGTGAAGACAGCAGGTTAAGCAATCAGAAGAAAGAGCCAGCGAACAAGAAGAGAATAGGAGTGAGAGAGGGTTCGGTTAGGAAAGAAAAACGGAAAGAAAGAAAAAGAAAGAAAAACAAATGAAAAAGAGAGAGAACGAAAGAGAGAGCGCGAAATGGATTGGCCGTGCCTACTTCAATTGGAACTGTTGATGCGCGCGCGCATAAACGACAGATATGAAGCCGACAGTCCAAGACTCTGGACCACAGCTACTCAATCTGCCTCTTTTCGGGTATCCTGACAACGAAGTTCCCCTGAAGTTTCATCCGCTTACTGTTGGCAGCTGGGTTTAGTTTCACGTGCGACTCCCGTTGGGACCACGCCTGTTTTGGTTCCCTCTGAGGGCCCGGCGCTGTCAAGAAGAACACGCCGAAGCAGAGGCAGAAGCAGCGAGAGGCAGAGGGTGCGCGCTGCAAGGCAGGGAGGCAGGAAGAAAGGAGGCACCAAGGAACCACCAAAAGAGGGAAGCAGCATGAGGCGTAGGGAAAGTCCAGGACGCTTGAGGATGGCGAAGGGGCGCTCGGAGGTTCGGTGAAGATGCCGGTTTCGGCAAGAAAGAAAGACGAAACAGAAGAAGAAGAAGAAGAAGAAGAAGAAGAAGAAGAAGAGGAAGAAGAAGAAGAAGAAGAAGAAGAAGAAGAAGAAGAAGAAGAAGAAGAAGAAGAAGAAGAAGAAGAAGAAGAAGAAGAAGAAGAAGAAGAAGAAGAAGAAGAAGAAGAAGAAGAAGAAGAAGAAGAAGAAGAATAAGAAGAATAAGCAGAAGAAGAAGAGGAGGAGGAAGAAGTAGAAGTACATCAAAGGAAAGAACTTGCACTTGGGATGTTCGGGCCACAAGTCGAGGGCAAGGTAGTCACTAACCCACCCATAAGAGCTCAGAGTGCACGTTTTTGCCCGAACCAAACCCATGTGAGAAATCCGGCAAATCATCTGTACTTTGTGGTGTAGGATTGGTTGCGTGGTTTGTTTTCTGTTCCAGGGGAAGCCTCACGTTTTTGTGACGTCGTTTCACACCGACTAGGACCGCGAACCCAGGGCGCGCCCAGCGCGAGGGGAGGGGAGACCTTCGGGGACCCTCAAGCCCGGAAGAAGAAGAAGATAGGGGCTGATTTTACGAGAGACACTCACTCACGGCACTCAACTCTTCTCTCTTTTTTTCTTTTGCTTTCCTTTTTTTGGTTTGAACACAGCTTTGTGTGTCCTCTGCCTCTCCGTGTGAGGCCCTGGCCTCGGGCACCCGGCTGCTAGAAGGCCAACAGCAGGCGGCCATGCAGGCGCCTCGTAGGTTGCATTCTGCCTGAATGTGTTGTCACATTGTCACCCTCCCCCCCCCCCTCCTCTTCCTTCTTCCTTTCTTAGAGAGCTCTTTGTGTTAAAGAGCATTTTGAAGCTCTTCATCTTTCCGTGGTGAGGGGGTTCTAGCAATGCACCTAAAGCTGCAGGCTGCGGCCTACATGCAGGCCATGACACAGAGCTCCAGTTGCAAAAAAGCAAGGGAGACGGCGGAAGATGGGTTTCTGCTGTGCTCAGCGCCTTTCGCACGCAAGCTTCTGCACCCCCAAGGATGCAAGCGGCCGCCGCTGTTGCCAGACAGAGTCGAGCTCTCAACGAGCACGTTCCGCTTTTGCCCCGTTGCGCCTCTCCCAATCTCGAGGTTCTTATGGCAGCCAGCTGCCATGGAATTCGTACAATGCGTGCCCTCGCGCAAAGTTCTTTTGCTGTTTGGAACACTTTGCGAGTATGGAGCGGCAGGTACATGAATCCATACATGAATGCGTATGGTCGTGGCCTTAGCTCTTCCTCTGTGCGCTGCCGCAGGTGTGTTGCTCAGCTTCAGGAAGCGGGTATGGCTCCCTTGATCCTTACGCAGCCCTACACCAGCAGGTGCCACCGAGACTTCGTGCTAAAAATTGGCATCCGTTCCGTTGCATCCTGTTCTCACCTGTACGTTTGTTTGCTCAACGCCAACTCCAGACTTTCAAGCACGAGTCAGTGTGCAGGCAGCAGCTGCGAACCTCTCCGAGGCGCCGTTTTGTTTTTCTGCTCCCCGAATTCGCGACTTAACGCCGGAAGCCTGAACCCTAGCTAAAGCCCTGCTTGGCGGTGCGTTCAGGCGATGCAAGCGAAGCTCGCTGCAACACTGGCCTCGGTTGAGCGGTTTAGGATTTTTGGACTTTGTTGAACAGAACGTTCCGAGCACTTCAGCAGCATTTGCCATTGAGCGCAAAGAAGTTTGCACGCACGTGCGAGAACGAGAGGTAGAGTCGCGCCTGACCCGAACCAGCCTGTAACGTCCTTCCTGAAAATCCAGAAGTTGCCAGCATTTTCTGTTTGGCTTGCAGGGTTTCGCACTAAAGCGTGTGTCCAGCATTGTGCCTTGAGCCCTAAGCCAAATCCGACTTTGGGACAGCGAAGCAACCTGCCAGGGACAGCTGAACCAGTGCGCCCGCCTGTGCGTGACCTCATGATTGAGACGCTTTGGGTTTCTTAGGGTGTTTGAGGGGGATTTGAAGCTTTGGCTGAATGCTCAGTCTCTGTGATGCCAGTTTGCTTGCCTCTTGCAGTTGCTCAGAATTCGAGTTACAGGCAAGCGCAGTAAGAGCAAACATCTGCAACGACATGTGGATGAAGAGGATTCATGCCCACGAGTGGCGCTTGCAAAAGGACGTGATCGAACCCCCCAAGCCCACACGCCCGAGCCAACCAACATGCTACACAGAGACGGGATGTGTTTTCCGTGTAGCGAAACACGAGACCGTTTTTTCGAGTGATGCATGCTGTCGCCGCGCCGGCTTGGCCAAAGAAGCCAAGCCGAGATGGAAGTGGGGAGGCGAAGGAGATGGCGGTCGTGCCGATTGTGCCGCTGGAGCTCGAGAAAGCTTGGCCAAAGCTGCCAAGCCGAGAGCTGATGGGAAGACGGCGCCGCTGGAGCTCGTCCCGCTCGTTCGTGGGACTCCTCGGCCGCTTGCAAGAGATGGCAGAGAGCGTGAACGGAGGGAGCACCCTGGATGCCTTCGTAAGTTGGCACCCATGGGGGGGGGGGGAAGAAACAGAAGAGGAAGAGTAACAATAAGAACTTAAGGTGAATGAATGTGCCACCTCGCAAAAAACTTCAGACCCTACCTTGGGCATCAAGAAGTGCAGAGTAGCACTTTTGTCATTTGTCTTTGTGCGTTATTTTTGCAAGTCGAAGAAGCTCGAACCGAATCCGAGCTCGTGGGACGCAGTCGAGGAGCGCTCGGCGGCCTCTTTCTGGCCACAAGGAGCCAAGAAACTTTGCAGGAGTGCTCCGGGGATGGGTTTGGGATGATTAGGAGTTTAGGCCTTGAGATGGCATGAGGGGTTTTGAGGTTGTAGGGTATTGTTTAGGAGCTGCATGGGTGTGAGAGACATGTCAATGTGAAGCCTTGTGAAGCAGCCCTCGGATCCCTGAGGCACTTGCTCACACATCGCCCATGGGGACCCAGCCCCTTGGAGCCAGAAGGTAACTCGCAGAAGGTGCTTCTGGGAACCGAATTTCATGACGCCTGGTGCATCACCCAGGCGGAAATGGTTCTTCCTGCTGCTCTTCGGCCTGGTGGATGTAGGCTGGTTGTGAGCGTGTTTTTGCGTGCTTTTGCGTGTGTTTGCGTGCGCGCATGCGTTCGTGTGCGCGTGCGTGCGCTTTCGGTTTTCCTCGGCCAGGCCAAGCGTTCGTAATCGACTGGGCTGAAGGACGCACGTCCCACGGCGAAGTGGGCAGGCGGTATGTTCGCCGCTTGGCCCACAGCACCCTGCATCCAACTCTCAGCAAGGCCTCGCACTCTGCCTACATCTTCTCCTCAGCCGCCACGTTCTTCAGGACAGTCGGTGCTCGTGGTGGAACCCTTCTTCGCCATCGTCGTAGGCAGGTTTAGCGCAGGGCAATCAGCTCTGCGATTAGCTGGCTGAAGAGATGCTGAGCATTGGCTTCTGACTCCTCTTGTTTCACTGCGCAATGGGCAGGCTTGGCAGTGCAGGGGAACTCGGGAGGCTTGGAGGCCGTGCGGGAGTGCCTCTAGACAGCACGTCGTGGTTGAGGTTGGGGGTTTTTCCAGCGTGTTTTGGTGAGAAATGTTTGGGAGACACATATGTAGTTAAGGTCTAGACTACGAGAAGTTCCTCGAGTTCGTCCCTGTCTGCCTCTTCTTCGGTGTGGGGATGTCCATGAAGATGCGGGCCATCAGCTCGGAGATTCGGAATGGGTTCTTTCTTGCGACGACCGCCCGTTGAGCGGTGAGGCGGTGGGCTACTTCAATGCTGGCACTATCAAAATCTTCGGACAGAGCTTTGGTGGCACTAAAATCGTTCCGGCTTTGCGGCTCACCTAACCTTGCCCTGGCACTTCTGTCGGTTGAGGCTGCGGCTGCCGCTGGTAGCGCTGGTCTCTGCACACCTGCTTTCGCGACATTACTCTCAAGAGCAATGGCAGGCAACCCCGGGAACCCCTCTTGAAGGTTTTAAAAACCCGAATGTCGCACAGCACGCACCAGGCTTTGGTTTTGGGGATCGTATGTTTTTCTTGCAGAACTTCCACTCACGCCTCGGTTGTTGGTTGTTGCGGTGCAACTGTTGGGTCCTACGAATCCCACGCCCAGTGGCCGAGTTCAAAAAGTCTCTAAAGGGCTCAAAAGGGTTAAAAGGCTCAAAAGGGCCAAAGCCTGAGGCTTTACCTGAACAGGCCATCTCCATGGTGGCTCTCAGCTGCTTCCTCTTCATGTGGCTCAAGGCAGGCCCGGGGCTCAAAGCAGGGTTTAGGACGTTCAAACACAGACCGTAGACCAGAGAAGGGTCGACGCGGAACACCGCAGGCGTAGTCTCTGTATTTAGGGCGCTTTTTTTTCGAATTGAAGAATACGCACAAGACACACCCGCATCTGCCGTGTACGTTTCCCTCGTTTGGGACGTACAGGCCATACAGGCCACGCAAACCACACCAAGTCTCTCCCCCTCTCCGATAGCCTTCTTCATCACTGGGAAATCCCAATCCACAACTCGTAAACAAAAAATCACAAACATTAATGGTCAAAAAAGTGCAAACTCAAAGCAACTTTCTTCAGTAGAGTATAGGGTTGGAAAAACGGTCGCCTCAAAAACATGCGAATCCCTTGGAAACCCAGTTGTGTAATGCAAATCCTTCGCCCAAAGAAGGGGCAAAAACAAAAACAAAGGACCAAACAATAACTCCGCACTCTTGGGCCACTTGGGTTGCAGATGCAGAAAGCGACCGCGGGTCCAGATGCACGAAGCGCTGATCCCGCGTCGTAGGTGACCAGCTGACCTTGGGGGATGCAGAGGTTGTTTAGGTTTTGCTGGAGGGGCCCTAAGGCCTTGTGTGTGCGTGTGCGCCTTGATTGGCAGTGCGCACTTGTTGTCTGTGCTCGTGTGCTAGCTGTTTGTGAAGCCCGTGGGTTTGTTGCGAAGTCATCGGGTAGTTCGGTGAGCCGGTGGGGGTGGCCAGGAGCCCGTCTTGATTTCCTAGGTCCGGTAGGGCCCCGGTAGGGATCCGAGGAAGGCCTCAGAGCGTCCCAATCGAGGGTTTCCCAGAATTTTCGCGAGGCTGGTCGGAGGGAGGCAACAGTCTGAACTTCCACCTGAGTAAGCTTTAACGTTTATTATGAATTTATGAAGCCCGACAGATTTTGGAAGTCCGGGCGACAAGTTTAGTAGTTTGTGCAGCAGACAATGCAAGAGAGGCAGCACCAAATAGACCTTGAAGGTTCTACACGGCTCTATACGTATGCAAGGGTGTACATGTCGATGTGTGTTTGAGCGTATGTGTTGGTGTAAGGTTGAATTCCGATTCTGTTCCAAGTGACCTCTGACACCCCTGAAGGAGAGGCAAGACCGCAACGGTAAGGCCAACGACCAAGTAGATGTCCGAGGACCCTGTGAGCCCGCTTGGTTGCAGCATGAAATCATCTCGAATGAAGGGCCCTCCAAACTATTCGAGACTGTTAGGTAACTTTAAGTTCCTTAAGTTTCTGTTCAGGCCCACAAGCATCTCACTTCCTTTGGACCCGCTGTTGCCTTCTGTTGCCATTGGAGGACTTGTCTTGCTGGCAGGCCCCGGGCAAGAAAGCGAACCGGGTTGACTGAGGGCCACGTGACTCTTTTGACTTGCAGGCTGGATCTTACTGAACGTGCTTGGTGGCCAAGGGCCCAGTGCCAACAAGTGCCTGAGGTGTTATCAGTATACACTCTACATGGGATCACAGAGTGACAACTGCGGCCCACTTGGCACTGAGGCGTTTTTGCCGAACGTGCCTACAAGAGCCACTTAGACGAAGGGACTTTTGACAGATGCATAATGCATCTCGACCTATCTCAGCCATTCGCTAGGTGGAGACAAGCCTTTCTTCTCGAAGAAGGTGTCCGAGGCCACATCGCTGCTTTTGCTGCGATATCAACGTGCTCCCGTAGGTGGCCTACGTGGCTCTCCGAGCAGTCCTTGCTCTCTCTGTGCTCTCTCTCTGCTCTCTCTGCTCTCTCTCTCTCTCGTTTTCTCGTTCGTTCTGTGAGAAAAAGAAGGACTTCGGGTACCTGGTTCTCAACTGTGCGATGCTCTTCGTCATGCCGTGCTGCGCCGCTCGCCTGCACCGGAGCCAGGGCTGGGAAGGGCATTTGAAAAAAAGATAAAGAAAGGGGTTTCGAAGTTTCAGAAGGGTGGGGAAGAAGCGCTGGGATGTCAAGGGAAGAGCTAGTCTTCAAGCAACACATTCCTGGCAGCGAGAGATGATTTCAGGACGTGGACGAGAACATCTTCGACCGCCAGCGTCGCCCGGGGTGTCTTTTCGACTCCTGGGACCGCCGTACAGCTTCCAATGATGCAATAAGAGCTTCAAGGTAAGTCAAACAGGGTACCTCTAAAGAGTACTCTCAGTCCCAGCTACTCAGCTATACTGCTACTCCGTGACGTGGAGCTGCCATGTTGAGGTTGCCATGGTGGTTATGCTCATGCTGGATGCCACCGCAAGCAATTGGCTCCTGCAGGATCCGGCGCTCAGCGCAATCGGCTTCAAAGCGCATTCTTCTTGCATAGCGAAAAAGATGCGAAAAGGATCATCTGGCTACCTCCCCATGAGCGACCAGTGCAAGACTCCTTGCGTGTTCCCAGGAGTTCTCAGCGCTGACCAAGTCCATCATGAAAGCTTGCTGTGTCTCGGTATTGGAGCCCAATATCGGAAGGTCGAAGTGGAGTTCTGGCTGCGAGATTCCGCAGATATCTGAGGCGTGGCCATAATCTATTTCATGTCCCTGACCTACGCAGCTTGGCTGAATTTCGGGCCAGCCACGAGCCGTCGAGCCCCAACATCCCTTCAATCCATGAGGCGACGGACAGGGATTCTCGGCCCTGGAGCTGCTCCCTCCTCAACTTCTCAGCGCTGATGGTTGTGGGGCTCCTGGACTCAGACTCAGAAGAGCAATCGCCAAAATCGCAGCGTTAGTCTCACCTCCTTTTTTGTCTCAAACTGTCGTAAGGGTCGGGCTTGCTCTAAGCCACTAGGCGTGCTTGCCCTCCAAAGTTGCCTCACACGCCCTGGGTAGGTGCTCGCTGCACTACGCAAGAGTGGCGTCATCGCACTGAAAGCCAAGCTGGGCGTGGAATCTTCGTCCTGCTTGTGCTGGAAGTTTTGATGGGGACCTACTACTCGTAGCAGCAGGGTTTCGCAGGTTTCGCGCAGCAGTGGAGTTCCAGTTTGAGAGCCCCGCGTTGTGCCACTTGCAAAAAGACAGCACAAGAAGGGTCAAGAACTTCGCTCCTATTCGAATTGCTTCGTGACACGTACACCGCGAACGCGGGCCTAGTTGGGCCCCCGATGTTCCCGCGCAGGCTCGCTTCATCGCAAGCTGCACGAAACATGGCCACCGTCGTCAAGGCTCGTGCATCCTTTTCGAGCAGAGACCACGGGGCAGGGGGGGGGAGGGCTGCTGTTCATCGAATTTTGTCGCGCGCGCGTCTCAGCTAGGCGGCGGCCCAGGCGAAGCTTCAGGCCGCCAAGGTGCGGCAAGGATGTGGCATATGTGTGTGTGTGTGTGTGTGTGTGTGTTTGTTTGTCACATCCCTATCATGGCACTAAGAGGAGCTCAGAGGAGAACTGTGTGCCACTCCGTGACAGGCAGTTCCCAAGGCACCCGGCCCTGCGAAGGTCGGCAAGTTCGCACACTTGGGAAAACTGTCGTTCTCGGATGTTCAGATGCTTCAGCATTCGGTTGCCAGTGCCACTTTTTCAAATCTTGTCGCTCTTGTTTTCCGTTTCGTTTGGATCAGGCCGCCCCCAAGGTGGCGGCGCCAGCGAAGTCGACACCGGCTCCGAAACCGCAGGCATCATCGGGGCTGTCCGTTTCACATTCTGTTGTAGTTGTATTCTCTTTAGTGGGGGGGTGAGGTTGAGGGCCGGGGGGTTCTGTTCGGCGTTGTCTCTCATAATCGCCTTTATAGCCAGGCTTCGCCGAAGCAGCGCCCGGCAGCCCCAAGTGCGCCGGGGCAGGTGGTGCCGGCGAAGAAGCCAAGCGCGCCCGCGCCGGGCGCGCCGGGCGCGCCGGGCACGGCCAGCGCGGCTCCGGAGGCCCCAGCTCAGTGAAGCCATATTGCAGGTTGAGCCGAGCTTGAACACATTGCATTGCTTCTTGTTGGAGTTGGAGTTTGCAGTGCCTGCTTCCAACATCGGCTTCAATGACGCTCCAATAGTGTCGGATGTCTACCGGCATCTAAGAAGGGCCTTCTGTAACCTCTGTGTAATGAGGGCATGACTTCATACATGCTTCAGCGAACTCCCATGTCTGAAAGGTGCCGAAGTCGGAGGCCGTCCCCAAGAGCGCCCCGGGCGCCGCTGAAGGGGAGGCCGAGGCCGGGGGGCTGCAGTTTTGCACGCCGTTTTAGGAAGATCGTCCCCCCCCAAAAGAAACGGCCAACTTCCCTCATGTGCGAGTAAAATGCTTTTCATCACGTGCGGTTCTCTCACTTGCTGGCCTTCGCCACGTGCCTTGGCAACTGAATGCAATTTGGGCCCCTGTCAGGATGAGGCGGGCTGCTCTCAGAGCTGAGAGATTCCGGGCTCGGAGATTTGTCAATGTGACAGGGCTTCCGATACAGAAGCCTATCTTTCACAGGCCTGGCTATGACTTTCCACAACCCCTTCCCCACCTGCAAGCCCTGAAGCCCACAAGCCCGGCCAACCTGGCAGCCCACACCCGGAATGCCCCCCGCCCCCCCCCCCCCCCCCCCCCCCCCCCCCCCCCCCCCCCCCGAGTTGCGGTGACCTCCGGCAATTAATTCGACTATAGAGCCATGGCCAAGGCCTGTCCGTTCTCTACGGATTTGCCTTACACAGCATGTCACACTGTGAGTCACTCTATGTTTTCTATTGCGAAGCGATCGCCTATACGATCACCAAAAGCGGCTCAAAAGCGTTGAGCCGATTTCACCGACCAAGCCTTTTGGTCGCTGGGCCGTGCCACACAGCTGTGCCGAGTCATGCCGTGGCCACTCACGCGGCGCCATAGGCAATCAAATTTCGGGTAGTCCTTTCAGGTGCAGTCATATGAGTCATATGTTGTTCTCACATCACTCTTTAACTAGGCTGTTGAAAGCATGTTGAAATCTGTTTCGCTGCAAGGTAGATTGCCTATGGTTCCTTTGACCCGGCCTTTTTTCGTCTAAAGATGGCTTGTGTTGACAAGGCTTCCGCCAACCTGACCAGCAGACTAGCTATAACAGCTATGTAACTCTTTGGCCGGACACCATCTAATTGTTAAGCAACGCATCGCATCGTCGTACGAGAAGCCTCGAGCCTCTGCGAGAGAAATATGCGCTTCTGTGAGCACGCATGCCCATTGCTTCAATGGTCAATGTTCACCAAGAAAAGCGGACCATACCGAAAGTACATACCGTGCAAGTTGTACTTTGCAATGCAGCCCTGTAAGCCGCAAGCCTTGCAACGATCCAAACATCGCGATTGGTGTTTTCCTGCCAGACAATCGCGAACACTGCTAAGGGGTTCCACGTGCGAAGCAAGACCGAATACCGTGCCCTCGGTTACGCGCGGGGGTGGCAACCTCGCTTGATCACTGTCTTTGGAAACTACCATCGCTTTCGATGCGAGGCGTTCTAGGCTCGCGAAGAGTCAAACTGTCGTCGCTTGTGGACGTCGGGCTTCACTGGGAGAAAGGCACGGCCATTGTCGGCGACCCGTCTGCGAATGGGTGAGGAACCGGCGGCTGTCCATGCCACGCTGCTGCAGGAGCTTTGCATCTTTGGACGCCGGAGTGCGGCCCGTCGGCAAGAGTGCTGGCGGGCGTGCGGCGGGGGCCTCGCCCTTCGGCCGACTGTGCCCTCTGCCGCGCTGTCGGGGTAAACGCATCCTGCAGCTTCACGTGTAGCTCTACTGTCGCAGTTTTTCTTTGTGGGTTTTGCGCCGCCCTCATTGCACAGACCGCAAAGAATCCCACCAAGTATCCGGAGTGATCACCCCAAAAAGCCTGCGGAGAATCCAATTTCCCAGGAGGGCCCACCCCAAAGGCCGCAGAGAAGTTCGCCGAATATTCTTGTCCACCCCAAAAAGTGCCCACCTTCGCCGACACCCCGCGCAGAGAGAATCGCGAAGCCTCCCCCTGAGCACGGCCGCTCCAAGCACCCCCGCAGGTATTGCGAGAGTTCTTTTGGCCCCAGGTGCCTGTCTATCGAAGCCGGGGCGAATCGCACATGCGACCAGAGAACGCAACGCTGCGCACAGCACTGCGTTCAAGTGCATCCCATCGCCAATGCTGCCAATGTTGATGAGGATCCAGTGGAGTTGGACTTCGAAGCGTGTGAGCATGCGCTGTAAATGCTGGGAGCTGAAGCAGGCTGATGGTCGAACGAGTCGAACGAGCGGAACAACCCGTCAGAAAAATGCGATGGCCTGGCAAGCGATCTGCATGCGAAGCTGTCCAAAGAAAGGTGCCCAATACTGCCAATACTGACTCCCTTTTGCGCGAGTAACACCGAGGGTCCATTTTGGGGCATTATGTTGTGTTGACCTGGAAATGGAAGTCTCCAATTTTCCACATGTGTGAAGTGCATTGGACACAGTGATCTCCGGCAGCTTCCAAAGCAGTGTGACAATGACCACACCTACCTTCGGCCAAGAACGCCTTGCAGCCGCATGCTGCAGTCTGCTTTCTCAGGTGGACCCACAGGGGTGTGGACCACCTTTCGTTTGAGGCTGGTGACTTCAAACGTCGCTTCAGAGTCCACAAGCTGCACCAACCGCGCCTCTTGGGCCGCGGTGTTGCCATACCGGAGGTGCGCGAACCGGTTGAGGACGGCACGAGACGAACCACAGCGCTGCGGCACAAACCATCACCACAAGCCACAAGCAACGTGACGGCTGTGCCTCCGTGCCCGATCTCTTCCACGAGCTCGGCCGAGGATGAGGCCACAGCCTGCATGGAATCCTCCACCACGTGCAGGGTGCCTCAGTGCACCTGCAGCACGACCGGCGCCGACAAAGCAGCCGCCAGGCCCCACCACCCGTTGCCATTGCCCACGAGGGCGTGCGTAAGGCGATTGAATAACGATGTGCATTGTACACCTCAGCCTGGAAGATCTCAGGGCATGAAGCAAGTTGAATAAATGATCGGAAAACGAAACTTGAAACAACCAAGACCTTGTTCGCAGCATTCCTCCTTTTTGTAATGCAGCAACCAGTCTGTGGTGTGAAAGTTAGTGCTTTCGAAATCGCTTGCACACTGCAGTCCATGCAGATGCGCGCAGCTTGTGCAGTGGAGCTTCACTTTTGCAGAGCCTGCAGATTGTTCCGCCGTTCCCCCTGCCTTCCAGCAAATGACTAGGATGCACAACAGAAGTAGCATGAGCATACCTCAAACCGTCACAGGCACTAGCCCCAAGAGGCTTGAGAGCTTCGCAGGTCTGATGGTGAGCCCACAAAACTCACAAATTAGGCCTTTCTTGTGCACCTTCCAACTCTGAGGGGACGCCGAAGGCAGCGTTCTCAACTTTTCAAACCACTGCAACTTGGTGGCCGGTTTGCAGCCTAAGGTCTTGCGCGGAGCATACTCTGCCCGCGTGGTCCACCATTCAACGGCATCAAGCAATCTCTCTTGGACTTTCCAAGTTCGGGCATCAAGCCAGGCTTCTACAACATCATTGCTGTAAAGCTGCGCTGCTCGGCCACTTGCAAGTGAGTCGGCCCTGACATTGCCTTCCCACATCCACCAGAGTTCAAGGTCATACTGGGCCCGGAAAGCAGATTGACAACGACTCCTCTGAGCATGCTTCACAAGCGACCACAATTGCCAGTGACATTGCGGAAGATAAGTAGGCCGCCTGCACTTTTTGAACGTTCGCTGAACGTAGGCAGCATCAGTGCACAACTGCAGGTCGCCAGAAGTCGCTTGCAAGGCTCTGAGAAGAGCAGTAAGCTCAGCTTTGGGCACAGACTGTTTTGCCCCAACAAGGTTTCCAACAACAGAGCCCAACACTTCAAAGGCGCCGCAGTCAGTAGCAGCAACGGCAACGACTGACCAAGCACATCTCCTAATGCGAGGGTCCCTTGTGCTTTGGCCCGGCCCACCAGAACCGTCCAAGCAAATGCAAGCACCAGCAGGGAGATTCACTGGCCAAGGATGGGCGAACAAGCCATCTGTAACAACATCTTCACTGTCAAAGTCAAGCTTCGCCAAGCATTGTGAAGGCACCAGCCCACGCAGCCAACAGAGTAGTCAGCGCAAGCTTAGGACATTCCCACAGCCTGTGGCGCAAAGTGTCTGCTGCATTACCACAAGCAGGACAAGCACCGTCCTGTTTCTGCAATTCCTCCAGCTCCTCCGGCTCTTCCGGTGACAGCCGGTGCCCAGGATTAAACAAACTCTGACGGCTGCGTGTTGCAGGGAGCCGCGGCGCCAGCCAAGGCGCCAGCGCCGGCACGGTCGCGCTCCTGCGGTAGCCCCGTCTAGCATGCCAGCCGACCGCACACATGCTGCTTGGTGCGCGCCACAGTCTCGCCTGGCACAGTTCGCCAATGTTCGCCACCTGCGGCGCGAGGTGAGATGATCCCCTGTCGCGCGAACTTCGATCACACACACGCCCAATCGACGTGCGCATCCGATGGCAGCAGGCAGCGGCGCAATCTCCGTAGACATGGCTCGTCGCGCGTTTGGCGGGCGGATGCGCCGGATCGCTGTTGTCGGCAGCCATCCCCGGTTCTCTCTGTCGCTCCACGGTCGCCGCCACCTCTCCCGGAGGTTGAGTTCGACTCTTGTTGCGTCTGCGTGGACGCACTCCAACCGAGCACGTCCGGAGATCGCACGCAGCGGCCATTCCCGACGTGGTTGTCACAAAGTGCACGGCCCAAATAAGCCTCGCGCCCGGCCGACTTACTGTCCCCTTTGTGACGCCACAGTCGCTGCCCGCGTGCGAGCCGGGAGAGTGCGGGAGGCACCGGCCGGCACTGCCCCAGCGGCACCACCAATGACTTCGGAGGACAGCCGCCAGCTTCACAATGCAGCCGAGCTACTTGCTCGTGCGCAAGTGTCCGACGACGACGTCTTGCCGCCGTGTGCGTCGGCAGAGTCGTCGCATTGCGTACGCCGAATGGCCGTGTCCGGGCCCCAGTTGTTGGTTCGCCCCCCAGCTCCAAGAGGCGTGCCTGCCCTTCCAATTCGGCCTTAGCATGTCTGCTGGGACTGAAGCCGTCTTCTGCCTCCGCCGCACAGCCACTTGGCTGAGGACAGTCCGCGGGCAAAAAAAAGCTTCTCGATGCTTCTCGGTTAACACTGTTGGGGCATTCGACCACGTCTGTCGAACCATGTTGCGGGGGTTGCTTGAGCGCCCGCTGCGGCCTTTATTGCCTTACGCGCGCCAATTCTACGCCGAGAACAGTTCCATTAGCATGACGATGCCGGGCACGGCCATTCGCGCAGCATGCACCCTGCGCCCGCCGATCTCTGTTTTCGCCTTCCTTGACGACATGTACGTCACTGAACCTGACTGAGCGTGTTCGGCCGTTGCTGGATGCTTTTGTCCGCCGCCCTGTGGAACACGCGTAGGTCCTGGCGTAGGTCCGATTGTTTCTGACACTGATGCCGCATCTCGAGCGCTGCTGCTGTCGCAGGCCGGGCCACACGCTGCGCGTGCCTTTACAATTTTCCCTACCTTGAGTTGACTTTGCCATCACCGCTCTTCCGCGTTTTGTTGCTACGATGGCTCCGCGTGCCGCTGCCAGTCGCACCGCGCACGTGCGCCTGCCGAGGTCGCCTCGACCCCCTCGGCGACCACAGGGCTGCCCGTGCAACTCCCGGTGTGCTCGCATCTCGAGCCCTCCCTCCGCGAGCGGGCAGTGGCGAGGGTGTGCCATGAAGCCGGGGCGAGGGTCGCCCGCAACGTTCACCTGGCTGACATAAACATCGATGCGCCGGTCTCGGATGACCGCCGCGTGGAAGTCGTCGCTTGTGGCATGGTGCGCAGCAAGCCGTTGATGCTACCATCATCAGCCCCGTGACGTAATCGGCGAAAAACCCACCGGTTCTGACGTGCATTTTTTTGTCCTGAAAAAGAAACTTTTTCTTGAACTTCTGCGCCTGCTGCTCCGCTCGGTCGGCTAAGCTGTTCCTAAACTACCCGGGCAGTAGCTATGCCCGCAGTGGCAGCCGGCTTGGGTCGGGCGGCCCAGGCTCCAGGAGACGGTCAAGCGGTGGGGCAGGCTCGTCGGCTGCGGTGGAAGTGGATGGCCACGTACGACCCAGGGCCGTGGTGCCTACGGCCTGTTGAACGGCGACCGAGATGTTGCTCCACCAACGTCTTGCCCAGCCGGATGCGGCCGCTCGGCGCACTGTTGGCGGCGCGCGGCATGCGCGGATGCGGACCATGTCGCGCATGAATCGCAGGGCCCCGCCATTCATTCCAGCGACCCCCGACTCCCCGACCTCCGAGCCCCGACGAACCGCTGGGGCCCGCCGCCCGTCAGCTCCGGGTAGGCCGCCTGTTTGCGTCGTTCAGCAACGCGGAGCGCTGCCCCATCCGTGTCGGCGGCGCATGGTTGCGGCTGCCCCGTGCGCGTCAAGGGCGACACGAGGGTAGCGTCGCACCGCCTGCGGTCATCTGCCGCGACTCCTGGTGCCGAGGTGTGTCCCAACCATTGTTGGGGCACCACTTGTCCCTCGGGCCCGACTGCTTCCCGGGCGATCCAGACCCACGCCCTTTCGACCACTCTAGCCCGGCGCGCCAGCAGCCCAGAGCGCGGGCATGCCAGCGCGTGGTCGCCGAGCGCGTCCATGTGACCCCCGCATCCCGGCGAGGGGCCGCACTGGCCAGTGAGGGCTACCTGCACAGTCTGCAGTGGCAATGTCGTCATTGCGTCACCGGGAATCGCCGACAGCCAAGCGCCGGCATGGGGACCAGATTGGGACCGTAACACTGCTCGACGAGCAGGCGGCAATGACATTAGCAGCACACGGTCGCGAAAGTACAAGTTCCGCTGTGGGGCACGCCTCCCGACCTCCCGCGAGGAGCAACGTGCGGGCATCCGGAGCCACGCCATGTCGGCCCCTCCCCGCTGGAGTGTTTCGACGCAGTGCGCCGCAAAAACCGGGAGCCTTTGCCTAGATTGGATGCGATGCCACAATGCGCCTCCACTGCCCCGGACGCCGTGTCGAGTGCCGGACGTGCTCTTGATGCCACCGTGATGACGCAGAGGTCATCAAGGAATGCCAGCAGCTTGTCGGCTGGATTGCGGTCGCCGGCTGCCCGTGCGAAAGCACCGTGTTGCCTCAAGGCAAACAACGCGGGGGCTAACGGGTCGCCTTGCTCACAGCCTTCGGCCTGGTGGACATCACGCCTGCGGCCGGCCGCGTCCCACCAGCCATGGGTGGAGGGGCGACCCGCCACTCAGGATGGCCGCTCGCGAGATGCTATCATAGGCACGGCGGCCATCGAGCGAAACGACGACTACGTCCTCGCGCGAGTCCAGCGCCGCTCGGACGGTCGCAACGATGGCGTCAGTGCCCGCCCGCGACTGGAGTGCGTACTGGTACGGACTGGGATTGCAGTTGCGCAAGTGGACATGAAGTGGCTATGTCGTCCTGCACTCGGGTACTGGAATGACTTGCGTGTGCTCCACGCAGGTGAGAGTACCAATAGTGAATACGATAGAAGTTCCGCAAACGGACATGCAGCATTGGCGCAGCAAAAAGGCTAGGTGGCGAGCTGATGGCTGGCAGCTTGCGCGGCCGGGCTCAGGGCCTGTCAGACCACGTCTTGGACTTCATCTATACATTGACCTTCGCAGTTGGAGTCGGTTTTCACGTCCCTCCAACGAGCTTTGACAGCGCTGTGCTGAACAGCTGCACTGGTGTTGGATGCTGCGCATCGCCCTCGCTGCTGGGGTGGGGGTGGATGTGTCCCAAAACGTCGCGGCCAGACTGTTGCAAGTCACCATCTCACATGGAAAGGAAGATCGCTGCAACTTGCTAATTCGGGCAGTGGTAGATCGGGTCTCCCCCCAACCCCCCCCCCTGCCCGGCCGGGTGCCCGGTTCTTTTTCTTTTTGCTTCCTCTACTCTAGGCTCTAGGCCAGCTCTAGGCGCATAGGGCTTAGGATGTTCAGGCGATAAAGCCTCACCCTCAACCCTACATCCGAAACCCTAAACTATAAACTCTGCGAAAACGAGAAAACACATGGCCTGTGCCGGCTCCATACACGATGCTGATACTGGACCTCTTCGATGCCTTCGCGGAAGGCCCGCCGCTGCAGTGGAGGGCTTAGGGTTCTGTTTTTTTCAAGCTTGGGGTTTTTTTGGGTATACCCCTAAACTCTAAACCCTAAATCCTACACCCTAAACCCTAACTCCGAGAAGCCCTAAGCCTTGAGCTCTCTGTAAAGAAACTTTCACCTGAAGATCTGAAGGTGCAGGTGGTGCGTGCGTCGGGTGCGACTGCTGGGGCGCTGGGCTGCGGGTGGCGCGGCGCATACGGTCTGGTTGGCAGGGCGTGGTGGGGGGCATGGGGAGCGGACGTTTCGGGCGCACAGTGCTGCTGGAGTTTGCTAGGGCGCGCGGGGTGCGGGTGGTGGGGAGCATAGGGTCTGGCTGGTGAGTATATGTGGTTGGTGCTGGGGGTGCGGACGCACGCGCTGATGGTGGGGCGCGTAGGCCTTGAGAAATGTTCTCCACTGCTTTGCGAGAGCACGTGCGATGAGGCGGCGGAATGCGTCGCCGCGGACCCCGCCGTCAGCCATCAATCGGGCCTGCCAACGGCGGCGGCCACTTGGGCGGGCACGCAGGCCCGGGCCAAATGCGTGGGCCAGGAGCTCCTGCGCGGGGATATCTTGCAACAGCAGCTTCAGGTGCTCAGCCCGCATGCCGGGCCTGGTGCGCCGCCGCGGCGCGCATCTCGCAGCGCGGACGCCACGGCTTGTGGCGTCAGGGTCACGGGCTCGGCTGGCTCGTGGGACGGCAGGCCCGCGCGCTGGGTCCGTGTTTGTTCTGTTCCCGGGGCGAAAGCTGGAGCTGTGAGGACTTGCCTGGCACGCGGGACTTCGCCCATGCGTGATTTTCGCACGCCCGCTCGCGGCGCCGGGCGTTGGTCTCTTCCCCGTTGGGCTCCGGGGCCGCGTCCTCTGCTCGGGGCAGCTGGCGCGCCTCGCGCAACAAGCGGAGCCACTCGCCCTGCTGGAATGCCGCCGCGCGACTGAGGAGCTCTTCGCGGCCGCCCGGGCCGTGCTTGATGGACGGCCGAGCCAGGAGCACGCGTGGCGCCAAAATTTGTCCTCTCACTGTTTATGCCACGAGCGCAGGTTCCGGTGCAGGGCTGTTGGTTATATGGGTCCGCGAGCGGAAATGGCGAGCAGCGCGGACCAGCGGGCAACGAAGGCGTTGGCGGCCTACGAAGCGTGCTTCGTTGCCGATGGGCTCGCTTACCACCTAGCTTCCCAGGCGCATGTCCACTTCTATGCAGGCGACCGTGCGTGGGGCGGCGGGCCATTAGCCCAGTCTACCCGCCGCGCCAGACGGCCAGCACATTTGGGTCGGAGACCACTGACAGGACCGTCAGCGAGGGATCGGTCTGCGTTGTGACCTGGGGAATGCGGGCCACAGCCTCGGCGCCGCCTCGAACTCTGGGGCAACTTGCTTCGCGAGGGTTCGAGCAACGAGTCGTCGAAGGAAGTCCCCAACGACGATGCCCCTCACACCACCTGACGGTTTTCGGACCGCAACGAGCCGGCCCAACGTGCATCCGACGTTAAGGCAGGCGGCCACGCGAGCGGCGGCGCGTGCGGCGTGGGTCGCCCGCTGGTCGGGGCTGCTCGCCGTCGCTGCCCAGCGCGCCATCGCCGCGTGTTTGTTGGAATTCCCGTTCGCGGAGGGCTGCAACGTCGCCGGGGAGGCGCCCGAGCTGCACGAAGTGCTCGCAGACGTGCGTTAGCAGCTCCCGGTGTTGGGCAGCGCCAGGTGCCTCGCTAGTGCCCCCCGGCAGGAGCGCCTCCGTAGGACCTGGGAAGCACTGACGGCCGGACACTGGATTGCCGGTAGAACGGTGCGCAAAAGGAAACTTGGCCACCGCACTTTCCCATTCACATGTTTCGCACTCCCAAGTCCGCTTCGATGCGTGGTTTTGTGCCTGCTTGCGGGTGGCTTCACGCGCGGCGTTTGTATCCCACTCGGGATCCGTGCCCTTGACTACTTTGGTCACACAAGCGAACATTTCCCCAGGTGCTGCAGCCGTCGTGAGAACCGTCCCGCCACGAACAGCACCCTGAGTCCAGATCGCTCACTTTCAACCGTGGAGGAGATGGTCGCAGTGCCAAAAACATTGTTCGGCTGCAATTCGGTGCTCGTCCGACGGTGATGACTGTAAGTTGGCTTGGATCGCTCCGAATTTACATCGGATTGATGTGATCCAATATGTGATGGAGACAAGGGGTTTTGTGCGACGCTAGAAGCACGTTCCGAATTTGCATCCGATGGATGCGACCGCAATGAAAAATCGTTCAGATGAGGATGTGACATCGTCCGTGCGCCATCTGACAACAAAAATGATGGAGTCAATCGGGGCGAGGCGGTGCAAGGCCATTATCCATGCTGTCATCGAACTGGGGCGTAGTTGTGCCGAGGAAGCGCCTGTGCGTCTGTGAACAAGTCCGCCCGCCAGCCAGGTCCGCGAAGCGGAGCATCCGTATGTCGCTGGGGCCATGCCCAGCGCTTGAGGAGGTGCTGCGCGACGCAGCGCCGCTCGTGCCCAGCCACCTGGGTCCGTAGGCTCCGCCCAAGTCGGCGGACGCAAAGAGGTGCGTGAAAAAAACAAAAAACTTTCTCGCCCCCGTGTTTATGTTTGCATGGCCCTTGATGGGACAGAATTCGCTAGCCTGTAAATTCGCTGTCTGTCCAGCTTCTTACGTCGTACTACGGCCTGATCAGCATGCATGGGGCTGTGTGTGCCGGGGGCCTCGCCCTGCGGCTTCTCTGCCGTGTCGGTTGGGGTAGACGCATCCTACATCACTGGGTGTCGGATGCAGCTTCACATGTAGTTTTGGCATGGCAGTTTTGTGTTGTTTTTCTCTCCGATCGCTGGAAGCTCATGCGCATCACGCCCGCAAGGGCAACCTGGAGGGCTGCTCAGCCTCGGCGAGCTCCAGGACCCACCCGAGCGGTGTGTGCTCGTCGCCGGTAGGCTGCGCCGCCCGGCGCTCTCCAGCAACCGCCCAACAGCGTCGAGGCCAAGGTGCGCTGCAACGCGCATCCGAGCTGCCCCCACCATCGGCGCTCCCACCCCGCGCGGGCAGCCGCAGGGAGCGCTGTTGCGCGAGGCTGAGGACGAGGTCGTGCGCCTGTTGCTCCCATCGTCCGCCGACCTCCGCTGCCAGGACGACGAGGAGTTGCGGGCCCGGGCCGGCCAGTTCAGAATAGCGCCATTGTTTTCGCCGCGTCGCGCCGTTGATGGCAGCCCCATCCCGATCTGACGAGGCCGGTTGCGGGCGCCCGTCTGCCCTCAACGGCGCAGCAGAGGGCCTCGCCGCGCCGAGAGGCGCCATATACGACGAGGTCGAGTCGGCGCCGGTCATCTGGGGCTACGCCCGCTGGGGGACCACCCGCCCTTCGGCGGCGACGGCTTCCCGCGCGACGCGAACCCATGCTCGCTCGAGTATTCGCGCACGCCTGGCCAGCAGCCCACTCCGGGCGCAGGCGGCGCGATTGTCGCCCAGCTGGTCCACCACGGCTCGGCAGCCTGGCTCGCCATGTCCATGCAACGGGCCGACGCCAAGGGTAGCGGCAAGCGAAGGCGTTTTTGTTTTGCGCCACCTTCAGAAGTAAGGGAGTCGGCGATCCGTTTTCGCTATCTTTCGGCGAAGATCCCGGAACGGGCATGGGTGCGCGTAGCCGGGAAGCCGGCCATTATGGCCAAGCCGGGTAGCGGTGACATTATGCTTGCGCCTTTGGATCTCCCAAAAAATAAACTCCACAGATCTTCCACCAGACAGTGCAAGGTACCTCCTCAGCAGGGGCACGCGTTGTCTGGCATGGCACGTGTTGCAGCGGCGCATTGTGTGCAAGGTTGCATATACCGCTGCATCAACCATGCAGCCAGAGGTGTCCACTTCCAAGCCTAGCCCCCAAGAGGTGAACCCATGTTGCCTTCGGTCCAAGGTATCATCAGAGCTTGCGACCGTGGCTCTTCGGCCAGAAGCGAGTCCGATTGCGACCATCAGTCACGCAATGCATCCCCCCAAGGTCCGAATCCCTTGCTGCGGCTCGATCCTCGTTGCTGAGGCCCGCCGCTCTGGCCTGCTGTTCGAACCCTGCAAGTGTCAGCTCATCCTCAACCCTGACGCGGCTCAACATGTTGATAATGGCATGCTGTTGTTCCCTTCCGGCCTGCCCGTCGTTGCCACTCGTTGTGTTTTTGCTTTGTCCCATTTTGGTGCCATAGGGCCCGATGCTTCTGCCAGCACTACAACTCCCAAACCGTCGACAAAACGACCACCTGCTTGGACGCGGTTGCGCCGGTGCCTGACCGATGCCCTGTGCCCGCACACGACGCAGCCATGCATGCAACAGCGCCTGTTTGCCTGTCCCAGCCCGGCCTGCGAGCAGGGCCGCGAGGGTCTTCCACACTTTCACAGCCTCAGCGCCCCACCCGCCCCCGCAAGCTTCGGCAACTACACGGAGGAACGGCAGGCCCTGAGGACGGCACTTGGCGGTGGAGTGCAGGCGTGGTCGCCAAACCTGTCCGCGGTGCCGTGCGGAGAGGGCAAAAGCCGTGAGAGGAAGCAACAGGCAGACGCAGACGAAGTCGGAGAAGAACCCGGAAGAGCTGGGGTTTGATATGCACGCCGAGCGCCTCGCACGGCCGGGCATGGAGCCAAGACGCCGCTTACCGCTTACCCCAGCACAGGAACATTACCAACTCTTTCAGCTTCTCAGCGTCACCTTGCAGCGCGGGAACGCGCGCGGCTGTTCCTGGGACGCCGGGACAGCCAATGGTGTCGGGGCTTCCCACCCGCCACATTTAGGGTTTTGATCCGCTGGCGCCGCCCTCAGAAGTCGGTGCATGTTGTTCAGGATGTTTTGTTTGCCCTAGGCCTCCCTCAGAAGTAGGAACAGGCTCTCTCGTGAAGTTCGCCTGTGGTTGTACGTTTTTTGAGTTCCGTATCGAAACGCAGGCTTCTTATGCTTCCTTCGATCCCAGAAGAACATCCGAGCTTGTGCGGCAACTGCTATCAGCCCTGCCTTCTGCTGGCCACGTGCCAGTTTGGGGGCCCCAGTTCTCGCGTGCACAGCAGAGATGTCCACGGTGCGGAGTGTGTTGATGGTTCAGGATTGAGCGAAATCCCCTCTCGCAAGTGCAGGCACAGCATGGCGCAGCCATCGCGCAACATGGCTAGTTTCTTTGGTTGGGCGCTTCTTTGGCTCATTGGAGGCAGCATGGGTCCTTTGTAGAGTCCTGCAAAAGAGCTGCTATAGTATGCTGTTCTTGTCGGCTAATTACACCATCGGGTCTCCAAGCCGTTTGTGTTTTCCTGGCTATTGGGGGTGCGCCTGCTTTGCTGTGTCGCCGCACCATGGCGGCTCGCAATCCCGGACCTTTCCTTCAGCAGTCACCCGGCAAGCACTCGTAAAGTTTGAGGAGATTCGGCGAGCAAGGGCAGCAGTGGAGTCCCCGTCAGAAACAAGACCCACGTAGTTACACGTTGCAATGTTGCACATTGCAGCACGCCTGATGAAACTAAGGACTCCAGTGGGCTTCCCTTCGTTCACTTACCACATCAGACGGTGGCTACACTTAGTTGCTACTTAGCTGTGTTGTCCGATGAGCATTGCAGCAGTGCGCAGCATCATCGCCAGGGATTGGATGGCGAGAAAGGCATTCGAAAAGAGCGAGGTGAATACTCGCGTGTACAAGGCTTGGCCTGGACTGCATTGCTTTTTTGGTCCAAGACGTGGTGATACTGCCATGCTGGGGTTCAGGGTTCTGGCTGTTGAATGCCAGGCAGTCTATGAGAACATGGGGGTGAGAGGTAGCATTCCGATCAACAAGCAGCCGCCTCGTGTTGCGGTTGGCTGCATCCGCTGCTGTGGCTCGTCCAGCTTCCACATCCATTCCGAGGTATGTTGGCCGGAATCGGATCCATCTTCGCGGCATTACAGAAGGGTATGCCCGCGGCAACAAAAGGCAACGTTTGTCCTAAGCGTGCGTGCACAGCTCGGATTGCTGACAGCATGTCAAAAGGTGGACCCACTTGAACAAACATGGTTTCGGCCTCGCCTACCGAGAAGGATGGTTCATGAAGTGCCTCGTCAGATGGGTGTCGAGGGGTTGGAATCATGTGCCGCCAATCACTGGCCTCAGGTACGGCTTTGACCCAGAGCGGTATCACTGACCAAGACGGACTGATTCTGGAACTTACTCGACTGAGCGATTCAAAACGTACTTAGAGGATCGACGTCTGTGCCCGCAGAGCTTGCGTTTGCTGCTCACGACAATTCTGCATGGGTGCTGCCTCGTGATCAAGCCTGCTCCAGTCAGGTGCCCACAACCGTTGAGTCACTGCATGTCACTGCGCAACATTGAGGATTCCTGTTTGTTCGGGGTCACATTTGGGCAGCCAGCTGCCTCCTCCCGAGCAATGGCCATGGCCTTTGTGCAGCGATTGCGGCCGCTGCGCCAGTTGCACAGTCGGAGACCAAGCTGCGACCGATGCTGTGTGGTGACATTTGGTGGGGCACATATTGAAGTACGGGCCAAAGCGGGAAGGTCGGGTGACTTACGCGGAAAGGTGTCACACAGATGTCTTGGCGGCTCCGTTCTGTGGCCTCTCTTGGTTCCACGGAGAGGCCAGGGCACACTCGTGTCATGGTTCATGTTGGATGCTGCAGCCAAAACTTTCCATGTCAGATTCTGTTTACCGTTTATGGCATCTCCAATTTGGATCGTGCTTCCAACATCCTTGGCCAGAAGGGGTCTTGAGAGCCCGGTGGTGAGTTTAAAGTTCCAAAGAGAAGAGGGAGTTCGTGGACCGTCCGGTCAGGCTGTCCCAGAGCATTGCCGTCCTCAGGCGGCGGAGACACAGCAAAGTCACTGTCAAGCTCTTGAAGAGAACTCGGCCAAGCATCCGGACCTGAGGCACCCCCCAAGCCACATGGAGTTGCCGGCAAACCTGCGCGAGTTGACCTTCAATGTCCCGCTCCAAAGTTTCCGTACGGTTTCCACCCGGTGGATGTGTCCACTCTTCCTTTGCTCGATGTTCCGACGTGTAAGTAGATGCGGGTCAGTGAGGCATCAGAATCACGCCTGCTGTGTGACTGTATTCTACCAGGCACGTTGCAGACGGTAGCTGCTGGTAACTGCTGGCGCAGGGGGAAGAGTCAGTTTTTTGCAGTTGGAAGGTCCCCAGCTTGGATTCACGGCCGAGGAACCTGTGCAGAAACCAGTCATGCAGGCCGGGCCAAGGTCCATGCCTGGAGCTTCATGTGCTTCAATGTGCTTCATCTCAGTGGCCAGGCCTTGAACACAAGAAAGGATTTCCGCCGGTGGAAGCGCCGGCGGAAGCAAGACGGTGGCAGGGTGGTGGGCCCAGCTTCATCGGAGTTTGGCATGGGCTGGGCATGGCTGGGCTCTAAGGCACCGATTCACTTGTAGGCGCTCCGCAAGGAAGACTTCCTCCTAACGGTTTAACGGCACACTGGAACTAAAGCGGCACCAGCTCTTTAGAGTAGGACAAGCACTTGTGGATTTTGCAGCGGTTTAGCTTCTCGCACACATCCTCGAAATCATGTTCTGCCAGAACCGCCACTTCCGCTTGAAGTACGGCTGAGGGGCTCGTCTGAGGGCCTCTGTGAGCACTGTGCAGACATCAGGTTTACCTTGCAGCAACGTACAGCCAAGCTTGGGGGGGCTCATAAGTCGCTCATGCAGGTAACGTAGGGAAGAGCAACGTTCCAATAATGCCTTTTCTCTTTTCTTCCATTGTCCAATAATTCGCATCATGCAAGCCGCTGCAAGCTGCACACGCATCCCCTGAATCCTGAAGCGAAAGGTCATGACAAGGTGCCAGCAGAGATCCCGCATTGGCTCGCGGCAAAAAACTGCGTGATCCGCTGCTTGGTCACGCATTCCTCTCATCTGCGACTCGCCTCCGTTGTTTGCCGGTTCATGTGAAGCTCCAGGGGTCGGGGTCGAGTCGGCCACCACTGACCTCTTTAAGACGGTCAGACCAGGATTTGTAGCATCCGGTCGCCGGAAAGAGCCCTGTCAATGCAAGGTAAATGATCAAGACACACCTTAAGCTCCGCCCAATGGCGCATGCAGAGTGGGACCTATGGAGCCGCCTGGAGAAGGTGGTTCAGGATATCAAAGACAGTTTGGTCACTTGGTAGGCTCTTGATTGAAACCATTGCAGCTTCGGCTAAGATTGATCGAGTTGTGCAAAGATGCCCAAGTCTAGGACGGCAACTACATGGCTGCAAACGAGGTCCCTTGCGCAATGACAATGCGGTAATGCGCAATGCACAGTGTTCGAAGCGTATTTGACATGTGTTGACCCTTTGTGGCCGCAGCCGTCCCCTCACGGGGTCACAGAGTGGGAGTGGGCCAAATTTTCCACCGGCTTTTATCGAGAAGCAAGAACTTGACAAAGGCACGAAGAGCAAAAGGAAGCATTGTGCGAACCTGCCAACGTGGTAGATGTAGATGGTGGTAGCGACACGGTTAGGAATTCTGGTTAGGCCGAGCCCGCACCTGCTCCATGGCAAAACATGTTAAAGGTGCCCAGCACTCACCAGATGTTTTCTTGGAGGGCGACAGTGGCCAGTCTAAAGATGGCAAGACCAGCCACGCAGTAAAGGATCGGGTCCAGCAGCTCAACTCACTTTCGGTTGCTCCCGGCCGCGAGAAGTCCAAGGAAAAGTCCAAGGATGGCAAGGGTGACACGGGTACTGCACCTCCTACACACACGAAGAGCAAGCAGAAGGTTGATGCTGACGCCCACAGCCTGGGGGCTTGGCTTCAAGATGAGCGTGTCCTCGACTTCATCAACTACCACCAGGAAGCAAAGAAGAAAGGACCGACAGAAGGGGAAACAAAGCGCAAGGGCACTGGCAAGACCACAAAAGAGAAGGAACGAACGCAGGATGCTACCAGTGCGAAGATGGCTCCAACAGCTGCCGAGAGTGAGCAGACAGAGCAGAACAAAGGTGGGCCTATTTCCAGTACCAGGAAGAAGACCCTGATCTCTTTGTGAGAGAGGAGCCGATAGGACAGCTGATGTTCGTGCCAGCACGGTTTGGTGACCGGCCCAATTTTTGAACTCGGCTGGCCATGAGACTTCGATTTCCGTAGTTCTCGCTCCCGTACAGAGTAGGGGCGCCACCTTTTATATCCTTGCCTGTAAGGTTACGACGAATATTCTTTCCTTGCTTTCGAAGTGACCAAAGACTGAATCGTCCAGCCAGTGACGGTGATGCTTTGAGAAAGTACGGTGATGTGCATGTTGCGCGTCGGAGGCACCGGCCTTTCACCTCCCCGCATACACATGCACACCACACACAAATGTAAATAGATAAATAAATATAAATATAAATATAAATATAAATATGAATATAAATATAAATATATAAATAAATAAATAAATATATATATATATATATATATGTGTGTGTGTCCCCCTCTCCCTCGCCCTCGCTCTCGCTCTCGCCCTCGATAGGCATGGAAATTCAAGATTTAGCTCTGCACAGGCAGCTAGACAGGACTTGAATCAGTGAAACTTTTTTTGCCGAGTCAATGTCCGGAGGATTTCAATGCCTTGAAAGCCGCCGTCCTCAAGGCGGAGACGTCCGAACTCTCTGGACAGCTTGGCCGAGCAGCTTTGGCTTGGGAGCCGCTCATCCAGAGCCTTCTTGGGGCTTACATATAGAGCACCCGCTTTTAGGTTGGCAAGACCCTCTCATTTCTGACTCAGTTCTGCAAATGGGGCTTGGGATTCATCATCTGTTCCCATGTTGAGGGAGGTCCAGGATGATAAATTCCTTGCTCTCCTTGCTGCCTTCCTTTCCCGAGGTTCCTCCTTGGCTTTGCAGCGAAGAAGCCCTTCTACAGGCCTCCACCAACACTCCAACACCACACCTCCCGTCCCTGAAAGCTTCCTAAGGTCGCACCTCTGCCAGGTCATCGAGGCATTGCTGGCACAGCCAGGCTGGCGTGATGTCTACGCCCGCAGCCAGGACCATGCCCCTGCAAAAGCAAAAGGGCGCAACGAAGCAACAGCTGCGACAGTTCTTCCTCGTCTTAGCACGTTGAGTAAAAACAGCGTCTTGCACACAGGAACTGCAAGAAATGGCCGAAACCGTCCATGAGGATGTGAAGAAGGCACAGTTGCAAGCTGTCGCCAAGCTGCTCATCGCCTAGTTTTGCGTTCTTACAGCGCGTAAGATCATCTCTTCGAGGCTCTGGCTGCTGTGCCGGCTGCACCCGCACCTGCACCCAAGCAGGAAGAAAGGCCAAAATCAGGCGCCTGCCGATGTGAGGTGCAACGGCCATGAGACGACAAAATGCCAGGTCCGAGCAAAGACGTGGAGTGGCCCAGTTGGGAGGTCCTCGAGGTTCCAGAATGCTTTATAGACTCTTGCGTCTATATGACTCCATAGAGACGAAAGAGACTATTATCTCGCAACTCTTTGGAGAACATGTGGAGGAAGTGGTCAAGAAAGAGACCTTCATGGCAGCAAATGAGGAGTTTCGGGTTCTGAGGCTGGCATACTCCACCAAACTCCACGACACGAAGAGCATATGAAGGATGTCTGCAAGCCCCTTATAAGCCCCTTGCAGAGGCTCGCGGTGATAGCTGCAGATGAGGTTCAACTTGCAAGTGGCATCCTTGGTCTTGCAGCCCTGCGCTGATTTTACACACACTTCCTTGCTTCGTAAGCTTTGCAGCAGAGGTCAGGTTGCTCACGCGGCAATGGCGCTCGGCGCTTGAGTTCCGCTCTCAAAGGGGCTTTCGCTTTCCGGCTCTTGCCGAGGTGGGAGTTCATTGCCGGCTTCGCTGCCAAGAAGCCACACTTCAGGTTGCCGCGCGTGTCGCCGAGTAGCAGTGTGCGTCGACGACCCCTCTTAACTGATGCAACCAATCAATGGCATGCACTCGTGCAATCATATGCCTGCACGCAGGTCCCAAGTGGTTGAAGTGGTCAGCGCGCTGCGGAAGGAATCTGGCTGGGAGGCGGCCCTCGAGGCAGAGTGCACCGTAATGATGGTGCTCGTGATGACGCTGTATGACATATGACAGGTCGGACAGGTACGGGAGGGAAAAAGCGATGTTACTTAGGATGTCGGTGCGCAAACATCGAGGTAAGCGAGGTAAGCGACCTGAAGCGACACCCCTTCGTGCCCTCGGACCTCTCGAGGCAGCCCAGCCTTCACTGCGCAGCCGTCTTGCAGAGTTGCCTGAAGCCGTGCGTGGACCGCTCAGCCCGTGCCCCATCCGATGCATCCGATGAGTTTGGGGTTCGAGGGGTTCCAGGGCTGGGCGCTTGTGAGCTTGAGAGCAAAACAACGCGGTCGAAATTATACTGCGCCTGGATCCTATACAGCTACAGGCTCTGACGTTCTGACCTGCACAAACCGAAACAAACATCAAAACAGGTCTGAGGAAATCAGGTCCCGTTTTAGTGGCCAGCTGTCGTCGTGGAAGTTCTGCGGCAGCAAGTAGTTAACTTCGGTGCATTGAGGCCGTGCGGACAAGTCCCCGTCTGCACTTTCTGGTGGGGACTCCAGCATGGACGAGATTGGCCAGGAGCGGGCAGTCAGCGACTCGCGCTTGTAATGTACTCTCGTAGTTGTTTTTCGGACCATGCTTAAGGCGTCAGTCCATGGGCAGGAGCAGGAGCATCAGATGCCGTACACCAGCTGCATCCTGAGTTTGCTCTGGGGTTCTGTCCACAGGGGGGGCGGGGGGGGGGGGGATTGAAATCTAACCACAAATATGGGCTGAAGAGGAAGAGGGGGGTGGGAACCATGGGGGTTGGGGCACAACCCTTCATTTTAAGGTTTTGAACTCTAGTACTTTCAAGGCCAGGTTAAATCTCGAATCCAGGCTGTTTTGAAAGACTTCAAATGACCAGTGAAGATGAAAGATGTCCGGTTTGTTGGCGTGTTTACGCATTCTGCTTCCGATTCGGTTGCAAATCTGATCTTGGCCCCTTTTCAAGACTGAAGCCCACGGATGGGAGTATCCTCCATTCGGCAAAGCAGCGGGATCGCGGAAGCTTTCTATGTCCGCGGGGGTTCGGGTTCGCCGCAGCATGAGTCGACTGCAAGGTCCTGACTTCCAATCCTTGGAGGAGAGGCCCCTGGCATTTCACGGGTGCTGTGCTTCAAAGGTCTTAGCCCGACGTTGGCGAATTCCCCTCCTGTTCCTCAGGAACCGATAGGGACCAAAACATCCCACGAAGCACCAAGAGTGAGAGTTGCCTATGGCTGTGCAAGTGAGAGAGAGAAAGCCTGAGTGGGACAACCTTCCTTGAAGGAGAGAAAGAGATCATGTCACTCAGCCACAGGGGCCTGCTGGGACGCTGGACCAGAATAGGAAGAAGAAGAAGAAGACAAGACCTAGACCCTCCGAGACCTGTACAAGTGATCATGCCCTAAGCTGTGGCTCATTGTGGCTCGCTGCAGCCTTTTCCCAAGAGTGCGGGGCGCTCGGGCCGACCTGCCTGGGCAGCCTGTCGGGAAGTGAATCAGGGATATTGTGGAATTGGGCTCAAGGATGGGGGTGACGTGGTGGATGTTGCAGGCTTTTGCCGTGTAAACTTGGAGCTGTGATGTGGCAGCTGTTTGCCCTGAGACAAGCTCTGTGCCCCAAGTCACGCCCGAAGTGGGAGCCGCTTTCCCGTTCTTTCCCCATCTTTTCAAGCAGAGTGAGACTCTGAGAGCTTGCAAGTGCCTCCAGAGCGCAGAGATGCTCAGAGCAAATGTTAGGTGTGCCACCGGTCCACGACGCGAAGCCGAGGGGCTTTCCTGGACATGCAAGTGAAGGAAATCTTCTACGTTGCTTGGATGCGACATTCATCCACGCCTCTGCACGATGCAAGGGCATGCGTTGTCGAAGATGCTGTTTATTCGTTTGTCCGACATGTCTGTCCGTCCGTTAATTCGTCATCTGTGTACATTCAGCTTAGCTTGTGCAACCCCATTGTGTCAATGAGTCATGCCCTCACGTTCTCCTTGTTGCTTCCTGATGCCGATGCATTGTTTCAATCTTTTGCGCATTGGCAACAAGAAGGTCCAATGGGTATGGGACAAAAGCTGAACGCGTTGCCTCCACATGTCTTGCTCAACCCAGCAGCTCATTTCGGAGAACTGCCCCACTGCTCTGGCCATCGACCTTGCCTGAACAAGAGCCTCTAGCATGCACTTATCATCCAGCTGGGCAGTGCTTGGCAGCCTCGCAGTACTGGCAGCTGCTTTTGCAGCACGTTCGCGTCCAAGGCCGCCATGATGTACCGCTTGGCAGCACTTTGCCTGGCTTTGGGTGCTGGCGAGGAGAGCGCTTGACTTATTCTGGCTTCGCGAAGACATTGCACCTTCCATTGCATGTCAGGAGACCGTCGCAAACAAACCGGCCCCTGGACTCAGCTGGGTTGGCGCCCGGTGCGTGCATGAAGTAGCTACACCTCCCTACTTTCCCAGGTGGCTTTCATGACTTTCACGCCGCCCGAAGGGGGCACTGGAGTAAACGTCGGGTGCGTGGGAAGCTCGCCGACGGACGTCGGGCCTGGCTACTACGAGGACCGCTCATTCGCCGCATGAATCATCAGAGACTTAGAGCGGTTATTTCCTGTTGCTGAAGGAAAGCTTCGGTAGCTTTGCTGCGTTTCAGAAAATTCAAGCTCTTTACCTGGCAAGTGTTTGAGGCAAGTGCGGGTGAAGTGGGCTGGTGCGCACGTGTTTTGCGGTGCTTTTCTTGACAGCTAGGCGCCTCTTCGCTGGACGTGTGCAAGACCAAGTGCATCTACAACGTGAACTGCAAAGGCCTTGCGCAATTGATGTGCTCTTGCGATGAGCGAAACGTTCGGATTGAAATTGCGATGGGATACATGGAGCTGTGGTCACTGCGAGCCTAACATGAGCCTAACATGAGCCTAACTGCCTAGCATGAGCCTAACATGAGCTGGGGCTCTTCAAGTTTTGATGCCTTTGGCTGTGCCAGGCATCGAGTACAACCAGGGAGAGGAAGGTCGCTGCAGGGTCTGGACTCGGCCCGAGGGCGTCGAGGGAACGGTCCCGCTGACGAACTACGCGCCTGTGCAGAATCAGACTTGTGCATGCATGCGTAGTGTGGCATGGACGCAGGAAAACGGTACATCTCATAACTGTCTTCATTGTTGCAGGCTCGTATCTTTCTCGCGTTCCAGTGGCAGTTGCATGAATGGGGCCTACTATGGGGCCTCGTCACTTTTGGAGCCTCGTATCTTCTTCGTGCCCCACTTCGTGCCCCAAATGTGCCGACAGTTCCAACTCGCGAGTCGAAACACCAAACGCTTGATCAGGGGGCCTTCTTCTTATCAAGGCAGCCAGGAGCTGCTGCATTTTTATGGTGCTCTTTTGGGGCTGGACTTGGGGCACAATCCGGCAGGTAAGGAAGGACAGCTACAGCTACTGTGTACAGCTGGGACATATAGGGCATCCGTGAACGCAGGGCATCTTCGGTTGCACTTGATGCTTCCATATCACCAAATGGAGGCCGCTGGCTTTTTCGCCCCACCACACACAGACACGAAAACTAGACACGCTGCATGACTTACACGGCAGACATCACATCTCATCCACACCACCGGCATGCATACAGTACACGCGCCATGCATTACGCGACCCTTCCAATTGAAAAAGAACCATACTACTGCACTGGTTAACAAATCTGTTCCTCTGGGCCCTTTCAATCACTTGAAGCAGAAATGTATGGGAGCTCCAAAGGTGACGACAGCTACGAGGATGGGGCACCTGAAGCCGCTGAAGAGAGTCATCTTCTTGGGTGCCAGCTTGCGCACAGAACGCACCATGTCGGATAAAAACCCTGGAAGCCTGGAACCCCAACTTTTGGGTGGCAAAAATGGGAACCCTTCCGCAAGCCTCAGGGAAACAAAACCCCTCAAAGACGCGCAGAAAGCAAGAAAATCATAGCTGTTTTAAATCAAACGCCTTTGAGGTCTGCCTGCAGTACGAGCACAACCTGCCAGAAGGACCTTCCTGGTGAATCTTGTGAGAGGCGAAAACGGAGAATTTTTCAGCTTTGCAGGCGAATATTGCTGGAGCTTCGTCCGGGTCGGGGGCGACGGACGACCGGAGCATATGGATAAGTACAAGTGCCTCGAGGCAGGAGGAATAATTCGGAAGGTTCGGAATGTTTCAGCAGATGCTGGGATACTTGTGTTTTGATGGCTGCTGGTTGGCTTCTTCTGTGCAGACGGCCAAGCTGGACAACGGCCGGCGACTCCTCGTGTGAGCGAAAAGCGTTGAGTAAAGGCCATCATTTTGAAGTTTGCAGGACAGAGCTTCCTAAGTGCAGCATTCTCTCTCGAATTCGTGTCCACTCTGCTGACCCCAAGCAGCTGGCATGGCACTTCAGCTTTTGAGCCAGATCTTGGCACCAACTGAACTTGACTGTACACGTTCCGGTTCTTGTCCAAGTGGGCGCTGTGACTTTCAAGACTTTCAAGATGTGTGGAGAGTCACACAGCTGACGGTAACACACCGACTTGACACCACAAGAGGGTTCCTTGACGAGCCCCTGCCTGCTTTCCGGGAGCGCCAAAATGTTTGTGCTCTTCATGCACTCGGCATCGGTCAGCCACGTTTGTCCCTTTTGCCCTTTTGCATCTCAGGTTGCAAATATTATTGATTACGCCTCTCGGCTTGGATTTGGCAGCGTTTTGGAGATTCTGTCCACAGACGTCTCTGCAAAGCAAGAGCTGCTGCAGGGCCGAATCTTGACGCTGTACTGGGCAGTTCGAGCCCCCGATGGACCGACATTCGCGCAGCACGGCTGCCATCTAAGCCAAGCACTATAAGCCAAGCACTAAGCCGAGCCGAGCACTAAGCCAAGCATGCGTCTTCTCAGTGCTCTCGAAGAAAGTGTTCGTGCGGCATATGAGGCTGTACTATTCCATCAGCTACCTCCTGGATTGTATAGATGGCTACGCAGCACGTGCCCTCAACCAGGAGTCTCGCTTAGGCCCCTCTGCAGCAGCCGACACGCAACTTGCATTTGCAGCAGAAGCCGTGAACAGAAGCTACCTCAGCTACCTGAGGTTACTACTTAGACATGGCACCTTGGCAGAGATGGCAGTGATGCTGAGCGACTTCCGAAGCCTCGAACTCCTCCGCAGCCACCGAGGTGATTGACCGCGTCTCTTCCTGCCCCTTGGTTCAGTCCCTGAGGATTTCTTGAAGGCAAGTTGGAGGTTGGGGGATTTGGTGGCTCCAGATAGCAAGTCGGCCTATCGTGCCATTGGTCCAGAACACACTGAAGGCTTGTGCCTTCACTTTGCTGCCAAGTCCGTGCTCGAAGGCCCTGATGTTTCTGCAGGTTGCTTCTCGGGACAATGGCGAACGGAAGAGTAGAGTTCCGATGCCACAACCATCTTGGCCTTTCGATGCAGGTCGGACATGCTTTGGAGCCAGCGCGGCCCCGATCGTCGTGCTTCGGCGAGAAGTCTTCTTGCAGTGTGGGGGGTCACATGGGGGGGGTCACTGGGAGTCTTAAGCCTCCATTCACCCTCCTTTCACTCCCTCTTAGCCAAGGCAGCCATCCTTCGAAGTCTCATTGTGCCTGTTGCCGCATCTGGCGATGCGAGATGAGTACTGGGTTCATCTTGCACGCTTTTGTGTGCCGAGGTGTTGGTGGAAATCGTGGCGCACGTGTCTGTCATGTTCCTGTCAGAAGTTCTTGGCGTTCACCAAAAGCAGATGGGCCGGCTCCCCAGATCACGCAACCACTGCAACCACTGCAACCACTGCACGGTGCAACGGTGGATGTTCGGATATGTTTACTGCCTTGTGAAGCCACGCTCCTGCGAGGGTATGACTACACCATCGTGCGGAGCCTTGGCTTATGCGATTGCGCTTTCGCAAACCGGTGTGCCGTCATCCATTTGAAACTCCTCATGTTTTCCATGGTTTTCCTCGTCTTGATGATCGCATTTCGAGCCCAGGAAATACCTGAGCGCTCCTGGCTCAGCACTTGTTGTTCTTTGGCATGCCGGGTGCGCGTGCTGCGGGATGGGATCTGGAACGTGCCGAGGACAAGAGATACCTGTTCTGGTCCTGTCTCAGCTGCATGGGCGAAAA